GGTCAGAACCAGGGCGCTGGCAATGCCGGTGTCGGTGCAGGTGCTGGTGTTGGTAACGGTGCAGGCCAGGGTCAGGGTCAGAACCAGGGTGCTGGCAAAGCCGGTGACAAGAACAAGAACAAGAACAAAAACGCAGACGCCGCTGCCATCGCCGCCGCCGACCAAGCTGCCGCTGCCGCCAACCAGACCGCCGCCGTTGCGAATGTCACCGACGCCGCCACCGTCCAAGCTCAATGTGTCTCTGCCGCCATGGCCGCTGCCCTCAACCAGACCAACAAGGTAGACAAGGCCACTTCCGACGCCATCGCCGCAGCCTGCGGAGCCAACAACTCTCAAGTTCAAGCTGCCGCCGCCAATGCCACGGCCGTCAATAACCAGCAGGGTGCTGCCGCCAATAACGGTACCACCACTGGTAACAAGAACAACAACAAACACAAGCACACGAACAAGAACAAGAACAAGAATAACAACAACAACAATAACAACGCCAATAACGCCAACAGCACCACCACCGCCAACAACGGTAACAACGGCAATAACAAGAATAACAATGGCAATAACAACAATAACAATGGCAATAACAACAATAACAATGGCAATAACAACAATAACAATGGCAACAACAACAATAACAATGGCAATAACAAGAATAACAATGGCAACAACAAGAACAACAATAACAACGGCAACGGCAACAACGGCAACAACGCAGGAGGGAATGCTGGTGGCAACGGCGGCAACAACAACATCCTCGACCAGATTGTCGGCCTCATCAACGGCATCCTGGGTAAGCGTGAAGCCGAGACCATGGCCAAACGTGAAGTCGAGATGCCAGTCAAAAAGACGGATGTCGTCCGACGACATACCGTGAGACAATATCACGAACGTGCTTTTTAAGAAAGCCTCGTATGAGGAGGAAAGGAGGTGCGCCACAATGGCGAAAATAGGGGCCCTCAAAATCTCACTCACTCTCACTCTCTCTCCTACCTACCTACCTAGGTCACTACGAGGTACGAACAGATGTTGGATGTGTTTGTGTGTGGTATGTATGTATAGATTAGATGTGTACTTCCATAGGTTTATGAAATTCTTCGAGGTCGCGGTCTATCGAGACCGCTTTGGCATCATGATTGATTTGATTATTCCAAGGGGAACACACACAAAGGAAAACAAGACCTTCCTGGAATGTTCACGGCTTGTTGGAAGTGGGAAATGCGAGAGAAGAAAAAAAATCAAATGGGACGCCGCGGCGCATTCCTGAATATGAAAAGGTCAGAAACGAAACGAAACGAAACCGATACAGTACAAAAATCCAAAAGGGGGGAGAAAACAAAAGACAATTGCCATAATCATCTTTGGTTTTCAGACTTGTCATTGATCATCAAATGGTCGTGGATTGAATGAGTATAGAACCGCCTCGAGATGAATCTGTTGTACTGTGTTTTCATACTCCGTACACTTTCGTAGATCCTGATTTCATACCCAACGTTACAAGAACAGCTCGACTCCTCATCCATCACGTCCCCTGCTGCATCCTCTTCAACCTCTCCTCGGCCGCTCTGGCCCTCCTTTCCCGCTCGATCCTCATTCTCATCTCGGGCGTCATACCACGCATCTCTTCTTCCCTCTTCTCATTCGCCGTCTTTTCGAAAGCCACGGCCTGCCCTAGACTCCTGCCCGCGCCGGCCTTCCTCTCCATTTTTCCTGCCTTCCTCCTCTCCTCGTCCACACGGATCTGCTCGAGCTCGGCCTTGCGTCTCTGCACCTCTGCCGCGTCACTGGCTGCCTTTTCCTGCTTCAACTTTCCGTCCGCCTCTTCCTGACTCAGTGCCGACGGGACGTGGGCTTTCGTCCAAACCCAAGCGTCCTCACCAAGCAAGTGCCGTGCAACTCGAAACGCGTCACGGGTTTTGGGGTCGCCCGCAATGTCGTACGCAGTCTTCCCGTCGTCGTTTGTGATGGTCGGGTCAGCTTTGGCTTTGGTGAGTAGACCAGTGACGAGGGCAGGTGAGTTCGTGGAAGCGGATAGATGTAGCGGTGTGGGTGCGTGGTGGTGTTCTGAGGGAGGGTAAAATGAAAAGTTTGGCGAGAGTTCGTTCTTGGTCAGATATAATAACACGCCGGGAGCTTTCGAACGTCTGATCAAGGCTTGAAGTTGTGACGTATGGAGTTGTGCTGCTTCCTCTTCCTTGCTGAGTTTTGGTGTTGAAGGTTTTGGTTTGGGCTCCTTTGGTGCAGCCTTTTCTGTTTGCCGCTTTTCCTCCTCTGGTGTCATCAACTTGCCCACTTTTAACCTCGTGAGCTCCTGAAATGAACGAAGAAGCTCTGCTTGGGTCGCCCGCCTGGTGCTGAATGGGAACCCTCGTATTCTCTGATCATTACTTCGTAATACCTGACCGTCATAAGGCCCGAAAAGTGTTCTTCTGTTTGTGGATCCGGTCGCTCGGATGAAAAGCAGCTCTGCAGTATCGATCATGCCTTTCCATTCGGATAGAACATTGCGCACATCTGCTTCGAGAGCCATCTCGTTGTACCGTCGTATCGAAGATCCTGCGGAATGTGCGTTTCCTTTGGCGTTGTCGTTAGCCGATTGCGATCCACCCTGTTTCCGCCTCGTCGTGTATCGGTGGAAGGTCTTGTGGGCTCTGACTACAGGGTGCCGCTCTTCTATGCCTCCTGGTCCTTTCCTGATTTCTGGCACCAATGACACAATCATGGCGGCAAAGTGTCCACCTCCAATCATGCAAAGGAAAAAGTGTGGTTCATTTTGCGCCAGGTTTCCCTTTCCGTGTCCGTTTTGCTTGGGTGTCGTTGGCTTGACTTGTTTCTTCTTGATGATGTCTACTAGACTTGTAGATGCAGCCTCCCTCTCTTCATTCGACAGGATCGCTCTGTATACTCCTAAACCAACGTCCTGATCTAGTTTCGGACTCGTCATCCACAACATCGGCGCCGTCCCGAAGTATTTTTTTGTTGTAGCCTTCGCATCATCGTCCTGATCTTCGTTCGAGATTTTGGCTTGTCTTTTTAGAAGTGCGCTCAACGTAGTATCGCCTGGCTTGTTCCCTTCGTCTTCTTCCTCTGAGTCTTCAGACTCCGACCCCGATAATGACTCGTCGAGGTCACCTATCATTCGTATAAAAGTAGCCTCGTCGATTGACGGCGTTCCTTTTATGCTTAATTTCAAGTTGTAACGGTGGAAGTCGGACTTGACATGTTGTCGCTGATCCTGCACATTGTTGAAGGAAACTTTGCACAGTGCACACGAGGTTGAGGGGGTATTGGAGCCTTCATTTGAGGCATTCACTACTTCAGAAGGCGTGGGTAACACATCTCTATGCTGAGACGCTGGTTGATCTCGTCCAGCGAGGGTAAGAGTGAACAGTAACTCGGGTGGCAGATCGTAAACTGTTAGCAGTTAGAAGTGCGGCCTTGAACTGCGCAGGCTTGATCGCTCACCATAGAGAGGGCGCCGGAGGAAGGGATTGGTCTCGTTATTCTTTTCGGCCATCTCAGAGATTCGACTTGAGAATTCTTAGAGCGAGTACAGAAAAGAGAGGCGCAGGACAATTTGTGCAATTTTGGCGGCTCTATCAAACATCTCCAAGTAAATACGTGAATTTGTTAAGCGGCTTCAACTGCGTCATCGGCCCATTTCTTTAACTAAAGATCTCGACTTAGTCAGCCGAATACAGGCATCTTCCGGGCACTTTAAGGAGCCCCGAATCAGGTCGAATACGAAGTAAATGAACCACGACAACCAATTTTCATCCTTCATTCCTCATGCTTCATACATGTACACTTCATTTCTACTCGTAAATTATTCCCACACGCCACAATTTTGCTATAGAGGGCCAGAGTCAGCTAATACCGACTTAGCCCTCGAGCCAACACTCAACTAGCAAAACAACCTAGACAACAATTTCATGCTCCTTGAACAACGGAAAGTTGTTGAACAAGAAATCCTGACTCTCCTTGAACTCGGATCTAAGTACTGCTTCATGCTTCGGGCTTCTTATCGTGATCTCGCATTTGAACGGGTTTGGTCGAATATTGAATCCGTCAGTGTAGTCGTACGTATCGTACACAGTCCCTTTGACAGGTTTAATGTCAAAGCACCAGAGTAAGCGTGCGAGAGCGATGTACAGGTTTGCGCTAGCCAAATCAGCACCGGGACAGATTCGACGGCCCCATCCGAATGAACTGTGGCCAGACTTGCTTGGATGTGCGAGGCGTCCCTTTTCAACGGGCGTACTGGCGACGTACTTCTCTGGCAGGTAGCTAAGAGAACGAGGATCGACGTCAAGGAAGCGCAGAGGGTTGAAGTGGTCGGCATTGGGATAGTAATCTTCATTTCGATTGATGGCCCATGAGTTGCCCAGGATGTTTGTGCCCTTGGGGATGTAGTAGCCCTGGTACGTGTCTTCCTCGGAGCTGGCATGGGGAGTGCCACCGAGCACTGCGACGGGCCGCCATCGCAAGACTTCCTTGCACAACGCGCGAAGGTAGGGCAGTGAGGGTTCGTCGGCGTACGTTGGCAGGCGATCAAAGCCGATGACTGCGTCGAGTTCAGCATGTGCTGCGTGTAGGGTCTCTTGGTTCGTGATCAAGGCCAGCACCGAGGAACAAAGGGTGGATGCCGTGGTATCCGCACCAGCGCCAAATAGCGATGCTGGCAATCCTGCAAAATCGCGTTCGCCGAGCAGCGCAAAGGATGCTGGGTCGGCATCGCGGGCTTCGATGAGCTGTTTGGCCAGACTGTTAGGTATAGGACGGGCGCCCGGTAGCTTTGCATTTTCCATATCCTCGCGTACAAAGTTGAGTAATTGAAGGTCAGCTACTTCCGACTCCTGACCCCAGGCCTTGAGTTCACGTTTCCATCCTGCAAACATGTCGGGAATATGTTTAAGGATAGGGAAAGATTCGGCGAGATAGCGACCAGGGACGTTGGAAGCTGCTGCTCTGTGCATCATCTTCAGGCGTTGTCGAATGATGGGCGAGTGAAGGTTGTCCACACGATGACCATAAGAGATGGTGAAGACAATCGAGGCCGTCATGCGGTCTATCAGCGGTTCGTAATCTTCTGGCCTTTCGAGGAGCTGGTAGCACAACCGAGCTGCTTCTGCTTCTTGGACTTGTCGGTAGTTCAGAAGGACTCTTGGAGTAAGGGCAGAATGTAGGGCTTTTCTTCGAAGCTGCCACGCTTTCCCATAAGGCGCCACGAGGATGCCTGAGTTGCCAAACAAGAGTTCACCCATGACCACGAATCTGGGTCGAGAGCTGTACTTGGTGGAACGCTTTTCCATCAATTCAGCAGCAACGTTTGGATCTGAAATGATGATTGTTGGTCGGCGGCCAAACCACAACGTGTACATTGGCCCATATTTGTATGACCATTCTTGAAATTGAATCCATGGATATTTCTTCGGAATGTCGAATTTATTGCCAACGAAGGGCAAAGGTTGCGGCCCTGGCGGCAGACGCTTCCATAGTATCACATCGTGAATAAGTACCCCGACGATCGCCAAAAGGGCGATACCTGTGAAGCCCGACCAAAGGAGGAAGATATTTGAGAATGCCATGATCGAAGCTCACCTGAGGTTTCCTGTGCAAGAGACTGCACAATCTTGCACTCGGTTTCAGCCGAGCCAAAGAAGGATAATGTCGATGGGCAGGTCTCTACGACACTTAGAGAGATGCTTCTCAGTAGAGCACAATGGCCAACTTGCCGAAGTAGTTTCTCGGTAGTTGTTCTATGGGGTAGGGACATGCACGGCGTAGGGGACCTAGGCTATGTCATAACGCCCAATGACAACGTTGACATAGGCGTCGATTGTATGCAATGGTGGATAAGTCGGCACCAGCTCCGCCTCTCCTCATCTCGTGGGTGGTGATAATGGAGAATAGACATCGTGGGGCAGCACGGAGAAAGCCCATTATTCGACAGCGCAAATACATGCAACAAGCCAAACTCCTGGTCCAATTCTTCGGCAGTTACAATATATCAAGAGGCTGCCGGGTAAACCCCAGACTGTCCTTTCCGAGCAGTAGTGAGTGTTACAGTAGAGCCTGAATCGGGACAGTGCGTGGCTTCCGCTGGGTCTGGGAAGACGACGCAACAACAACGACCTCTGTGGGGAGAAGGGCAAAGAAACCTCTAAAGGGTTCTCATTGCCTGGTACCAAGGGGAATTGGGTACTTTTCGTCACCACTTGAATATTTGAAATCAAGGTAGAGACGAGGCTGTCGAGATGTCAAACTTCTCAAGGCTGCCGCCATCTGGCATCAAGGTGATTATAGTCGGAGCAGGCTTCGCAGGTCTGTGTGCGGCGATAGAATGTGACCGCAAAGGACACTCGGTCATATTGCTGGAGAAGGTCAAGGAACTGAAGCCGCTTGGGGATGTCATCAGTTTCTCATCAAACTCCGGTCATATTTTTGAAAGATGGGAGGGTGTTGTCGATGAGCTTGATCCAATCACCCACAAAAGCAAAGGCCTCGACTTCCACGACTGGATGGGCAACTTTGCCACCAGACAGGTATGGGATGTTGAGAAGCAATGGGGAAGACGGATCAACGGCCACCGAGGACAGATCCACGATGTCGTCTATCGTCACGCCAAGGCCAGAGGCATCGATATTCGCCTCGGCCAGCAGGTCACCGATTATTTCGAGACGGATTCAGAGGCAGGTGTTGTATCGAACGGCGAGAAGCTGGTTGCGGACTGTGTCCTGGGCGCAGAAGGGGTCAAGTCTGCCGGCAGGAAAATCGTGCTGGGCTTCGAGGATCCGCCAAAGCCTTCAGGATACGCCGTATATCGATCATGGTTTGATTCGGACGAGCTTGCCAAAAACCCAAGGACGAAACACCTGGTGATCAATGGGGACACACATACTGGCTGGGTAAGTGACACTAGCTGCAGCATATCGACCAAAGAGTGAACTGACAATATCCCATTCTAGATTGGTGAAGATAAGCATTTCCTGGCAGCGTCAGTTAAGAATGGAACGGAATTCAGCTGGGTATTGACACATAAGGACGACGCTGATATCGACGAAGACTGGCAGTTTCCAGGTGACAAGGCAGAGGTCAAGAGGAACCTCGAAGGATGGGCTCCGATAGTCCACGATATCGTGGATGCCACTCCTCCGGATCGACTTTTCGACTACAAGCTAGTCTTCCGAGATCCTTTGTCGACGTTCCTTTCGCCAAAGGCCCGAATAGCACTTATTGGTGATGCAGCACACCCATTTTTGCCGACATCGATCCAAGGAGCTAGTCAGTCCATGGAAGACGGTGTGACATTGGCGATTACTCTTGAAAAGGCAGGCAAGAATGATGTCCAGCTTGGACTCCGAGCATACGAAGCCATTCGATATGGCCGTGTCCACAGGGCTCAGAAAACAGGTGTCACGACACGAGAACAGTGGCACAAGGCTGACTGGGACAAGATCTGGAAAGACCCCACATCACTACACCTGAAGAGAGACGCGTGGCTGTTGGATTTCGATGCCGAGCCTCACGCTTACGAAGTGGTTGATGATGTTCTGAAGGAGCTGAGAGAAGGCAAGGATGTAAAAACAAATGGTTTATCAGAGCCAGCAAACAAGAAAAATGGGCTTGGAACAGTCATTGCCCAAGAAGTTGATCAACTCGCCTAGTTGCCGATAGATGTAGGTGATTGATAAAAGATGCATACAATCTGTGATAATCAACGAAACATGTACGAGTATAAAAATGATCTTCTCTCGAAGAATATGGAGTATGAAGGCGGGCGTTTTTCAGTTTGGCGAGGCTGAAAACAAGCTATCGGGGAAAACCCTTTTTGTCTGACCAAGAGAGCTTCTGGTCCACCTGGTGGAAGAGCCTCCTTTCGACCAGCAGCACTTTTGGTACTTTTGACTGTCAGACTTGGGTGAATTATCCAACCTCGTCAGGCTGAACCAATTGAGGTTTGATACTTGTTCTTCTTTCGCATATGGCATCAGCAATTCCTTTCTACTTGTCGGAAAATGTTCCGCTGCTTGTAGAGAGAACAGAGACAAGCCCCAGTCACCCTCTGAGCATCATGAGGAAGCCGTCACCGAGTCAAACAGTACCCCAGAAAACTCAAAAGCCAGATGCAGTCCACGCGATTGAATGCCGTCGAGGCGTAGCGTGGCAAAGACACAGACTATGCCTTCTCTTCCAAGCGAGCTTAGACGATCTTAACGTGTGCATGGCAGCTGATTAGGGTTTCGTCAAGAGGATCTAGGCCAGCATCACAAAGCTTGATGGAACGCGAAGATGGGCTAGAAAATGGTCTAGAAGACTTGCTCACCTATGCCGATCAACCACATGCCGGACAAATCCCAGTGTGGGAGAGGAACGGATGGTGCACGGAAGTTCCTTGGTGACACCGGATATGACACCAAAAAAGGATTGGAATTGAATGCTTTCCAAGGGTCTAAAGTGCATTTTATTGGCAACTTTTGAGGACGTCTCATACTCCCTACAGTGTACGAGTACAACACCGAATCATCACCTCCACTTTCCCATTATCGCTTGCTCGGGGTAACTAGATAATCTGGATCTGGGGCCCGACAGCTTTCTGGGGCTTTTCCCACCCATGATTCATCCAAGGTGGGAAAGGAGCAATGAAAATCAGACGAGTCTCTGGGGTTCATGGGCACCGTGTGGTACCCTTGATGGGAATACTCCGGGGCGCTGTGCCCTCCATCGTGGCCACCAGGGAGTTATCAGAGTCGATGTGGTTGGTTTAGGCTGGGTCCTTTTTTGACCCATTCGCAAGCTAATGTAGGTATCAAAATTCTGTATCCCCTGCACGGAGCAACGCATCCCCTGATTCGGGGCCTCGCTGGATGCTGCCCACAGCAACGATGCAGCGGAATTCGCTCCCGCGAGCTTGACCACGATGCCACATGCTTAAAGGCCACCGCTCTGCCCTTTTCGAAACACCTCTGTAACCCAAGCTACCTACTACCTGGACAGGTTCAGTATATCGCCGAAGGGGAAAACCAGGTCTCAGGAACCTTACTCTAATTATTTCGTTCGAGGTACGGATATACTTACTTGTTTTTTACTCGCACGTTCGAAGCAAGATGCCCTTCGGTATCATCGACTGCAAGAAGTTGGAGGTCGTCCCTGGTACCTCTTTCATGAGTGACCAGGATGACCTCCCTCCCGAGTATTCAGAAGTCCCTCGAGAGCTGTTGAAGCACGGCAAGGGCAGATATGCGAACATCATTCTGGTTCCTCAGCCCTCGGATTCACCGAACGACCCCCTCAACTGGCCACAATGGCAGAAGGAGATGATCCTCCTGATCGTCGGTCTATCGGCAGCCGTCGTCGGTGCCTTTGGTCCCATGCTTTCGCCTGGTTTCGTTCCTATTTCAGCACAACTCGGTATCACGGTCGAGGTCCTCTCTCAGGCGACTGCGTGGCTCATTCTTACCATCGGTCTCGGTCTTTTCATCACGAACCCTCTCGCGAAACTGTACGGAAAACGACCAATCTACATTCTGGCCAGCTGTATCATGCTGGCAGCCAGCATCTGGGGAGCCGTGGCGACCGACTACAGCTCATTCTTGGCCAGTCGTGTCGTTTCGGGTATTGGAATGGCCCCATACGAGGTAAGATAGTCCCCGACGACATTCTCCCATTTGCACCTCGATGTATATATACTAACGCGGGGGGATTGTAGGTCTTGGTCCAATGTACCATTGGTGACCTCTATTTCGTCCACGAACGCGCCACTCGCATCGCTGTATGGAATCTGTTCCTTCTGACCGGTATCGCTGGCGGAGCGCTGGTATCGGGATACATCATCGAATACGACGGCTACAAGTGGACATTCGGAGTGTGCGCCATCTTCTTTGGCGTCCTCCTGTTCGGTGTCCTCTTGTTCGTACCGGAAACATCGTTCCGCCGCGACGCTGTCGTGGTCGTTCCTGTTCAAGATGAGGTTACGGGAGACTCGGAGAAAGCTGGTACAACACATGTACACATGGGACTGGGTCATGAGCACGACATCTCTCAGGCGCATGGTGAAAAGAGCAAGCATCTCTCTTACTCGGCAACGCATGGCTCGAGTGAGCCCAAGATGTCGTACTTACGGTCGCTGCGTGTGTTTACTGGTCGATACAGTTATGCGCCTCTGTTCAAAGTCTTCACGCGTCCTGTGGTCCTATTCTTTTACCCTGCGGTATTCTGGGGCTTCTTGGTGTACGGTACCACCTTGACATGGATTGTGGTAAGTTCTAGAGCCCCAAACAAGACAATCTTGATAGACTCTCGAGTGGTTTCTGACATGGTGGCAGGTTTTCTCCGTCGTCAACGGAGTCATCTTCGTAGCTCCTCCGTACAACTTCTCAGTCTCGCAGGTCGGATTGATCAGTTTGTCTCCATTCATCCTCACCTTGTTGGGTGAAGTCATCTCCGGACCTCTCAATGACTGGATTTGCGTCTACCTGACCCGGAAAAATAAGGGTATCTACGAGCCAGAATTTCGCCTGGTGCTCATGGTTGTCGTGGCGATCTTGGGCACGGTCGGTTTCTTTGGCTTCGGTGCGACGGTGCACTACCAGACTCACTGGACCGGACCTGTTCTTACCTTTGGTCTTGCAAACATGAGTCTCGCATTTGCGTCGACCTGTGTGTTTGGTTATGTGATTGACTCATACCCAAGATTGAACGAGGAGGCCTTTGTTGCCATCAACGCTCGTAATCTCTTGACCTTCGGCCTGACCTACTTTGTCAACGACTGGCTGGCTCAAGACGGCGCCCTGAAGGTTTTCTGCGTGCTTGGAGGGCTCTTCTTGTTTGTGTGCTTCTTGACCATTCCTCTATGGTGAGTGTTTATTGCTTCCTCCCGATGTGATCAACGCATAGCTGACAAATACTCTCAGGATCTATGGAAAGAAGATTCGATCCGCGATCGGTAGAAATGAGTGGCTCCAGAGGTATATGAACGACGACATGTAAATTCAGATGGTTGAAAAATTGCACCAGGTGCGAATATTTTGTTAGTGATGATGGAAGGAAGAAAAAAGCAACAAGATGTAATTAGTCCAAACAGTTGTGATGTACTTGTATATGCTTACCTATGTATAAGCCGCATCGAACCTACAGCCCCGGGGTGTAAGATTCATTACCGTATCCGTACCTACTGTATATTCAGCCTTGGTTCTTTCAAGCGTCGCCACGACTATATTGTAGACTGTTAGACGAAGGGAGATGAAGATGGGGCCGGACAAAAATAAACACCTTAAGGAAAATAATTCGCTTGTCTTCCTCGCACGAGTGAATTTTCCAGCAGAGCGTTTCTCTCATGATGTGCAGATTAAGGCCTTCCAAAAGACCCCAGTCCGTGCGCTGCTTAAGTTAAATCGTAACTTGACGGGGGATCCATCGCAGTGGCCCAGGATACGCTTCCCGGAACTTGGGCGACGGGAAGGTCAGTACGAGTACGGAGTACCAACCATGAACAACTACTCCGTACGCTGGACTCCGTAAAATGTGGGAACTCGGACACGGCTTGGGCGTAACTTAGTCAGGGTCCTTTGCTAATCCAGTCGCCCCCATTGACGCCCATCTGCGCCATGATGCGTTGCCCTCAGGCGTGCCCGCTTTTTCGATGTAGACAACCGTCGTGTCGAGAGCAGCACAGTGGCTGAACCAAGGTGGTCAGGAGACTACTCCCATGCTCTCAGTGCTAGCATGTCAGCTTCATCTCGTCGTGGTATTCTCTTTGGGTGAAACACAATAGTAATCCCAATTCCAAAGCAACCTTTCGCCATCTTACCATAGAGAAAACCCCGCCAGCCCAGTGTGTCAGCCTCAGCCTTTTTTTAGTCGCTAACTTCCTGGCATTGCGGCCAATCCTGCAGGTAATCTTACATCCTTCTACCTGTCTGAGCCAACTCTGTCCAGACTTCGATTTGAGGAACCTCTGCGACTTGATCCCCGTCGAAGACGATTTGCCCTGGTTGCGACCCGTCGTATAAGTCACGTCGCTGCACGTTTGCAGCTGACGACCACCTTCGCCGGCATCATGATGAAAAAGAAGTCCGTTTATGCCAACATAACCCCGATACCCTCTCACATTCCTCGCCAGTTGGCGATCGATATGCTCCATTCCCACCGCGAGATCATCGAATTGAACCCCCTTGTGATCGACCTCAGGCCCATCAAAGCCCCGCAGAATGCGCCCGCTGATGAATATTTCTCGACTTGGTATGAAATCGACCAGCGCATACAGTTTGTGCCTGGGATTGGCAAGGCCGGGGCCGGGAAGATTTCCTTCAAAGGTTGCTTCCATGACATGCCCTGGGGCTTACAGACACACGTCTATCCCCCGATGGGAATAGAGATCCGCAACAAATGGCAAATAAGAGGCAACCAGCCCGGCGAGCCTCCAGAACACAAAGAGTTGGGATCCGGGGCACCAGCGGAGGGATTATACTTGCGTGAAGACATAGAGATCACATGCAATCGGGCGATGATGCAATTCACCAAAAATGGAATGAAAGAAGCCAGCAAAGTCATGGTTGACAGATTGGTCAAGAAGGCCGAGTTGATCGACTCGGGCGTCCTCAGTGCCATGATGGAAGACGGGAAACTCAAGACTCTGAATCCGGCAGACCGGTCGCGAACGTTCCAGCAGTCCGGGCAATACTCTCCAGGCCTGATGTCGCCCGCCACAGCACAGTTCGGCCCCGGTCCCAGATCGCCAGGTTTCCCTCCTAGCATGGACAGAAACTACGTCCAGTCCGCCAATCAGTCCGCGTACGGGCGACAGTCGCAGTACTACGGCGGCTACGCACAGGACGGGAGACAGATACAGAATGCTTCGCATGTGCCGCCCCCACAAGGCCTCGCGATCGAGATGGACGGGAGTTCACAATTCGCGCCACAACAGCACCAGAACCAAAACCTGCAGCCACCGAATCGCTTCTCGACCGCCGTGTCGGAACTATCAGCAAGCTCACCCCCAGCAAATCAGACGTTGTTCCCCAACGGCAATGCAAGCGATCGGCAGAGCTATGCAGGCAGCGTGAGCAGCCATCCCACCTCTTACGATCCAGATGGAAGTATGGCGTCTCCAGGACTTGATAAGAGATCTTTTGCAGTTGAATTACCTGGTAGTGATAGTGCCGCACCAAATCGCTCAATGACTCCCCAGGGAGGGACGAGTCCAGATCCTAACGGTGTCGGCTTCGCTGGTGGTGGGACACCAGGTCAACAGTACCGCTACAATCCGCTGGATTATGCGAGAATGTCATCATGATGATGACGATGATGATGGGAGGAGGAGGAGGAGGAGGAGGAGGAGGAGGAGGAGGAGCAACATCACGGGAAAAGATCGGTCTCAACGATTCTCTTTTGTCTTGATTTCTCGCTCGTGGCATCTATGTATAATCTACCTGTTCTTATATTCCCTCTTCGTATATATTTTCATCTCAAGCGTTAATTAGGTCGTAAGGGGAGTCGAGACCTACTATCTCCCAGCACGTACACTACACTGAGGTATGTCAACTCCAGACTCACGTGATCATGCTTGCGAGATCCTTGGGTCAATCGGCAGGAACTCTTGAGTGTCGTTTCATGCATAGCACCGGATCCTTCCGTGACCACAAAACAAATCAATATCTGTACAGCACTGCTCAATGTTGGATCTTGCTGTTTCGTGAAAGTCTCGTTGCCTCATTGATTGTTTTGAGCACGATGTCTACTAACAGCAGCACTAAGCAGGTTCAAGGATGACAAGATGTGTTCTGAATCAGCCTCGTTTCATTCCGAGGCGGCTATGCAGGCCAATGAAAATGGCCACTCTTGCACAGCCTGAGACTGGTTGTTTGCTCCAAAAGCCCACGCTATATGAGCGCGCACGCCTCATGGCTGCCCAGGTTTTGGCCAGAGGTTCGTTTCTCTTGAGAAGGCGTCTTCAGTAGATGCAGATGTGTTTGTCTGTGGCTGTTTCTTCAATGCTCACACCATAGTACAACGGCACCGACTCCGACGATTAAGACACGCTCCGTATATTTCAACATATCCATCAAGGCATTGAAGTGGCCGAGGGAAGCTTTGAACGACTGCCACGAAGAAATCGTCCCGCCGACCGAAAAGCCACGGGTGGTCGAAATCATGCTTGATCCTGTTACTTCTTTGGCGCTCGCCTGCAATATCTTCCAACTTGTGGAACAAGGCATTGAGGCCATCGTTGCGTGCAAGGAAATATACAAGAGAGGCTCGCTGGATACAAACAAGGAGGTTGAAAAATATGCTCAAAGTATCTCTATTGCAAATAAAGAGTTGGAGACAATTTTGAACATGCAGCAAGATGCCAGGGCTCTTCGTGCAAGAAAGCTTCAAGGGATCGCCACGGATGCTTACGCTACCGTGGACGAACTCAAAAAGGTCTTGAACAACTTGAAACTGTCTAAGAGCCAGTGGAAAGGTGCTTTTAAGACCTCTTTGAGATCAATCATCAGTAAAGGTACCATTGATCGGCTACGCGCCAAGTTGGAACAACAAGATGCAGCATTACGTTCGGCGCTCCTGAAAGAACAGTAGTAAGTCAGACCTCCGCTCTTCCAGTTACCATACGTGGATAGCAGAGGTATTCGAAGGTGAATTTTCCCAATCGCTTTGACATTATTAGACATTCCCTTCAATGGCAAGTCGAGGCTTGCCCTCTAGGGTGGCTGATGCTGACATTTCCCAGTATTAAAACTTTCGAAGATGAAAGTGTCAGACGGAGCCGGTTTGAAACACTTTCTGACGGCCAGAAAGACATTATCGCACAGGTCTTGCGCCGTCTATCACTAGCTTCTGATGCTTCGCTGGCAGCAACCAAGGCTTCGGAAGTTGCCATAACAGCGCGTCTTGATCAACAGGATATGCAGCTCGGTAAAAGCGAAGCCACCATCATGAATCGATTTGATGCTCAAGATGCTCTCATGGAGACACATCATGCGAAGACTACTGATCTGCATGATCATGTGCGAGAGTCCGCCTGGAGAAAGCTTCTTGATGCCTTGGCATATTCTGAGATGAACGAACGTCGAAACATGATCGAAAAGCGTGTCCGGGATTTTGGAGAGACCTACACGTGGATCTTCAAGTGCCCAGCCTGCGTCCATCATTCACCCCATGACGCTTGCATGCCATCGAACTTCGTGCAATGGCTCTACGGTAGCACTAAAATCTTCTGGATCAGTGGAAAGCCAGGGTCTGGGAAAAGTCAGCTAATGGACTTCATTTACCTGAGTCTTAATTCCAATGGGCCAACTTTCGTGCCTTTGGAAGAATGGGAAAGGCCTAAACCAGTTCACGTTTTAGATTTTTGGTTTTTCAAACCAGCAACAAGTGTATTGCTTAAGACAAATCAAGGCTTCTGGAGATCCTTGTGCTTTCAAATTCTTGACAAGGATAAAGGCCTCGTGCAGAAGGTCGACCATACTGGGACAAATATGGCCCCAGAGTCGCTCAAATCTTCTCTTCGATCATCGGGCACCACTTTTCGTTCTTGGACCGACCGGGAGCTGTCATCCTGGTTGACTTATTTGCTTTCCGTCTCTGAGCATAATTATCTTCTCTTGTTAGACGGACTCGATGAAAACACAGACGACCACGAAGGCCTGCTTGAAACCATCCATTGCCTCGCACGCAATTCAGGAAACATCAAAATATGCTGTTCGAGTCGCCCCGAACCTCTTTTTGTGCAAAGTCTTGGGCATTGTCCGATGTTGAGGCTACAAGATCTAAACTTTGCTGACATTGAATCATACTGCAGCAAACGACTCGACAACACTCGAGCTGCAGCGCACGCCTCTGATATCGCCATGCGAGCAGAGGGGGTCTTCTTATGGGCGTACCTGGTGGCAGAAGACCTAAGGCGAGGATCTCTCCAGGGCGACAGTGACAAAGACCTCGGGCAACGTCTGAGCGACACTCCGACTGAAATGAACGATTTATTCGAGTTTATGCTGAAACGCCAGGACAGGTTTTACCTCAAGCACCCCAAGCCTTACCTTCCTCTGTTAGATGCCGCAGTGCAGATCAGTGCATACCCAAGCTTACTTCAGTTGCTTCTGGCTTCAAGAGAGCTTGATGTAATTAGCTCTCAAGTTATAAATGGGCCTGACACCGAACTTCTTACGGAACTGGACGAATCGGCCCGAAATTTGGAAACCAACGTCGTTGCAAATTGTGCCGGACTTGTCGAAATTGAACGAGACCTGGACCGAATGGAAGCCGTCTATGAACATTTGGTTGAGGCAAGTGGTGTAGGGCTTAAATTCATCCATCGATGTGTCCAAGATTTTCTACTCGAGAGCGAAGTGGGTGCACATTTCCTTCAGTCTTGTAACGTACCCAGAGAAGATGCCACCAAACGACTGATGACAGCTTCTGCTCTTGGTTACATCCTGAGCACAAAATCTATATTTTTCGCAGAAGCTTTGGACTATGCTGAGCACATTGTCCCAGAGTCGTGGACGCCGTCAGAGACCAATATTCTAGATTCTCTTTTCTCAGCCATGTACTCACGCCTAAAAGCAGGACAGGAAGAGGCCGATAGCTCGATATTGTTAGAGTGCCCTCAGCTTTCGGAGATGGAGAATTTGGCTTTCGGACACGCCGCATATCGCAGAATGATCCCTTACCTTCAAGCAAAGATGGCAGTAACCGATCTGGAGAAAACAACTCCTGCCGCAGGTCTCATCGTCTCTGCCATTGTTCGCCACCACTCTGAGCTGAGTGACGACATGGCCAAGATGCTTCAACCGTACATCTCCTGGACGCAATACATTTCCCTTCGTTACTTTGTGGACCATAAAGGGCCTCTGATTCCGGTTTCTCTACCACTATGGCAACACTACTTTATTGGCCGGTTGAACACTAAAGAATGTTTCCACGACGGCTTTAGAGCCAAGTCACGTAACAACTGTCTTGATCTCGACATAAGATCCATACTTCTGGACAACAGCAACTGCTCTCGCCCCGCCATGTCCGCTTTTTTCATAGCCGCCCCGTACGGGGAATTTCTTCCGGACCCCGGGAACAAGGACGCAGATGAATCGCTACTTCATTATGAGGCTTTCAAAGGCAAAATGACTGTGCCCGAGTCTGGGGGGTTCGACTGGCGATTGGTCAACTTCAAGCAATATTCCCCGGAAGGGCTTCGTCGCTTTGTCAAGATTCAGCCGAAAATGGAGGATTCGCCGCAGTACGACGAATTCAGAGAGGGATACGCTGTTGTTGGAGCCGACGAACAAGCATACTATGAATATACGACGAACATCCTGAACGATAATATCCCCATCTTGTCTCCAGCTGAAATTGCAGACGTAATATGTATTGGCATGAGGTACTTGTTCTCAAACGGTCGATTTCGCCATGCAACCTGGGATGCCCTGGAACAATGGCTGAAATGCATAAGTAATGGCAAATTTAGCGAAGATTTCAGCTCTGAACGAGACCCTGTTTTGCTGAAAATCCTCAAACGCGAGTCTGATAAGACACTCTCCGGGTCCCCGACGGACTTTGGCAATAAACAGATGAAGCACGACCTCTAAGGAATCCGGAACCTGATCGCTATCAAGGAGGTCTGGAGGCGTGCAGATGATGACGAGACGAAATGATATTATCACCAACCCAACACCCTTGCACCATCCAAAGCCGGGACATATGGCAATACTCTGTAGATATCCAAGATCAGGCTCCAGAGTTCCAACTCGCATATCTACTGTACAATACTTGAAAAGGCCAGTAGTAGCTATCTTTGTCGAGGCAAGGATTGTCGTCGAATGTAAATCCATATTATCGACCCTTAGAAAGGCTTTATTGGTACGGAGTACGAAGTATGGGCAATTATTCGAATCCGAATGTACGAGGACGAGTATTGCAGAGTAAGGTGTTTTGGCTCAGTTCTTAGTTGCAACATCAAATTTGTTTTCCTCCTCCTCTCGTTGTCCATCTCTCCTCTCGAAACGAGAACACAACGAGCTATATACACCTTACACGGCGACCGCCAAGTGGTGTTATGTTGATGGCTAGTAATGATCATGATTATACAAAACTTTGCGCCTACTCCCTCACTCCCTCTCTCTCCAGAACATCAAAAACATCCTGCTCCGAGGACTGAAATTCGTCCTCGTCCTCCCCATTCTGGTATTCTATCGTCCTGCTGAGATTCTCAAAGCTTGCGACAGAGAAATAATAATAAAAGGACGGGACCGTCTCGAAGTAGGAATTTGAAAAGTTGTCAAGTAAGAAAAAGAAATTGATTTGATGTGATGTCGATAAACTCTTAACGACGGGTTTTTGGGTGATGACAAAAAGAGATCTTGTAGAGAGACTGATCGTGAAATCATGACGATGATGATAAGGAGGTTGTCCGTTCACCCACGGGGTGTTTGCGAGGGGTGTAGTATGACGTGTTTGAAATTTTGCCTTTCTGATACAGGATGGTACCGTCGCCGTCGATGGGGGGTGGGGTGCTAGAGGTTGGAGGTTTCGAGGTATTCGAGAGATATTGCCCGGTCGACCATGGTGAGGTGAGTGGTGAGAGATGGTGCTCTTGAGGTGGCCGATTCCGTACCTAACAGCGAACAGGGGATATGGTCGATGTGGTAGGTATCGATGCTTGAAGTGGCTGGTGGTATCGGGTGTCTAGGAGGAAAAGGTGACCAGTCATGTAGAAGAATGCCTGTCGCGCGATTACAGTTGATGCCGGTCTTTGAATTAGGTAACTTGTCGGAAACACGTTTAGTATCTATCGAGTATCCCATGATTGAGCGGGCATCTCAAATGGTCGGTCCATAGTGTGGGAGTTTGGGTTTGGAGATGTCGAGTCCGTTACGGTCTGGGTCTGTGTTTTCGCATAGTCAGCAACCTGAAGAAAAATATCACAAGCATAGAGAGATGCTGAGAGACAAAGGGGAATGCGCAAGAAAAAAAAAATCCAACACTTACGTCGCTGGCCTGGCTCGAGAGCCACTGGTTCACATTGACATTGCCGACTTTTTGATTGTTGCCCAATTCGCTTGGGACCTCGGTGGGACTCATGGCGGTCCAGTGAGAATGTCTGTCTGCCACGCTGCCCGTGTATTGAGACATGCCGGTCTCGCCGCCTCCGCCATTCCCAGCCTGTGCAGGTTGTGCGGCTGCGTTGCGGCGTCGTCGACTACGGTAGAAGAGTAGGGCCAGACCGCCGAGGATGGCGATGAGACCGAGCACACCACCCACCACACCACCGACGATGGCTCCGGTGTTGTTTCCGCCACCTCCTCCACCGCCGTGCGACGCAGAGCCGGTGGACGAAGAGCCGCGTATGGCGCCGGTGGCGGTGATGCTCGACGTGGCGGAAGCGGTGACACTGACCTTGGGGTCGCAGGACGCTTGCAGCGAGTAGCCGCCTCCCGAGGCCTTGAAGTCGGTGCGGATGGCGGGGGCCATCTTGAACTGCTGACGCTTGTAGTCGCCGATGATGTAGTTCATGGTGAGAAAAGGCATCCCCCAGTTCATCACGTACCCGTCGTTGGTCGAGTTCATTATGGTCGGGATCAGGTACGTGTCGTTGACGATCGAGTACTTGCCTTCGTCGTCGTACTGGCGGGGCAGGTAGAACAGTTCCTCCGTCGGGATGGTGGTCTTGTACCCATTCTGTAGGGTGACGGTCACGTTGCCCGTGGGTGGATTGGAGGTGGGATACTGGAGGTAGCCCGACGTTTCGTTGTAGGCGCCATTGCTGGCCTTTTGGAAGTTCTCCCAGACGTTTTGGGGGACGTTCAGGACCCGCTCGGAGGATTGCAAGTTGATCTGTAGTGTTTGGGAGGAGTTGTCGAACAGGTTATGGTTGCCCGTGTTGTCTTCGTACTCGATACCGGTGACCAAGACGCAGAATTCGCACTTCTCTTGTGACTTGAAAGTCGTCAGGTCCCCACTGATTCGGGTGGTGTCGTAGCCGCCGAGCACCACTGCGCCGTCGACTGGGTGATTTATAGATCGGCTGCCTGCCCAGATACCGAAGACCGTAGATGGGATCGCTCCGGAATCGACTGCGATCTTGAGGAGATCTGAATTCGTGCCCAAAGGTAGCACGCCTTGTCCGCCGTATCCCGGCTGGTCATACATGGATGGGTAACCCCTGATCGAAGCATTTCCGATGGTAAGAGCGTCGTTGAAGTGGACGAAAGACAGCTGATTGGGGTTCTCAGCGTCTGTGCCGTTCCATTGAGCAGCTGCAACCTGTGTAAAAGTGCTCGATTTGGCGTAGTCGAAGACACCTCCATATAAACCGGAACAAGTGTCGTTGTACTCTGGTGCGCAGTTCTCTCGGTTGACGACGTAAAGGTTCTCGTCGGTGGTACTCGGTCGGAGCGAGACTATCTGGGGAGGTGTGCCCATGGAAATCTGAACTCCTCGATTGATGGCCTTTTGATCCGTCGTGACAGTGACATTTGACCACGAGAGATACATTGGCGGGGCGCCATTCTGACAATCCGACATGGTGACAGACTGTCGCTGGCCAAACGCTCGAAGCTTTCGTCGCAAGATCTAGTGTCAGAGGTTTGGGTTGTTGAGATAGGCGAAAGGGAATCTGAAGCAAGAAAAGATCTCAAATCAAAAAGCTCAAACGCAGAAAGTCAGAAGTACACGAGGGACGGGGAGGGGACGGGGGACGAGAGAAATCCGTCTCGAACCCCCAAGACATCTTCCCTACCTTTGCTCAGGATTTGGGCTGGAAGGGACATGCAGTAGCGAAAGTTCTCCATATCCGAGAGACGATGGCTGTATGTAGAAAAGTGTTATGAGATTAAGGCTGAACCAGCGGGCGGTAGGATTTTGGCGTCATGGTGCTAGCATGGATGACCGTGGGCCGACCTTGAGCAAGGCTGGTCCGTGTAGCTCGCCCCGAGCAAATTCCCATGCCCTACGGAGTTCGGAGTGCTCGTATTCAAGCCTTCCTGTGCTCCGATGCTGTGGCCCAGGCCCGTTTGTGCAACGAAGCATCATTGCCCTTGGAGGAGCGAGAAACTAGGACTGATTTTTTCCCGTGTCACACAAAGTGAAGCTCATGATCTTCCATCGGCGCTCTGGAAGCACACTCCTCAGGCTATCCCATGGTCCTGGGAAAGAGGAAGAACCGGTGTATGACGGACTGTTTAGAAGCTGTGGAGGCAAGTGACTGATCAGGGTCCCAAGAACGAGGGAAAAGCGAATGACATTAACAAGCCTGTATCCACAAGAAACCCAAGCTGTGGAAGCGGAATGTTCAAAATTCGACGGCTGAGGTTGGCATTCAGGCCTCCCGTCGAAATAGCAAGAACCGGAGATCTCTGGGCGAATAGTAGCACGGTGGACCGACGATCTCATTTCACGATTGGATCGCTTGTGGACGTTGGAAGAAGTCAATTTCAACCCATCGTCGTGAAAAGGGGGCCGAGGCCGGAGAATGAAAAGTCGAATGGCAACTAGTTGAACAGCCACATGGTGATAGTGTGAGCAGAATCCATGACATTGAGTTTCGATGAAACAGCCACCAAATGTACCGGGGTGATCAAAGAAATTGGGCAGAAGGACAACGACAGGACTTTTGCATATCACATACTCCATACGGATGCCAAAGAGATCAACACAAACAGATACACGTCGTCACCACTAAATTTCACCGTGTCAGTACTGATACGAGTACGAGTGCGAGTACCGAGAGCCAAGAAGCTATTGAGGCTGAACTTCGGACATGGAGTTTCTTCTCCCCGAACCGCTGTCACGTTTTCCCGCTCCGAGAGAGACATTGACCTCACGTGGTATGCAAAGTCTTCCCGTCTCAGAGCTTCATCCATTCATCCGTCCAATCTCTAGACAAGATCGTTGCTATGGACTGTCATCATGTATCAAAAGAAACTATATCCAGCCCTTCTATAAGGCTGAGATCAAGTGAGGAGTTCAGACATGTTCGTAGATGTCTTTACTTTACACAGCATTCCTTCTAAGTATACCCATGTATTGATCTAAATGTTCACAATCATATGGAGATGAAAATGATTGCTTGCTCACCAAAAAGGGTCTCAAGAATACAAATCCAATAAAGACTGCCCTTCTCAGTGCATTGTACGTGAATTCCCTATCATCATCGACCGGTCATCAGCCAAGTCATCATGAAGCAGAAGACAGGGGATATCAAGGCAAGGTAGGCCAATTCAATACTCACGATGGCGACCGTGCTCAACCAGTCGTCGTTACAGATACCTCTCACGGTCCATAAAGACATTCAAACCCCCAATAGGTACCAGGTTCACATTGAATCATTTTCGTGTTTTCCCGTCCGCCGGTGAGGTGCTTTGGACGGCGGACTCATTGACTGCGGTGCAAGTAAGATCCTTTGCAACAACAACCCTTCCAAAAACACACGCAGGCACTTTCTTCGTCTTCATCTACACCAGCCTTCTCATTTGCGTCATTCCATCATCAAACCTCAATCCATCTGTTTCAGGATGGATGTAGATCGTGTAACTCCAACCGGCCATCCAAACTACAAAGTCTACCTGTCCGACGACGCCATCAAATCCCTTGTCTGCCGCAGTCTCCCTGACATCAAGAACAAGCACATTACGGTCGAACAGCTGGGATCGGGAAAGTCCTTCAACAATAGAATCTACTACATACACCTCAGCACTCCCACGTCGATTGCTAGGCCCAGCTGGAACGGTGGTGCCGTCGACGTCACAAAGAACCCAACCCGTGAAGAGGTGACCAGCCTAGTCCTCAAGATTTCAGGGTTCCCCTTTGGTGGCGAGAAGATCCAGAACGAACTCTGCTGCCTGTTGCTCTTCGAGAAGTACTGTCCGTCCATCCCGGCGCCGAAACTAGTTGCATGGTCCGAAGACGGCCGCCGCATCAAGACCCCGGTCGACCGGCGAGGTTCACGAGAACGCTCCGCCTCTGCGCCCACCCAGCTCAAGTCACTGACCCTCGAAGACGAGACGGCCAAGAGCCGTGAAGAAACAAACGGCCAGGGCTGGCTGCTCATGACACGCACACCGGGCCGCACCATAACTCAAGAAGACCTCGTCGCGCACGGCAAGGTCCTCATGGACGAAATCGCCGGACACGTCGCGACGTGGCGGAAATGCCTACCTCCGACTCGCGCAGTGGGCAACATGCGCTTGATCGGCAGCAAGTCCATCCCTCATCCTGCCGCCACGCTCTACGACAAAGCCATCCTGCCCGGCCTAGACGTATACATCCAGGGAATAATCATCAAAAAGGATCGCCCGCAGTCCCCCCTGACATCGCACCTCGAGTACATCTCGTACATCTTCCGTTCGAACATCAAGGCACTTCAGGCCGACGCACTCATGGGCCTGCACAAAGAAGAAGTTAGAGACGTCGTGAGGCAATTCATGAAAGATACACTCCCCAAGCTCTCCCTGCTCAACAACGAGAAGCAGACGGCCGAGTACATGGCCTTTACACACTACGACATTTCCCCGCGCAACGTGCTCGTCGAACAAGCCAGGCAACGCCGCCCCACCAACGACAACAGTCCGCCACGCGTGTCCGTCTGTGCGGTGATCGACTTCGAGTTCGCAGGCTTCTACCCGCCACCCGAGGAGTTCACCCACACCGTCGAAAACAGCCAGTCGGAATGGGCGGTGACGTTGTTCGGCGAGCTGCTCGCCGCCGTTGACCGTCGCGGTGCCTTGCCCGCCTGCATCGCGGAGAACGTCCGTCCCGAACCCATGGATGGCGTGGTGGTCGGTTTCGGCGGAGACGAGCACTTCCCCTTTGGAGGCCCCGAGTTCCACCAGGCCGTCTTGCTCCATCGCATCGCTACCAACATCGCCCCTTGGTGGATCAAGGAGAGCAGCGGCTACACGCCTGACGAGTTGAGGAAGGAGCTCGATGACGCCAGGGCTCGCATCGAGAAGGCCATTCAAGTCCTCGAGAAGATGGCCAAGCGTAATAAGTAGGACCTACCTCGTCGAGTCGGAAGAGGACCATGGAGGGGGGGCCAGTTTCAAGTCCGACGCGAATTCGGGGGATCAAAGTGGGAGAGTAGAGGGAGAGTCGGATCGGGGAGTAAACCCGGCAGTCGCAGTCGCCGCTTGCCCTCATTTACGCTAAAGGTGCGCATTTAAATTCGAACAAGTGAGGGAATAGAACACGACGCAGCCAACGCCACGAGCTCAAAAGAGATGCATGACCTGACACGCGAAGAGGAGCTATTCCACCCCCAAGGCAGGCCCCATGTACAGACATATCACGATAGAGAGAACGAGTTAGATCGACATAGATCGACATAGAGACAAATCACATAAGAAATAGAAATGTGCCACTTTGAGTCCTGAAGACGTGAAGTGGTATTTCACGGACATGGCATGACATGACTAGACAATATACGGAGATCAGTAAAGTTTACTTTAAAATTCTTCAGAACCTATCGACAAGGCATACATCTGCGTAATTCATTCATGGTTGACAAAAAGGCCTCAGCTCAAAACCTTCTCGACTCGCCAGCCACTCTTGCTATTGACGTCCATGACCTGTCGAACCTTGGTAGGCGGCAGAGGCCACCCGTACCCTCCCGTGCCCTTGGCCCCTCGAAGTTCGACATTGACCCAGCACTCTCTCCGTCTGGGCGTGCCGGGGACATCCTCGATTTTACTCTTCGCCACGGGTTTGCCGTACTCGATCATGGCCGTGTCCCTGGCCAGAAACGCCAGCTGGGTGCCGTCGAGCGGGGTCAGGGGGAACATTCGTATCTTGGAGGCCGCGAATCCAGACACGACTGCGCGAGCTTGTGCGCGCTGTAAATGACTGTAACAGATGTACTCCGGCACGTCCTTGACGCCGAGCCTGGCCAGAACGCTAGAAGGGTGGATGTAGACGGCTCTCTCCAAGAGCGTGGCAGATGCCCTGTCGTGCAGCGGCACCAGGGGAATATAAGGGACGTCGATTGCCCTTCGAGGCTTGGGTGTCGTGCCAAGATCGACGTAGTTGGCACTTTGATCGTACCGGACGGCGACTTGGTCGATGTATCCCGACGCCGCTATCGTGTTCAACTGTTTGATTTTACTCTTCCCTTTTGAAGTGCTGTCGAGGGAAACGTTGGCCTTGCTCGCGGCGAGAACTTCGTTGGTGATGGTGCGGTTGTTGGAACGGACAATTGACTCGAGTTGACCTCGAAGTTGCGCGATCTCGGCCATGGCTTTGGGTCGCAGGAAGAAATCTCGGCATACTTGTTCCTTGTCGGCCGCGGTGAGGTATAACGTCACGGCAGTAAGAAGCTTCATCGCATCGGAGCTTTTGTCGGACTTGCTCAGTACAGCGCGGGCACGGCCGTATGCTTGCTTCACTCTGTCGCGCTCGTCGTCATCTTGTTGATCTTCACGGGTGTATACTTCATTGTTGCTCGAGGAGACGTTGAGATCGAGCTGGGCTTCTGTTATGAAGATTTCAGGAACAGCAAGCGCCGAGACCAGTGTCAGTACATGCCAGAGGACATTGAGATCCGTGACACCAGCCGCCAGGATCTTGCCGAGGCGTGGTGAGAGTGGGTAGATGGAAAGCTGTTTGCCTAGATCGGTAATGGGACCAGATTCTGTGAGTGCGCCTAGATTTTTGAGGAGCTGCTCTGCCTTGTTCAGCATTGAAGCACTCGGTGGCGTTGGAAAGGGGAACTGTGCGATGGGTCTCGGGTATGCGAAGCCTTTGAGCTGCAAGACTATGCTCTCAGCCGGCGCTCTGAGAATTTCAGGTTCGGCATGATCGGGGAAAAACTGCTCATAGACAGCCGAGGTGTACAGACGCCAACAATGTCCAGGTCCCGTACGACCAGCACGCCCTGCTCGTTGTTGAGCACTGGCCTTGCTGATATAGTCAATCTCGAAGCTCTGCACTCCGGTGTCAAGATTATATTTGCGCTCTTTGCTGCGCCCCGTATCGAAGACATACCGGATCCCGGGAATTGTCAAACTTGTCTCAGCGACATTAGTTGCCAGGACTATCATTCGAGCTCCTGAGGGTGGTGGCTCAAAGACTTTGAGCTGTTCCGTAGTTGGCAGCTGGGAGTACAACGGCAATATGTGTACGGAAGTGTAGGGTTCATTTGAGGGTGTGGTAGTGGACTTGAGCAGCCCAGTCGAAGTGTCATTGTTATCTTCGCCCTCGTCTTCATTGTCAGAGATGTCGAACTCGTCATCTTCGTCTTCCTCGTCAGAATGTGTGAGAATATCCACGTCGAAGTCGTCTTCCCTGGTATTAAATTTCGGATCTCCAATCTCCAAGTCTTCTGCTTCCAAAGGTGCTTCACTCGCTGCTACCTGAACGCGAGGTATTGCGGCACCAGTAGAGGACTGTTTTCCGGGCGCAAGCAATGCTCTCAGCCGGCTACTAACTTGTCGAATCTCATTCTGACCGGTCAAGAACACCAGAATACCACCTTTCGGTAGTTTCTTGTGAGCGCGCCTGACCTTTTCGATGACCTCTTCCACATAGTCCGCCCTAGACCTTAGCGCGAAGTGTGTGGTGACTCTGTGCTGACGGCCCTCAGCTTCAACCATGGGCGGTCTCACCGCAGGAGAAAAGAGCTTTTCGTGGAGAAAATCATCAAGGTTCAGGGTAGCAGACATGATGATCAATTTCAAAGGCTTGGGGTCCGGATTGAACTTGCTTTTTTGCATCCGCGCTGGAACAACCTTGCTGAGCATGCCAATGAGGATGTCCGTGTTGACGCTCCGTTCGTGCGCTTCATCGATGACGATCACCGAGTACTTCCTCAGTAGGAGGTCCTGCGACAGTTCTCGTAATAGAATTCCGTCGGTCATGAACTTGATCGCAGTGTCTGGAGACACAGTACTGTCGAACCTGATCTGATAAGAGACCTTCTTGCCCGAAGGCCCTAGTTCTGTCGCCACTCTATTTGCCATGCTGACCGCAGCTACACGACGTGGTTGCGTTATACCTATCATTCCGGGTGACGGTCCCTCAGACGAGCCATATCCTGCTTCAAACAAGAACTGAGGTAGCTGTGTAGTCTTACCGCTGCCGGTATCGCCTTTGACTATGACCACAGCATTGTTGTGTACAGCCTCCATGATTTCCTGTTCTCGCTGTATGATGGGGAGGGCGGAGCGGGATTGCTGAACCGAGTCTGATCGTTCGACTTGGACAGAGTACACACTTCTTAGAGTTGCTGAACGAGGAAGTTCAGGAAGAAGGCCAGGCTTGACAGTTTGAATAGGCCTGGTTGTTTGTACGGGAGGAGCAGGCTTTGGCAAAAGCTCGCCCTCACCAGAAGTGTACGACGGCGTATGTCCCACGGCTTGGTTTAACTGCGTCGTGGCCCAGGTTTTGAAGGCGGACTTTCTGGGAGCCAACTTTTGTTGACCAGACATTTCGGATGTCTCGCTCCCAGAATCTTCGTCTTCTGAGCCATACTGGTCGTCGTCGTCGTCGTCTTCATCATCGTCCTCGCCACTTTCCGCTGAGTCGGGGTTCGAAGTCGATTCGTCCGAATCTGACTCCCCCATTTCACTCGACGTTCCATCATCAGAACTATGTCCAGATTCGCTTGGCTCTGAATCAAATCCTTCCCAGGGCAGTTCTTCGGATATCTCTTCTTGTGCCCTCTTTTGCTTTTTGCTCTTCCGAGTCTGGATCACGGGCAACCCATTCTCGTCCAGCACCAATGGCTGCGCAAGGCCGAGGCCTTGAGATATAGCGGCAGGGATTTTGGCATCGACTGACCCATTTTCTTCGTTTGTGAAAGCACTCCTGTTTTCGGCCTCGAACGAGTCCTCGCTCTCGAGGTCGGAATCGTCCTGCTGCTGCTTCTTGTTGTCTGCCTTCTTCTCTGGTGCTGCAACCCTTCCCGAGCCACTTAAAAAGGCGCCAAAACTGCGTTTACCAAGGTGACTCGAGTCTGGTAACGTCGCTTCGTATTTCTCGTTCTCTTTCTCTAGTTTCCGCAATAAATCATGCGTCTCGTCCTTCTTTAGCTTGTTCTCGATATATTTGTCCAAGCGCTTTTGTTTCTTGGAGGATATTTTGATCGGTTGCTGTGACCTCAACTCCTCTTTCAGTGCACGTCTTCTCTCCTCTTTCTCGGACTGGCTCAACGGCACGATGATCTCTTCATTGGCGGTGGGTTGCGGCGCGTGCGGCCGTCCTGCCTGTTCTCGTGCAAGGACTTTATGTTTCCGCTGGCGGGGGACAAACCGAGGCATAGCCGGTTCACCTCGTTCACGACGGATTGAACACCAGAGGCAACAATCGCCTCACAGCCTTCCAAAAACTACACCTGTCCGCAGTTTCTTGAATTCGGATTCGAAAAAAGTTTTGGCCGGCAGAATTTTAGGGTGGTGAGGGGATGTTTGGGCGGTGAGCGGGGAATATCAGAGGGCCTTATCCCTTACGATCTACGACTACATACGCACTCTCGATGGGTTTCTCAAGCAATGCATTCGCCTGAGATATCGGGTGTAGTGTCATGTAGATGCTAGAGGGATGAACAGCTTCATAGCACAATCCATACAGCAATTGAGTGGTTTGAACAATTAAATTGGGCGTTTCAGTATTCCTGTAAAGTCGAAAGTAGAATATTCTATTGCAAACAGGCAAGTCCGCCGAGGATACTTTTCAACCTCAACACTCGTCGAAACACCGTCTTGTGGCTGGTTTTTCCTATTCAACTTACGGATACCAGACTCACGAATTGATGGGACTGCCGCAAGACTACCGATTGTCAGTCATGGAAGACACCAGAGTCACTCTGCCCTTCCCGGCACCCACAAAGCAAGTCACCGGCAAAATCAACGGCACCAAAACCGACGTGATGTACATGTCATTCGCCGACAAGATACTTATCACCATCACCCAGAACGGCAGACTATCGCAATGGGTAATAAGTCGATCTCAGCACTCGCATTGGATTTCCGACTTACTTCTCATAGGTCACCGTGCCGCTCCTCAGTGACAACCCGACCCAAACAGATCCTTACTTCCAGACCACGCGGTCAGACGAGGACAGTCTATTACCATCAGCGCGCTTCACGCCACGAGTTCTACTCGGCGCTGGCGGTTCCGACCGTGAAACCATGGGCCAGGTCTACGCTTCACAGATTGCAAATGCCATTGTCACGAAGTCTCCCGAGGAAAGTCGGTCACTTATGCTGGGCCTTGGTCTGGCAAAGGTCGAACTCGACAGGGATGTCTTCTTACAGATCATCGACCTTGTTCTGTCTGTTCTCTGATCATGTTACATTGCGTACGATACTACAGGAGCTACCTGTGGACGGCATCGATCAAACATGGCGATCTAGCATGCCACATCCGCCTCCCACTGCCCACTGAGGGAGGATTTGTTCTTAACCCTTTGATCTCTTCAAGGGAGGCATTGATTTCGTAATCACCCTGTGCGAGCGCGATTATGCCAAGTTCAGCGACACACAGGCCTCCAGGTTCGATTGCAGGATGCAAGGCACGCTGAAGAACTCCAGTCCAAGCAAGGCGCCTCGATAGGTCTAGAGCGATATTATGAGGCTGGTTTCGAAGACTGGGCTGAAGTCGCAGGAGGAGTTTCAGCGTGTCTCGAGTGCGGTTGTGGATCTTGATAGATAGGGTGGCGAACAACTCAGTCTTCATCGTGAAGTGGTATCGCCCTGTCTGCTGAATAGCTTTATCATCACCATCCGGTGATTCGGGCTTTTCAGCTAGCACCAGGCCATATTCGATCTCAACATGATCTGATTTCAGGGCATCTACCATTCTTGGGCTCAACCTGATGCCCTTCCTGAGGTCGATAGTCCCCTTCCGCCCGTATGGTTCCTCTTTCCATGTGCCCCGCAAGCACTTTATAAGCTCTTCGCGGTACCAGAACGATTCCCGACTGGCTGCTTCGGTTTCAGGGCTTAACTTGGATTTTGAGACCACGAATTGCTTCTGGGCGTCGAGGTTAGGTATGGGCGCGGATGGATCTTGGATGAAGAGACGCGGTATCAGGAGAATGACCCGGTTTATGTGGCCTGGTTGCAGGATTTCCTGGACGGAGAAAGCATCATCCCAGAGGTCCTTGGCCAATGTACCATCCAAGTCCGGTCTCTTTGCTTGGATGTCGATACTTAGAGGTTTTGGCCATACATTGCGAAGATCCAGAGATAGGAGGCAGTAATCGTATGCATCCCGACGTGTCTTTAGCCAATGAGACAAATGGGGGATATTCCTGTTCCGAGTTTCATCGACCTCATTGCGGATCTCATGATTGTTCTGTTGGAATTCTTCGTTCCAAGCAAAGTCATTATGAATTGGGAGGATGTTGCACCTGAGGATCTCTACACTTCCATTGACTGTGATCGAAATGGGAAATCGCACCTGTCGTGTGTAGAAATTGCCATTGATCTTCGAAGATGGTGCTCCGAGATATGCGAAATCTGCTTGGACAGTGGCGCTCACAAGGCCGGGCCTACCAACAATACTGGCCGTATACCCTATACTCCGTCCCGGGTTCAGTGGTGAATCTGAATCTGGTCGATCCTTGTCTTCAATAACCACAACCGGATTGGTCGCTAGCTGCGTTTGTATTTCGTAAAGATCGGCAGGAATGAGGTCTTTGCTTGCCAAAGCATCCTGCAATCGCGAGGTGACAGAGTCCTCTGTTGTAACTAGTACAAAATCGGCCGAGATGGTGTTGCTTTCATTGACCAGTTTGAACTCAAAGCGACGGAGCTCGCCTTCTAGTAACATTATAGCTGCGGTGTCTAAATCTGTAGGTTTGATAGTCAGCCGTGGCTGCGGATCGATGACCTTCAGTTTTAAGGGGGTCGGGACTGGCGACTGAAACTTGAGATCTGTGTCTGTCTCAACCTCGCGTTCAGAGAAGCCTTTATATTTTCTCCTCATTCTGCCCACAGCATCATCCTTGGGAGCAGATGGCAATTTCCAACTGTTGTTAAAGATGAGGAAGTCTTGGGCGTAGCAGTTTCGGATGGTCGCCCGACACCCAATGACTTCAATATGGCCACTTCGTGAGGGTTTGCCAGTCAACGTAAATGTCTGCGTCGAGAATGGCCCTAACACTATACTGTGTTGTGACGCCGCGAATCCACAGCCTGTGGTGATAAGCTGTATCTGATCAATCTCGACATCGACTTCCAGTGGGTTCTGCAATACGACGGCGAATGTCGCCAGTTCCTCAGCAACCAGTACTGGCGCAGCGATTACTGACTTGCCTTTCGAGAAGGGATTGTAAATGAAGGGGTCGCGTACGGTCTCGACAAGACTGGTGCCTTTGATAGAGAGGTCGCTTGGCTTATGTGGAATGAGTTTCGTGAAAGAATCGTGTTCGAACACCTTCACGTCTCGGACAAGAAAGTCGTCCCAATACTCTGCTCGATGGCCATTCTCACCAATGCGCGACGCTGCTGCAATAGCCCTTTTCAAACTTTCCAGAAATTTGTTCTGTTCTTCCGCTGTGATTAGCGGAATAGCTAAGCATGGCTCCTGGAGAGGCATGGTGATTACTTGCTTTGCAGCCCGGAGGATATTCGATGTAAAGTGTAAGCTTGCTGGTATATCTGGCAAAGCGTCGCAGACCACGACACAGATTCGTAGCATTTCTATCTTCAATAAAGTGTCTCCGAAGCTATGCTCGATGGCCCATGCTCGCAGTTTGGATTGTATGGCTTCCAGCCTCGCTGGAATGACTTCCTGAGGGTGAGGGACGGGGGTCAGAGGTAAGCCATACGCAGCAGCGGCAAGGTCCAGTGCAAGTCTTGTCCCAACAGCCATCTCCGGAATGATTCCTTGGGATGCGTTGTTAACAGGTGGAAGACCTGCAGCAGGATGTACTCCCACCTCAGATGCTCCGACTTTCCTCGCCTCGATAAGCCTTGGAACCAGTTGTTGCAACAGCATCTTCAAATAGAATGCGTGTTTCCGATCCAGTCCCAGGGTCGACAAGCTGCTGGATACGGCAACGAGTGTAGTCGTGTAGTGCCACATACTGTTGCTTGACTGGGCTGTTTGGAGTGTCTCGATCAGAATGTTAGCCAGACCAGCCTTGGAGATAGCAACAGGTTCGCCTGTGTTTTCTCCGAGACCTAGCTGTCCTGTTATGATTTGGTTGAGACAGTCTTTACTCAAGACGTTGCCATTCCGTTTCACGCATACCAACAAGTTCACAAGCCTGATACGAGACTCCCGTAAGACGTCCTGCAGAGCTCCGCCTAGGTCTAAATTCGAGACATTCGCATAGAGTTCAATAACAGTCTCGACGATTGGCGGCATCAATTGAGCAAGCGCCTTGCCAGAGTCTGTTGATGTTGGACTTGAATCAGTCTGAAGGTAGCCGCTTCTGTTGGGAAGAGAACGACAGACTTGAGGTATGGTAAATTTAGAGTCCGACCACGACAACAGTATCATGCATACAAGGAGGCTTTCTAAGGCTTTTCCGTGCCACAAGTGGTCGTGGCCGTTTTGTGCAACGGAAATTCCATCAGAGAGGCAGTCCAGTGCATGGCTCCACAGGCCATTCTGTAGTCGAAGCATGCCTTGGATGATGTTGAAGCGGCCTCGAGAGGTGTCGCTTTGTGCTTCGGTCTCGTGCGCCATAGAGGTTGCGTTTGGAGATCGTGTCGTTGCTGGGGTAGAATTTCCGTCGTCAGGATTGGGTGTGCGGCCACCTCGCAAGGGAAGCGAGGAGCTGATGCCTGGTAGCATGCCCGGGACCATACTAATCGGCCGATCCCTAAGCCCATCTATCGTGTCTGTGGTACGACTCATGAACGCTCGCGACAAAGCGAGCATGACATGATGCGCGGCGGCTCTGCTATCTTCATCTGGCATTGAAAGGATGTCTTCACCTAGTGCGGCTGAAGGTTGTCTCCCACACCAAATAAGTTGGCGCACAAGTAAGCCGCTTATCGACGGAGGCTGGTGTAAAAAAGCATCTTTGATGGACTGAAGTACAACAGACGCATTATGCGGAGCCGCTTGGTTACGCGAGGCTGACTGTGAGAGTCCTTCGACTCTGTCGCCATCAATGAGGCCTAGCAGTATTTGACTCCGGCTGTTCGTTTCAAAGGGGAAAAGATCCGGCCGTCGCGCATCTTGATATGTCGAGATATCGTAAAATATCCGGCCATTGCGATGCGCTAGAGATGAATAGTCAGTATAAGCTGTTCGATCAACGCATCCCTAATCGTCCATACCTTGGCCGGTTTCCGAAGGCTCGATGTCCTCAACCTGGACAATGGCGGAGCTCTGTAGTGTTTTGACAAATCTCTGAAACCGGTCTGGCGTTATCTGACCGGCTGGCACACAGAGCACGTTGACTTTTGCTCCAGCAATAGGGTCGAAAGGGTTGTATCCCATATTCCTTGGTGCATTGTTGACATACAAATAATGAATTGTACAGGAGACTCTGGTTTGAGGTTGATTCACCGACTCACGTGTTTTCGCGTTCAGCTAAGACCAGACACCCACATTGGCGCAATGTTGAGTACCTCCGTACTCCGTGCTACGTACCGCCTAAGGCACACTACTGGGCGGTTACTTAGGCTTACGCACCCTAATGACAGGGCTTTATTAACAGAGCCTAGGCTACGGCCGTTGGTGGTATCACAGGCTTCTAGGCTCATTCCAAGGCGCTCTCTGGTTCATCTCCACGCAATTTGCAGTTGCCTACGGAGTTACTCCGTACTTACCTCTCCGGAGATGGTCCCTGGATCGACGTCAGTGAACAGCCTTGCAGACAGATTCGCCTTGTTCAAACATTCACATCTAAACTCCGTCTCAGGTTGAATCGCCACTTCTACCACTCCTTAGAAGCAACATGTTATAAGACTTATGACTTTTGTGCCTTTCTCTTCTTTTTAGCGTTTCTCTACCCCTTTTCTTTTTGTCTGCGTTGTTTCGGTCAAGATGGATTTCGACGCTTTGCGCGCCCAGACCCTGCGGTCTGGTGCGGACGAGGAGGCTGTCACCGTCAACACTCGCGCACTGATAGACAAGGTTTTGGCAAGATATTCTGGAGAGTGGACAGTCCTCAGAGAGCTTTTGCAGAATGCTGCCGATGCCTCAGCCACCAAGATCATCATCAAGTTCGAAACTCTGCCCTCCTCAACCGTCCCTCTTCCCACCGATTCCTCACCTTCCAGCTTGTTGAAGCATACTGTGCAGAATCATACTTTGAAGAGACTGGTGGTTACAAACAACGGAGTACCATTCAGCGAGAATGACTGGAACCGTCTGAAGAGAATTGCGGAGGGAAATCCGGACGAAACCAAAATCGGAGCGTTTGGTGTGGGCTTCTACTCTACATTCGCAGATTGCGAGAACCCGTTCGTCTCATCTGGCAAAGAGGCGATGGCATTCTTCTGGAAGAACAACTCGCTGTTCACAAGACGACTACAGTTGCCAGACTCGGAGAACAGTGGCAACACAAACTTCGTCCTTGACTATCGAGACACTACATCTCCTGTACCTCCACTATTACCGCTTGCCCAGTTCCTGGCGAACAGCTTGACCTTTGTGGGTTTAGAAAACATCGAGCTTTGGTTAGATGACTGGAATGTACTGTCCCTGACAAAGAAGACGTCACCGAGCTACGACGTTGCATTACCTCGAGACATCGAGCCTAAGACGAGGGAGGGCTTCATGAAGGTGGCCAAGGTCGGTAAAGAGATAGCCCAGATCGACGGACAATGGATGGGCATTATCGGTTGGAAAGCAGCCAAAGACTCGACCCGTATAGCAGATCGAGATTCGGCACCATCTTTTCGAAAATTCTTCTCCCGGTTAGCTGGTTCTATTACGGAAGAACAACAGCCTGAGTCTCGCCCGGAAACGCCCAGTCATGCTGAGGTATTAGCTTCGAGGGTATCGGCTACAGTATTCTTAAACGTCAATACCGCAACTATAAAGACGTTTACTGGTCAAAAGTTCAATGAGGAACTGGAACGTGCTACAAAGAAGCCACCACCGAAATTCACAAAACTTGCCATTTTGACAGCACCGTACATCCCAGATGATAGCCTTACCAAAGCATCAGCATCTGGGGATGTTTTTGGCACCGTGTTACCAAGCAGAGGAGGCAAGATCTTCATCGGCTTCCCCACCCATCAGACAACTGGCTTAAGTGCTCACATTTCGGCGCCTTCAGTAATCCCGACAGTTGAGCGAGAGTCCATCGACTTGAACGCGAGATACGTGAGAACTTGGAATATGGAAATGCTTCGGGCGGCTGGTATCGTGTGCAGAATTGCCTGGAGCTGTGAGATGCAGGAGATCAAGGAAAAGACAATGCGAGAGGCAAATGGTAGATCCAAGATCCGTTTAGAAGAAGTGAATCCCTTTTTGGACGAGGCGATTACGATCTTCAAAAATTTCACCTTCCGAGAATCGACACCCTCAGGACAGATTGGTCAGCTGCTGGAAGACGCCTTTTGGACTTGCAGTAAGCAAGCGTCGATCGAAGTTGTTTCAACTTGCGGCGTTCTGCCTACTCATGATGTCCGTGTTGCTCCCAAGGACATGAGTTTCATGGAAGGCATTCCGATATTACCTGAGAAACTGGCTACGGAAGCGAAGGTTCTTGTCAACAAGCTTATTGACTTTGGCCTGATCACCGAAGTTACTGTCTCTGACATCAAAACAGCCCTTGAATCCAGCCCACTAACTACTGCGCAAGTATCAGAATTCCTTTCATGGCTCACGAAACAAGCCTCGCGAGGACAGCTGGACATGAACACCACCAAAAGCCTCTTATCCGTCGCTGTGGCCAACCACGAAGAAGATGGTGAAGGTTGTATTCCCTTCCTTCAGCTCGGAGAGATCAAGCATTTCCTCAACGCAAGCAGAACACCTGTTCATCTCCCAGTCCCACCTACCGTGATGCCTTACAAGTTTACCAGAAGCATGAGCAAAAACGAATTGGAAAGCCTTGGATGGGAAGAGTTGCAACTTGTCCCTTGGATGAGATGGCTTGTAGCTCAATCAGGAAATCGACAAATATTGACTGCGGCCCAAGACATCACAACGTCAGCAGATTTCAGCTCTCAAGTACTGCCTCTCTTGTCCAAACAGTGGGATTCGTTGAGTCAATCCTCCAAGACGTCTCTTGTAGAGCTGCTGGCTAAACAAACAGTCATGCCCACAAGATTCGGCATGAAAAAGCCTGGGGACTCTTACTTTCCACAAGTGAAATTGTTTGATGATCTTCCAACTATCCAAGGACTGGGCAATGTCAAGGACAAGTTTTTGGTGGCGTTGGGTGTCAGAAAGACTGTAGAACTCGGTGTTGTTTTCGAACGACTCCTTTCAATGGACCCTAGATCAGCAAAGAGCGAGAACACTAAACAACCACAATGGAGCCATATTGACCTTATTGGCTACCTTGCCTCTGTGAGGGATGATATTCCGAAGGCGGACATCCAGCGGCTTCGAACCACTCCGATTTGTCCTAAGCAAACTAAAAGCAATGACGAAGAAGATTCCTCCAAGCGGTATAGAGTGTCTGAGCTATTTGAGCCGCGTGCTGAGCTTCGAGAGCTGGGTCTTCCCGTTCTGGCGTGGCAAGGTGCGTACCGGAGCAATAGTACGGAAGGCAGGTTTTTAAGCTCTTTGGGACTTCGTACTACGCCATCTGTCGAAGAACTGGTTGCAATCATGGCGACTGCAGGGAAAAAAGATGCGCCGAATTTGGACCTGCGAGACAGGGCTTTGGTATATTTCCTCTCACACCACCATGCTCACGGATATGGTACATACAACTATTCGAGCATAAAGTTGCCGTTTCTGCCGTTGGAAAACAAACCTGACGAACTTGCAACTCCCTCACAATGTTTCGCAGATCCAGGTGCGGCTCTCCTAGGGTTCGACATCTTGAAGCGAGACTGGATACCACATGCTGCAGAGTTCGGCATTAGGCCCAACCCTCCAATGGACGGCTGCATCAATGTACTAGCGAAGCGACCTCCGACAACGTATGACGAGGCTCACACTATCTTCATATATTTCGCCGGACGGCTGGGCGAACTCGATGCGAACCATATTGCACGGCTTCACGATTTACAATTTGTTCCAGTATTCGCCAAGAATAGAGAAAAGTCTGCACCGAGAACGCATGCCTCGCCGCGAAATGTTTTCTTGGGTGAGAGTGATGTCTTCGCCGAAATCTTCAATTACGTTGATTTTGGCACCGAAGCGAATTCGTTTCTCATGCGATGCCATTCCAAACTAGAACCCACAAAGATCGAGATCGCTCAGATCCTAGTTAAGGAACCTGCACGTATCTCGGCTACATTCCGCAACGTCGAGAAATACATGGCATTGCTACGCAGTATGGCTGACAGCAGCAAAGATCTCAAAAAGAACAGAGACCTTTGGGCGGAGATGAAACGGGCACCATTCTTGCTTGCAAGCAAGGAACTCCCCGTTGCGCAGCCCAGTGGAAACAAACCTAGCATTGGTGAAGATGATGTCGACGTTCTTGACGAGGAAGAAGCACAAGGAATCCGTGAGTTCCAGCTGTGTAGCGCTCAAGATGCTATCATCATTGACGATTACCTCAACTTTAATCTTTTCAAGAACAATATATTGGCAGCGCCACAGGAGGAAAACCTCGAAGATTTCTACTATATGTTAGGTTCTCCCTTGTTGAGCTCTCTGGTCGAAGAAGCTGCTCGCCATGGTCCTCGAGCCCATGACCAGAAGCCTGCAGAGAAATTACAGAAGTTGATCCTGGAAAGATCGACGTTGTTCCTACATGAGCAGCCACGTGATACTATCAAGCACGATGCAAGATGGCTGGAGAAGAATCTGTCCGTCCAACTAGTCTCTTCGATTTCGCTGAGAAGATCTCTCAAGGGGCGTAACACCAGCCACACTGAGAAGCGCACGGCTGTTATTACCCTTGATGACCGAAAGTACATACTCTGGATCACAGGAGCCAAACCAGATCTGTACCAAGTGAGCCAAGCCCTAGTACATATTTTGCTCAACAGGCCGAAGCTTCATTTGGCGATTACGTTGGAGATGCTGCTGAAGACGGAACTTTTGGACCTGCGTGCTCGAGGATTCAATGTCTCCAGGATCTTGAGGCAAAAGGCAGCTGAACAACGTCTCGCTGAGAGCAAGCGACAGCAAGAACTCGAGGAACAGCAAAAACGTATTGAGGAGGAGCAAACGGCGTGGCAAGCGTCGCAAGCACAAGCTGCCCAGGAGAAGTCGCAGCGAAACCAGCTGCCGGGTGGCTTCCCTGACTCGCCAGAATCCAGAAGTCTCACCCACAACCCAGAAGTTGCGACACCTTCGGTCTCGATGGACGACAGTCAGAGGAGACACGGTCGTAACCTCTTCTCCAATCTGTCCCGTCAGTTAGGCCTGAGCAATAACCGCCATATCCAATCCATGCTTGGTCAGGACGCCAGTAACAACCCTCAGGCGGTCGCTGGCAGTGGTGGCGATCATGAGCCACCCCCACCGTACCAGTTTGATCAGAGAGGTGGTAAGGCCGGCCCTGAGCAATCCATTACGGCACCGCATCAACTCCGTGAGAATCTACTCAATGCAATCAAAAAATCACGTTCACATAATTCTACGGACATCTTCAGCCCTGGTGAGACCAACGTTCTCACCGAAAAGAAATCGTACTGCGACGAACGTCCTGCTCACGATCTCACTTTTGTGGCCGACATCAAGCATGGTATCCAGATGTACCTATCTCCTTCAAGCGTGGATAATTCGTCGGCCTTTCTTCAACGAAGTTCGGCTGGATTGACAGCATTTGCAACTTTGCTCAAAGAAGTTGGGGAAGTATTCAGTCTCAATCCGCGGACAATCAATATCTTTTTCGAAGCTTCTGGCAAGACCATTGGTTTCAACCGCAACGGGAGTATTTTCTGCAACTATCGATACTATTACGATTTACATGAAAAGAATGCCACAGCAGTAGGTGGGGATGGGTTTGCCGAGGCGTTTGTGTATTGGTGGGTTATACTCTGTCACGAGTTGGCGCATAACTTGGTTGGTGATCACAGCTCCGAGCACAGCTATTATACTGAGGGTTTTGTTTCGCAATATTTTGGACGTGTTGTGAGCGCTATCGCCCAACATCAGGCACAAGCAGCGAGCGCTGGCCCGACCTCTGCCCCCTTGGTTGAAATATGAAGTGCTTGTTGACGAGGTGTCATCGGTCATTGACCCGATGGAGGCATTGTTATGAAGATAGACAGAACATGTGCATAGCGTCGGCGTTTGGGTTGAGAAGATTGTAGAGTATACAGATTCACTGACATGCCACGCAGCTCATCAGACTTTTCAAAATGTATTTCTTGAGGGCTGACTTTCATCCTGAAGCTGACCTTTCCAGCCACCACGGGTGACGGAATATAAGGAACTCCGCATTGCTTGATTTCCTCCAAGTTGAAGTTAGTGAATTCGTACTCTCTAGGTTGGCGGGTCATATTCCGGCAGTGACCTCTAGACTAGCCCTATACAAGTCTATAACACTGGAGAAGCCGTGTAGCAGAGACACAAAAGTACCTCTGTAGTTCTGAATCCTTAGTAGATAACGGAGTAACTTTGCCGATACATTCATGATCTGCTAGAGACACTTGAAGAGACCAAAATAGAAAGTAGAGCAACATAACATTACCAGCTTCACTTGGATAATGAAATGCTTCGACTTGTCAGAACGCTTCTCTGGTGGGATCATGCACGGAAATAGTGAACTGCCGCGTGTGGCGTCGCTCTGAATCTCTCCAGGCATTCCAATCCTCCTTGCTCTGTACTGATACAACAGCCATGATGTCTTTGGGCAGGTACTTGGTTTCCTTCGTCGTATCCGTATTCATTCCGGAGTTCAGATCAATGCACATGGAATATGCAGGGGGCCTTGAAGATGCTTATCTCTGGTGTGACCATCCAAGAACGATTGGATAACGATTCCTCCGTACATGGTCTGGCTTTTCTCCGGGTCATCATTACAATTGCGCCATCCTTGTTCGGGAATCTTTGATTCGGAACCTCTACAACTGACCTCAAGGTGTCGTCGATGGTAGCCCCTTGATTCGGCCATGACACCTTGACTCTTAACTTCTTCTCCAGATCTTTTGCATTTAGCTTTCAAAAGGCATTCCTGTCGGAAACATGGAATCCAGTTGATTCTCCCATATCAATTCTCAGCGAATCCAGCTCAGTCTGTACTCCGTCGCCATGTGGCGGCTTCTAGGGGCAATTCTCACCCTACTGACGGTCGGTGTTGGATATTTTCTGAATCTGCTCTACAAGAAACGCAGAGAGTTTGATGGACTGGTATGTGTCCTTTGCCAACCATGGCCATGTGTTGTACAGCTCGAGTTGTTTCAGCTGAATTTATCGAAACCAGCCACAACCACCTCGACCGAGCACCTTTTGGGGCCATCTCCCTCTTGCCGGGGAATGCAAGAAATTGTTTCCTCCAGAAACTCACGTACAGAACTGGGCAAACTACATCAGGAAGAAGTTCGACCTTGGAGGTCAGTTTTGTTTTCGTTTTTGACGCCGTACGGAAGAGCCATCTCACAAAGTGTGTAGATGTATTCTACGTCGACTGGTGGCCAATTGGTCCCCGATGGCTTTTCATTGCCGACCCTGAGCTGGCCTCGAAGTACGTGACGACCGGCCAGTCACTCCGCAAATCCCACCTCACCACAAACTACCTCACCAAGCTCCTGGGACGTGACAACATGGTTGGCCTCGAAGGTCGTCAATGGAAGGTGTTGCGCTCCATCTTCAATCCCGGTTTCTCGGCGAGCCACCTCATAACTTTGGTCCCGTTCATCGTCGACTCGACCTTGGTGTTCCTCGACATCCTTCGCGAAAAGGCCAAGACGAACGAACTCATCAGCCTCGACACCTTCAGCACCCGGTACACGATCGACATCATCGGCAAGATCGTCATGGACACCGACTTCCGCGCGCAGCTCGACCCGGAACCACACCCCATCGTCACCACGTTCAGACGACAAGTCGACCTCATGCCCAGCGCCAGTAGCATCTCACCCCTGGACGACATCAACCTCAAGCGCGATGTGAAGGTGTGGCTGAACATGCGCAAGTTGGACGCTCTCTTGGGCGCCGAAATTGACAAGCGGGTCGCGGCACGCAACGCGGCAGCAGCAGCAGCAGCAGCAAACGCCGCCGGCAACGGCGCCGCCACCACGGCGGAGAAGAAGGGATTCAAAGACCGCAAACGCTCCGTCATCGAACTCGCCCTCGACGCTTACGACAATGAAGCCGCGGACGACAAGTCTTCTTCCTCGGGGACCATGAACGCGTCCTTTCGGACACTGGCCATCGACTCGATCAAGACCTTCATCTTTGCCGGCCACGACACCACGTCCGCCACCATCTCGTACACCATGTACCTGCTGCACCTGCACCCGGAGGTCCACGCCAGGCTCGTCTCCGAGTTGGACGCCGTCTACGGCGGCACCCGCACCCACGGCGGCGGCGGCGGCGATCCCGTCACCCCGGAAGAGATCGCCGACAAGATCAAAGCCGACCCCCACTCGATCAACCGACTGGAGTACATGACGGCGGTGATCAGGGAGGTCCTCCGCCTCTTCCCGCCGGCCAGCACGCTCCGGGAGCTGTTGAGGCCCCAGGACGTCGCGGCGTCCAAGGACCGGTACATCCACGACCCCAAGACGGGCAGGAACTACCCCCTCGAGGGCTTCCACGTGTGGCCGGTCGCGACCATGATCCACCGGAACGCCGACTACTTCCCGGACCCGGTCCGGTTCGTGCCCGAGAGGTTCCTGCCGTCGCTGACCCCCTACCCCGGCGCCAAGCTGCACACGCCCGCGGGCAAGGACGCGTGGAGGCCGTTCGAAAAGGGGCCCCGGAACTGCATCGGCCAGGAACTCGCCATGATCGAGACGAAAATCACCCTGGCCTTGGTGGCCAAGGACCTCGATTTCACGGCCGAGTACGGCGGCGCCGAGGTCCACAGCTGGACCCCCGTCGAGACCAGGGACGAGTTCGGGGACGGAGTGCCGGGACACGAGAGGTTGACCATCGAGGGCCACAAGCCGTACCAGGTCTTGCACGGGGCCGCCAGACCAAAGGACGGCATGACGGGGAGGATGAGTCTGAGGAGAAACAAAAGACACCCAAAGTGACAAGGAGAAAATTACCTCCGAGTTTTGTCGAGGACAATCTGCACCCAAAAAAGGACCAAGAGACGTGTACAATTCAAACCTTTGAAGCACATACGGAGTACAAACACAAGAAAAAAAATAACAATTCAATAGCTACAGGCTAGCAAAAGCGTCCAGTCAGGTCCCGTTGCCCTGATCTGATAAAAATCACAAAGCCCCTCAATCTGCTCCTAATGGTATCTCATAAAACCTTCCCAAAGCCATCCCAGGGAGATTTCTCCTTTGTGCGCAAACTCCGACATTGCAGGTGCTGTCTTTGTGTGTTGGTGTGTGCCGGGCCGTTAAACTGTGCATGAACAAGCCTTGGGTCCACCAATTATTCTCCTTACTAGTCGACTCTCTCTCAATGAGGTTGTTTGATCTAATTCTTTCATTCATTCAGTTCTGTCCATGTGCTATCGGCTCTCCACAAGCCCGGTTTTGGGTTGTACTGTACTGGATGAATAGCAGGCCGAACATGGCAATCCAGCTTCCAGATCATTCCATGAACCCTCATTTTTTCAAGGGTCAACCAAAAAAGAGAAGGAAAAAACCCATCGATATAGGCATGAAGACGCCTTCAACGCCTCACCGATCTCTTGTCTTTGTGTTGTGAACAAGAGTGGTGTAGAAGAGGAAAATGAAATCATTCCGTCAACTCATGGACAACCCAAAGGAAAAACAAAAGCTTAAGACACAACGTCGGCAGCAGCGACGTCGTCATCTTCAAACCCGGTGAGATTTGCCTCGTCATAATCGTCAAAGTGTAGACCGGCATCACGTGCGCGTTGTTGCCACTTGTTGCTCTCGGCCCACGCAGCACGAGCACTTTCCTTCATACGATCAAGACGGTTGGTGAGTTCCTTGAGGGCAACGTCAAAGGTTGCACGCTCAGTCTCAAACTGGGCTTCCTTGTTCTGCAAGTTGATGATGTACTCATGTGTGCGTTGAAGGATGGCACCTTTGTTTTTCTCCGTGCACGGGACGATCTTTGCAATGTTCTCGATCCCTTCATTGATGACTTCACGGCGACGTCGTTCAACTAGGTCTGGGTCAGCATGATATATCCGGGAACGTCGCTCACGAGATGATTGCCACATACCTTCTTTGTGGTTGTCCTTGCGTTGTTGATGCCACTCGGCAGATCCGACGGCGGGCTTTGCAGACGTCGACTCCCTACCACCATGGCTGTTGTTTTGCGGGAGGCCGCCCATGTTGTTGCCCATACTGTTCATGTTATTACCCATATTAGGCACCGCAGGAGGGCTATTCTCATCGAATGCCGAGGAGAGCGCAGCTGCTCCGTCGAAGGGCGTTGGTTCGGGGTAAGCGGAAGGGTTCATGGGTGCTGCGAGAGCAGCTTGCGCCGTTCGCGTACTGTCATCCGCGCCCGAGACAGCATCGAGGCCTTGAAGCAATGCAGCATAGTCCTGGTGGTCACCGTTTGTATTTTGCGCCTTTGCCTCGCGACCGATACCCTGGTCCCCAGGAACTCTCTTGCGCTTGTTATTCGCAGCATTCATTCTCAGATCTGAAGAGTCCATAGTCTTGACGTAGTCGGAGACTTGATCTAAAAGGTCGTCCAGCTTAGCTTCCTCGAGGCAAGCACCCTAAGCTTCTCGAGAAGGACTAGATAGTTGATCGGCGTATTGATAGAAGGCGGACAATGAGGGCAGCGCAGGATCCTGTTCGCCGTTTGGATTAGCCATGATTCAAGCCACACCGAGGTCGCGGAGGATAATGAAAGCGAGTCCAAGTCAGTGGGATAAGATGCTGTAAGAACTGTGTAAAGGATGAGAACAGCGAGGTGGAGTGAGGAATGTACGCGCCAGGCCTCGACTTCACTTCAGCCGGATGCCATCCGGCGAGTGCGGAAGTGAAGGGAAGAGTTGGCGGTATGAGCAGCAACATCATCATCATCATCGACGTGATGGGGTGATTCCATCGCGGCGTGGTTCATCACAGCAGAGGAGCCGAGCGCGGCGTGTGTCCCTGCCCGTGATGATGTTGTGAAGCTGCGCAGAACCCGTGATGATAGAGACTTGTCACGTGTGATAGTGTATTCAAGAGACGCGGATTCGACGAAGGTGCATGAAATGAGGGATTTTGGGTCGACTCACGTTGGAAAAAAGCCGTGAAGAGTTGTTTCACTCGTCTGCAACACTGGAATGTTTCGATCAAAGAGATGAATAAATTTCTGAACCCGACATGGAACACAGCGCAATGGTGTTGCCGGTGAGCGAGGTATTCAGTAACAAGTCTGGGAGAAGGTCACGGGAGAGGAAGTTCATCAAAGGGACGATGGGGACTGGACGAAATCCAACTAATACAATAATGGTTAAGCGGCGAATATTCCGCCAAGTGTTGTTGTTTTTGCGAAAGCCCGTGAAAAGAAATTTGTCTGACCAAATGGCACCATTCGATTTACACACAATTCCGCCGTCAGACAAAAAGAAGGCCCAGTAGTAGGCTGTGCATGTGACCACCATCCATCAAACCCAGGGACCTATCTCATGATCGCTTTTCATTGCTGACCCCTCCATTTACTGCAGTTTGTTCCCAGATGTGCTGCATATGTAGTCGATGGCTGACACACCCGCGTCTTATTCTGGGCGCGTGTGTGTCCCACAAGTCTCCGGCTGGCGGCAACAGTCCCTGGGAACCAACAAATAGTGGTGGAGTACTCGATATGCTCGTGCATGTGACAGACCTTTTGAGACATAACTTTGCCGTGTAGGCAAGGCTATCATGTGTGGGTGTACGACAGGGTCCCCGCTCAGGCTTGCGTGAAACTGCTTTTGGGACCTGTGAGTGCTGTTAAGAGCCTCTGCCTGGTGTGATCCTAAATGTGAATGAGAGACTATAAGTCTCGTCTTGCATCTTCTGCATCGCGAGACTTGTTTTCACTCCACAGGTTGGTCTACGGTCGAGTCCTTGTCCTCAGCCTTGATCCCCAGCCTAATCGCGTATTTCGCTGGATTAGTGGTATCCACCAAGAGGACACCCTCTTGTGCTCTGCCAAAGATATCCCATATCCTGATCGAGTTCTCCTTCTTCATACCCATGACACAACTGCTGCCGGCATACCGTACCTCGCCAATTCTGGGACTAAGGCCCTCTTCGCCCGTGCGATTCGCGCAAATAATGATGGCTTCGGGGTCGGCCCCTTGCGGACCGAACAAAGGTCTGAGTCTATCGACCCAATAGTTGACGGTGTCCTCGTCCGGAGTCATCACTTGACTGGACATCTCTTCGGCACTCAGCCTCGTGAGCCACGCCATGCTAATGACGACAATCTTCGCACGGGATTCCCTCGCGTGATTACCAAACTCGTAGGCTGTCCAAGGCGCCTCGAACTTGTACGGGTTGACATCCATGCATATTCCTGCTGCAGCCTTGACCTGCTGACCCTTCCATCCTATTGGCAACACACCAGCCCAGAAACCCGAGCCTTCTTGAGCCCAGGTCTCATCCGTGTAGTAGAGAAAAGACTTGCGATAGTGGGCAACGACGTCTCCACTAGCACTGACGAACACCAGAGAGTTGTACGCGACGGTGCCGGTTTCGGCCGTGATATGTCTGTCGAAGATAGTGTTGTAGTTCCCTTCTTCGGCTGATTCGGGATAGCCGACTGCAACGGTACATTTCAGTCGTTTGGCAGTTCGAGCTGCCCACCTTGTTGACGGTCCAGCAGCAGTGGGTTCTAGAAAAGGCGCAATGGCTGCCAAAGAAGGGTGATTGTAGCCTGGTATGGTTGTCAATGGCAGAACTCGTGATATTGGTCATCCGCCATCTCAAGGCTGAACAAGCCTCAACAAGACTCGGAACCACAACGCTGACTGACCAGTGAAAGCAAGTTCGGGGAGAACTAAGAGATCAATATCCTGGAGAAGGCCCTCTCTTTCTTCTCTCATCAAAAGGCTTTCTGCGCGACTGAAATTCGCTGCCACTTCGCCCAAACGTGGAAAGAACTGCAGGGTTGCAACCTTCATTTTGGATCTACTTGAATGATCGACTCGAGGCCAATAGCAAACAAAGATGGCTTCAAGTCAAGGATGCATGATGTCAAATCGAGATCCTAGTCACGCAACTCACCTGCCAGACATAATCTGGTCGACGAATTTTAGAACGGTCGTTACGGGTGACGGTGAGAAAGAAACGACTGACTGTGATCGGTGCCGGAACCGAAGGACAACAATTCCTTGATTCACCCTAGAATGCTACGGTTGAGTATTACTCGTGATAAGAGTCAAATGCTTGCGAACAGTAGAAAAGTAGTTGGGAAGAATTATGACGCTTCGCGAAGTATTGTCTCCAGATATACAAACCATAGGGCTAATATAGCAAAGCTCATAGTCCTTGAAGGTGTAACTCCTCCTCCGGCTATTCTTCTTCACCTGCTTTCTCCTGTTTCAGTCTTTCCCGCTCCCGCTTCTTATCTAATATCCTGTTCAACTTCTTCCCAACGTTGAACACCCCACCAGTTCCAGTACCGCATGCAGCACACGAAGGGTCTTTTCGATACCTCTTCAGGGCACAGGCTTCGCAGAAATAATGTCCGCACTTTGTTATGACCGGGTTCGAGTAAGGCTTCTTGCAGATGATGCAGGCAAACGGGATGCTTTCGAGCAGTGCCTCATCGTCATCATCATCTTGAGTGTTGTGGCCGCGATTCGCAGATGCCACGGTCTTGCCAGTTAATTTCTTGCCCTTGGTATCGATTTCCCAATCTCGGTCTAGCTGCCAACCTTGTTTATAGTCTTCTCTTGCATGCAAGAACTTGCAACTGTCGCCGAAGCCACAGAAGCCTGTCTGCTTGTAATCTTTGCACACATCAGGGGCAAAATCTGTGACAGTGATTGTTCTAACATTGCTCGATTGTTTGAGAGGTCCGACTTGACGATCCGGGTTCTTCTGAATAAAAGATTGGTAATTCGCAGTGCCTTTGTACGTCCCATCAGGAGCAGTGGCATCTTGTGATTTTGTGGCCGACTTCCCACTCGTCAAACTCTCTTCATCGTACCAGTCTGATCTCTTTGTCGCATCATCTTTGTTCGTAGTTCGCACGACTGCGGCATTCGTTGTTTCTTCAGTAGGTGCTATTCGAACTGTGGGATTTTCTGCTGAAGATGCTGTTACTCCAGCAGTTTTGCGTCGGCGTTTGATAGACCTTCCTTCATCGTCTTCTGAGGAGGTGAATCCAGAATCAGAGTCAGAGGGAGGGGTGGCAACTCTTTTCCTTATTGTTGACTTCGCTTTGACATTTCGCTTCTTGAAAGTGACCACTGGTGCCTCCGTAGCAGCTTGTGCAGTGTCCATCATTTACTGTAGTGTTATGCGCAGGAACAAAAGGCAAGTTTGGATGGAGCGAGCTTGAAAGATATTATGAATATCTAATCTAACGCGGGCGCAGGCACAGAGGGTTCCAGCAGAAAGTTTCGCTTATGTAAACACAGACTTGTCTTCTTTGGGAAACAAATGATGCTGCCCTATGATCCTTCCCCGCTTACGTAGGACGAGTTCCTTGCATCTATTAGTCTAAAATATTGATATCACATGTCTATACCGTGTTTGAGCACTATTCATCCAATCTTCCCTCACTTTTCTCCTTTTCTTCTAGGTCTGTCGTTGGCTACGGCTATGTCTTGCCCACAGTTAACTGCGATTGCTTGTACAGCCAAGCGATTTCTTGCGGGTGATCTACAACACTAAAACCTTATCTTGCTCGCCAGACCTGCCTCTCATGGCAATGCTTGCGGACCTTCGAAAAGGCCATCTCAGTGTCCGCAGTTGAGGTTGAAGTTTTATTCACGACTTTTCATGTACATATGCTTACTGGATCAACCGTGATCTCAACATTCATTATGATGCTTTCATGATATAAACCGCTTTATTTCACTCTTTCTTAAGTTTTCAAGTCTGCTGGAGGCCATGTCAGCACTGGCTGACAAGAGTCCACAAGCCGCCGAGAGCTTCAACGATGGTGGAACTCCGACAGTGACACCAGACACAGAAGCTCGAGAACGCCAGAAGGCCATTGCTTTCAAAGTCTCCCATGTTCTTCTTACTGTCTTCTTTCTATGGCTGACGTGGGTGAGTTTCTCATCTTCGCAGCCAGTGCTAACCCAGGCTCAGGATTGTCCATATCATCGGCATTCTCTTCTTTGCGAAAGGCTTCCTACTTACAAGACTTGTCCTTGACAACAAGTCTGAATGCGCTGTACTCCCAGGTGGACAGCAATCTAGAGAGGCAAACGGATGCTGGCATCCAAAGTCCTTTGACCGGGCTGTAGTCATAATTATTGACGCGTTACGATACGATTTTACCATTCCTTCCAGCGCCAGCCAGGCCAGCGAACATCCTCAAAGTTATTACCTTGATAACCTACCCACACTCTATGATACTGCTGTGGCACATCCAGAGCATGCATTCCTACTGCCCTTCATTGCCGATCCTCCGACGAGTACCCTCCAGCGATTGAAAGGCCTGACCACCGGAACACTGCCGGTCTTTATAGACATTGGTTCAAATTTTGCAGGCACTGCCATCGAGGAGGATAATATCTTGTCTCAGTTGAAAGATGCAGGGAAAACAATAGTCCAACTAGGCGACGATACATGGCATTCATTATTTCCCGGATATTTCGACCCAAATATGACGAAACCCTACGATTCTTTTAATGTATGGGACTTACATACCGTCGACAATGGTGTTGTTGAACATATTATGCCACTGTTGGAGCAATATCCTGCCAGATGGGATGTTGTCTTCGGTCATTTCTTGGGCGTCGACCACGCTGGCCATCGTTATGGACCCGAACACCCTGCAATGGCTGAGAAACTTCGGCAAATGGATGGCGTCATCGAGCAGATTATGCAGAAACTTGACGATGACACGCTCCTTGTCATCATGGGCGATCACGGCATGGATGCCAAGGGCGACCACGGCGGCGAATCCGATGATGAGGTCGAAGCTGCTTTATGGATGTATTCGAAGAAGCCGCGATTTGGAAGAACTGGGCCCGACTCTCTAACACCACCGTTGAATGCCAAAGATCGACCCATCGGACAGATAGACCTCGTTTCAACACTCTCACTTCTACTAGGCCTGCCGGTGCCGTTCAACAATCTGGGCAGACCCATCGCCGAAGCATTTGCCGGACCAGGTAAGACGAAATGGAAAAATCTTGCAGACGTTGCACAGTTGGTTCAAGCCCAGATTGCGCGGTACCAGAATCATTATTCGCAGTCTCGAGACCTTGGTCTCACTGAAGATGTCTACCAGAGCCAAGGCGCGCACATGGCGCGATCAGTGGATGCCATGCGGAGCGGCCACTGGGAAGATGCTTACCACGCGTCTGTCGACTGGCACGAAGAAGTTGTCTCCATGTATCGAAGACTGTGGGCAAACTTTAATCTTGCTGACATGTTCTACGGTGTTTGCATCTCGGCTGCTGCTCTTACATTCTTGTTCTTCTTTGCTCGCTCCTCAAAGGGAGACAAGGCGCTCGTAGCCACCGGTCTGCTCCGGAGTGCTGGCTTGGGAAGCACTGCTGGCCTCGCATTCGGCCCAGTTCTGGGGGTCCTTTTTCCCAAGTATTTTACCGCAGTTGCCGGTCTTGTCTTCGGAGCGACATGTGGTGGTATTCTCGGTGCAAGTCTGTGGTCTTATCAAAACAATGTGGCTGGGCGCTTTCGTCTTCCTTCAACGTGGGGTTGGATGACATTTGTGTTTTTGATCACCCAGTCTGCCGGATTTGCGTCGAATTCGTATACCATTCATGAGGATACGATCCTCCTTTTCTTCTTGACTACCTTTGGCTTGATGTCGTTGATGTCTTCTTTAAGACAGGCGTACCAGAAAGATCGGATCTTGGGCGTGTATCAGTCAGTCATGTTCATACTCCTTACAAGGTTGTCGTCCTTTTCTCGTCTATGTCGAGAAGAACAGATGCCAGGGTGCCGGTCGACGTTCTACGCTTCCTCAACATCATCTACATCTGCACCTTGGCAATTGTTAGTACCTTATGTGGTGGCGCTGATCTTACCGGAAATTACCAAGGCTTTCTATCGAGGCACAGCTTCATACGCCGGGTCCGCTGGATTCTGGATTGGATTCTGCTTCCGGATGGGGTTGTTGCTTGTGGCCGTATACTGGACCCTTGACGCTGCGGACAACGGCGAGTGGTGGAGAGATCGAATATCCTCCTCGACGCTTCAAACCATCAAGATCACACTGGCTCGATGTGTGCTTGCCATTGCCCTCCCTGTCGGTGTCGGTACATTCGTTTGGGCCAAGCCATGCATCGATATCTCGATCGCTGACCCGAAGTCGAGTGTCGATAGAACAGAAACCGCATCTCGCCCCCAGCTCACGGTCTTTGGCTATGCCAATGCGTATGGCAGTCGATTCTACCTGATGATTCCCATGCTCGTGTTGACTGTGGGTCTGTTGCTGCCACCCATGGGCCAATTCTCTATCGCCATATGTGCTTGGCAAATACTCTGTCTCCTGGAAATATTGGACACCAACGCACTCAGTGTGACATGGGACTCTCCCTCCAGCGTTGGGCCCATTGTCCTGGCTATGCTGGGTTCTTACCACTTCTTCAAGACTGGCCACCAAGCGACTCTTGCCTCGATCCAGTGGAATTCGGCATTTGTCCCGCTCCGGACCATCCGATATCCATGGTCGCCACTCCTTGTGATCCTGAATACCTTTGGAGCACAAATCATGTGTGCAGCAGCAGTCCCATTAACGGTGCTTTGGAAACGGCCTCTGGGTAAATTCGGGCTGCGGGGCTTGTGGCACGACGTGGTTAATGCTTGTTTTACACATGCGCTGTATTACGCTACTATTCAGTTGGCCACCACGATGTGGGCTGGACATCTCCGAAGACATCTGATGCTGTACAGGGTGTTTATGCCGAGATATTTGATGGCCAGCGGTGTACTTTTGATTGTGGATGTTGTTCTCGTCGTGGCCGCCCTCGGTGGTGCTCGCGTGGTTGGCTTGAGCGTAGGTGAAGTTTTTGGCTATTGAGCGCGGGATCTCGTGTCACTTAAGAGAGGACGAATCTCGGAGATCAAGTCGATCATGCCAGTTCGTACGAGGAATGCTTTATCTATCCGAGGATGTTATTGGAGCCTCTCATAATGTACAAGCGATATGAGTAGCTAGCATCTCTTTCGCAGCTGGATCCGGATCGTGGACCCTCCCTTACGAAACGCAAGGAACAGGGGTCGGGCCAGGAGCGGTCATTGTCTTTGGGAGGGATCGTAAAGCCCATGTCGACCGCCGTCACTCAACGGAAGAGGATAGTGGCGATTGAGCGGTCTTACGGACACGAGAACGTGTTGGGTCAGATAGAGGCTGCTGAGTCACGGAGTGTTGGTGGTTTACAGTGCAGCGACTTGCCGTATTCGGAGCATTCGCCAGTGGGAGGTGCAGGTGGCTACGTCATCCGGGCATCACGGAAAGTGTTCTGACTAGGGAAAGTACGACGTAATAGCTGTACTGTACGGAGTAGTTGTTGGGCAGTTCGGAGGCAGGTGCGACTTTGATGATGATGCTTCGTTCATTCCCAATCCCAAGCAACCCCACGTCGTCCGTGTATTGTACTGAACCAATCCATCCATTTGGAACCTCGTATCTACTACTCGTACCTACTTATAAACCACTCTGAGTGCTCAATGGTCCTCAATTTCCCCTCGGTAGCTTGAAATTTTCTCTTTATCTATCTCAACAACTCATTCTTCTCGTCTACTCACCTACCTACCACTCATCCACCACTTCCCACTCCCCCCCATACAGCTCTACCAGCCTTACCTCACTCAACCCACACACACACACACAGCAACCGTCCTCCTCTGCTCTCCCTCGGACTCCCTTCCTCAAAATGCCCATCACCGTCCCCAAGGCCACCCACCTCAAGGACCTCTTCTCCCTCAAGGGGAAGGTGGTCATCGTCACCGGCGCCTCCGGCCCTACCGGCATCGGCACTGAAGCCGCCCGCGGCTGCGCCGAGATGGGGGCCGACGTCGCCATCACCTACTCCTCCCGCCCGCAGGGCGGCGAGAAGAACGCCAAGGACCTGGCCGACAGCTACGGCGTCAAGGCCAAGGCGTACAAGTGCAACGTGGGCGACTACGCCGAGGTCGAGAAGCTGGTCAAGGACGTCGTCGCCGACTTTGGCAAGGTCGACGTCTTCATCGCCAACGCCGGCCGCACCGCCGACGCCGGCGTCCTCGACGCGCCCGTCAGCCAGTGGAACGAGGTCATCCAGACGGACCTGACGGGCGTGTACCACTGCGCCCGCGCCGTGGGGTTGCATTTCCGTGAACGCAAGACGGGCAGCTTCGTCATCACGGCCAGCATGAGTGGCCACATTGCCAACTTCCCTCAGGAACAGGTGAGCTTTTGTTTTCCTTCCTTTCCCCCCTCCCCCAATTCTATCCTCTGCAAGAGAATAAGAAGAGAGCTTGAATCGACACGCTGACCTCTTTACTTTTCACAACAGACCTCCTACAACGTCGCCAAAGCGGGTTGTATCCACTTGGCTCGCTCCCTCGCCAACGAGTGGCGTGACTTTGCCCGCGTCAACTCCATCTCCCCGGGCTACATCGACACCGGCCTGTCCGACTTCGTGCCCCAGGACATCCAGACCCTCTGGCACAGCATGATCCCCATGGGCCGGGACGGCAAGGCCACCGAGCTCAAGGGCGCCTACGTCTACCTCGCCAGCGACGCGAGTTCCTACACGACCGGTGCAGACATCATCGTCGACGGTGGTTACTGCGCGAGGTAAATGACTCACTCGTCCAGTCTGGGCCCTTGTCCGTCAAGATGTGTACCGTGGCAGTCACGGAACTGGGAAAGCTGGGTGATGGAACCAGGTTGGAGAAGAAAAAAAAGGAGTGGCAATGGACATGACACAAGAGAATGAGATAGCCCCAGGTCACGCATGGTTTTTGTGTGTTGTGGAAAAAAAAACAGTCACCGAGTCACCCCCCTTTTTTCCGTGCTGGACCAGGCAGACATTGCCGTATCAAAGTCGACTTTGGCTGGCCATTGGGGCGTAGGACCCGACGTACCATTGGATCAATGGACCTCAAAAAAACCCCAGAATCAAAATTTCATATTGTGAGATGACGTGACATGACGTTGTTTCCGATTTCTTGGAATTTACTTTGTCGAGAAGATGCATGGCATCAACTTTGTGATTGCGCTTTCCGATTATGCAGTGACCTCGAGGTTCAACAATCAAGGCAGTCGGTTCAGACTTTGTCGTGCGTGATATCGAACTCCTCGGTTCGTCCAGAAGCCCAAAAGATTCATGAAATCTGGATGGCATGGTACGGTAATGCAGTGACGGTCAAACAAGTCCCATTCGCTATGCTATGCTATGCTGCGCTATGCTACGCTGTGCCCCATGCAAAAGGCAAACGCCATCGAGGATATGCAAACGTCGCTTCGTGATGGTACCACCACCACCACCACCCTCCTTCCCATTGCCGCGCCAATAAATCCATCCTGCCCCGTGCGAGAAAATACCCAAAGGGTGGGTATAGAGTGGATAGTTTTCGCATCCCGAGAGGAGCTCATCTCGTACCCAGCAGCTCAATGGTGATTTCCGTCCCAAAAGAAGACAACCACCACCCCCGTCAAAATCAGGGGGGGGGGGAGGGGGAGAGAAGAAACTCCAAGTCATCGCCAACCAACGGGCTCATTTTTTCTTCACAAACATGTCGTTGGCGTTGGCTTTCTTCTTCCGAACCATCGGTTGTCCATTGTTCATCAGCAAGGGTCTCCCTCCAGGGCCCATGCCAGGTCGTGGAGCTCCTCCCGCTGGGCCGGTCGGCGGCGGTCGAGCGAAACCTCGACCTGCACTCGGCCCCGTCGGCGGAGGACGAGAAGGTGCCTTCGGCGGAGGATCCTTCTGCGGACCATTGGCGAGGACCTTCCCGCCGTCCTTGTCTCGTCGCTTCACCTTACCACGGTCGGAAGAATCCGTCGACTCATCCCTCTTTCTCTTCGCGTCGAGGGCTGGTCCGTTGGCTGCCGGCAAGGTGCTCTTGACCGTGGGAATCTTGGCTCCGTGCTCACCAAGCTGTCTTTCGGCCCGTCGTTCTCTCGCCTTGTCCCTGGCGGCTCCAAAGCGAACCTCCTGCTTTTGTACCTCGACTTGTTGAACGCTGGTCAGCCTATGCCTAATAGGCGCGGTACAGTCCACGCTGGCATGCCCAACTTCGCCACAAGTGATGCATCGCGGCGCCGTGCAGCTGCCGTAGTTGTGTCCCGGCCGGTGGCAGCGGTGACAATTACCCAAAGCTGCCGATCTGGCCTCTTCGTTGTCACAATTGAAGCTGTAATGGTCATATGACCCACATATAGCACAATTAGCGAGATCATTCAACCCGTTGCCGCCTCCAGATGGACCATGGGCTCCAGATCGAGTTTGATCGGATCTTGCGAGCCTTGAATCCGGACATGCCTCAGGGCGAGCCTTTGTGGAAGGTATTTTGCTCGCGCTCTTCATGTTAGGTTTGATTGTTTCTCCATGACTCTCTGTGCGCGAGGGTTGTGGGCGCCTAGCATCCGGTTTGGACGAGGTCGACATGGCCGAGTCCCGAGACAAGCTGCTGCTCGGTCTTGACGGTAAAGGGGTAGGCTGAGCCGAAGAGAGTCCAGAACCAGGATCGGGCCGTCTGACAAGCGCAGGTGACGATGCTGTTGGGCTCGACTTGCCTATAGTCGAATTTTGGCGACTGACGACGGGCCGCGCAGTTTCGACTTTTGCTTGATCTAAATCCATGATCGAATTCTGATTGTTATCGGGCTGTAGCTTGACAACAGAAGCTGGTTCGTCTACGTCCATCATCTCAACGTCAGCCTCCATCATCGCACCAGTCAAGACTGGCCGACGGAGGAGACTTGTAATATCACCCTGGGTGTACAGATTGCGTCCTTTTGCATCGGTGATCAATGCTTTCCAGAATTCGCCTTGCGTGAGTGCCTGAGAATTACCGAGAACCCAAAGTGAACACATGGCTCGCGTCAAACCGACGTTCATACGACGAATGTCGTTCAAGAAGCCGATGCCTTTGGTCGATGCTCGCACGCAAGAGAAAATAATGATTTCACTCTCTCGACCTTGGAATGCATCCGTGGTGTTGAAGTCGACTTTGGAAGTTATGTCCTCTCCGTAGCGTTGTTTGAAACGCAACCTGAGTTCTTTGAGCTGCCCTTTGTAAGGTGTGATGATCCCTATCTTTCCAGAGAAATTGTACTTCGGGACATCATTTAACAATCGGTCATAAAGCTGCATGGCTACATTCAATTCGGCAACATTGATCAACGAATGGCCTTTGGTAGCAGCTTGACTCATGCCCTGTACATCAAAGAAGCGATACGGAGCAAAGACCTCGCTGTTGTGCCAGGGCCTATGTCGAAGTTTGGCCATGCCAGCACCATCTTTGAGTCGAGAATCGTAGAATGTCTTGCTGGGGAAGAGGCTAATCTCGGGGTGCATGCGGTATTGTGTGTCAAGCAAATGCACATCTTTCCTATGGTTGTTCTCCATACGGGCAAACAAACTCTGTTCGTATTGAAATTTGGCGGCTGCCCGGGACAAGACTGTGGGTGGCAACTGTTTTGGGTCACCCACCAAGATACATTTTGAACAGCCGTACTTGAGCGGAATCAATGCGGAAAGCTCAATGGACTGTGCGGCTTCATCGATGATGACAGTCTCGAACTCGATGTTGAGCCCTTGGAAAATTTCATGACCACTACCACTGAGGGTAGCACAGAGCACATGAGCCGAGTCAAGGATTTCTTGCTGAATCCGTTTGCGATTGAGATCCATGTCACGGGACGCCGTGTTTTGACGTTCTCTCATGTCGTCGATTTTCGAACTGAGTCCATTCTTCTCGCGTTTCAGAGCATCCATAAGCTGCTCTTCCGAGCTTGGTACGGGTTGGCCTCGACCACGTTGATCGTTGATGCGATTTCGAAGTGTATTCAGCTCCTCTGAGATCGCCTTGTGCTTCATCATGACTGAATGAATATCATCTTGAGGATTCTTGGGTGCTGCCGTGCCGAGTTTAGCGTTGACGAGCTCCTCAAGCGTAACGTCTTTCACGTTAGTGTTGATAGCGTCAGTCCGACCCAAGCGCACCACTGATAATTTTTCATGGGTACCGTCCCTGAGGGTAACGCCCTTTTTCAATCTCATGACCAATTCATCAACGGCCGCATTACTGGGTGCACAGACAAGGACCTTTTTCGTAGAAGCAGGAGCGCCCACAGGGCGCCCTGTTGCCGTGTTCAAGCGCTGACCAGAGGCATCGGGTTTCCTGATAGAGCCCGTCAACATAGCTCCAACCAAACCGCAAATGGTTTTCGTCTTGCCAGAACCTGGGGGACCCTGAATCAAAGTGAATGCGTCGTTATCAAGTGCTGACTTGATAGCCTTGGCTTGGGCTAAGTTGACATTGTAAGTTTTCACGAGAGGCTCGAGGTCTTGCTCTGTGTAATCGAGAATCGGAGATGGTTTGGCTCTGATAATCTCCTCGCAAAGGTCGTAGTACTGCAGAGCCATCAATGCACCATATTCCCTCTCCAATGGCGTCAGTGACAAGATCTGGGCCCCGTACACAAGTGCCTGGTCATTTAAGTATGGTCTCAGGGGATTGCCAGAAGCGGAGACGCGGTATACGATCTGGACCTCGCCCCGTTTCCGGGTGATTTCCTTCACCCGTGCCAGACAGTGTGGTTCACTCGGATCTCGCTCAGGTTGCTTGGACCTGGAGAGAAGCACAACATCAGAGGTACTAATGCCGAGGTCTTTGCCTTCAGCCATAGATACCCGAGAATTGATCTCAATGAATTGATCAACAATCAGGGAATTCGCCACTTTCACCTCGAAGGGCTTAAAAGTGCCGTCCTCGCGCGCTGCACGAAAGCTCTGCCAGCCTTCTAGTATCAAGAGTGGTTCAAACGTACTCTGGTAGTCCTGGGGGTTGCGAAATGTGTCTGTGACCAATGTATAGTCGTTCTTCTGGGAATTCGGTGGAAGATCGGTATCTGCGAAGAAGTCCCAGCTCAGGATTGTTCTGTGGAGCTCGGTCAGATCCGGCGCGAGTCGAGCTCTGATATCTCGTTGTGAGCGCACTTGTTTGACCTTGCGTACAGGACCGGTTGATAGAGGCTTTCTCACGCCTGCCTGATTGCGTACTGTTGTCCCTTGAGTGATAGGAAGCTTTCCGAACAACTCTTCGTCCGAATCTGGATCGGACTCCGAGTCAGATGATACCATGATTCCGCTACTTCCAACGGTGTGGTCTTTCCCAACAACCCCAATGCCAGAGAGACCAGAACCTTGACCCATAGTTTGTTTGCCAACACCGATCTTGCCTCGCAACTTTAGTGCGGCTTCCTTATCTCTTAGTTTCCGAGCTGCCTCCTCGCGCTTACGGTTTTCAATGAATGCCTTGGCATCTTGAGCTTTCTTCGCGGTGGTGTCAACCGTAGACGGCTTCATAGCCTTTGGCTTCACAGGCTGCTGGCGAGTAAGCAGGGTCTTGATTTGATTCTTGTCTTTGGAAGTAATCCTCGTTGTCTGAGTATCGAGCGTCTTACTTGCTATCTCGACCAGGTCCTCATCGGCGATATCGTCGTCGCCGAATTCGTCGGCATATCGAGATTCAGGAGTGGAAGCATCAGATCGACCAACAGCGGCGGACTCGGACCAGCCTTTAATATCAAGGGTGGCTTGTTTCTTGATAACAGGTTTCCCAATTTGGCGACCCCAGTAGTTTTCGAGCGCTCGAACTAGAATTGCTTTCTGAGAGGACGTCAAAATGGTTTTGATGGACTGCTTTGTGGCGACTTCTTGAATGTACGCCAGGCCGTCGCTCTCTGCGTTCAGGGCATCATGTCCCTTCAAACGGTACAACATGTTGGTGATGAGCGTTACCAAGGTTTCAGCAAGGTACTCGTCCCGTAGCCTCAGCCACTTTGACATGGCATCCAGAGTACTCAGAGGTGACCCTACACTCGGATCGTCAGAATCGAGGAGCAGGCGATGAATCTCTTTCGCTTTGTCGGGTTTTGCTCTGGTAATGACGCTCGAGAAGAGGTCATACTGGTCAAACAGAGCCTCGGCGTACTGCATAGCATCCCGACAAACCTCAATCATAAGCTCCTTGTTATGAAGTTCTAGTGACCATTTTTCGGTTTGACTATACACGACTCTCAAAGCAATCCACTGATAAGACCAGTAGCTCTGGATAGCAGATGCATCGCGTGAGGAAATCTTTGCTCTTCTTAATTGGCCATCGGTCAGATTGCAAAGAATATCCAGGATCTCCATGCCAGTCTTAAGCATTCGGGGCACCGAAGCGAAAGTCTTGTAGTTTGCAATCCGCCGAAAGGTCCAGCATATGCCGTAGATTGTGGTACCAAGAAATGCCCCTATCAGGTGTGCTAGCGCTTCCTTTCGACCCGACTCTCCGCTGATGTTCTTGATCAGTTCGATCGCGGCTTGATAAGTACTCTGGTCTGGCGAAAAGAGGGCGGCAATAAGAGACATGCTTGTATCTTGAGCTCTAAAGAGATAATCCAGATGATCTGGGCTGAACTCTGAAATCTTCTCTAGAAGTTTTCCAAGCATACCAGTGATTTTGTCGAAGATGGAGTTGAAAGACTTTTTCTCTTGTACATCGGCCGAGCCTTCTCTTATCCTAAATTGTTCTAAGCCCGGCAACGCCATTGTGCCCAGCAAAGCTGCTGAAGATAAAGGGGCGTCATTATCACTGAGATTGTCGATGATTGCAGTCCATATTTCCGGGGTATATGAGCTGGACCCATGTCGTAAATTGATTTTCGTGCTGATCGACTCGAAATCTGTCTTCAGACATTGACATTCGAGTGCTACGGCATTTTTAACGAGAATGAGGATATCGTCTCGTAGCGATTTCTTCACAGCTTCAGCCAAAGCCGGGTCTTTTGGACTGAGGAGCTCATCTAAACGGTACCCAACAAGATTGAGGGTATCTGACAACACCAAGCGTTCAACGTTCTTCTGATCGTTTTGATTGGCAGTGAAGCTGATAACTGTTTTTAGCAGGACAGAAACAGCCTTCTCAAAACAGATCAACCTCGCAGAAACTACGAGGTCCCGGTCATTGATCCTCTCGAAGAGTTGAGCGACTATCGTTTGCGCAGCTGCCGGACGATTGGCCGGCTTCAACGATTCCATGAATGCTGAAATCCACGACAACACATGGTTATCGGCCCGTGGGTCGACCGGGGCGGGACATTTGCCTTCGAGCTCTGGAGGTGGTTTGACAGACTCCAGTAAATGCTTGTTGAAGTTTGGGCTGGCGAAGACCTGTTCGACTATCGTCTGGGATGAGATCGAGCCCATGGCTTGCCAGAATGCATCAGGAGCCTTGTCGAGTATATCTTCCAGAGTCTGGACAATGAAAGGCACCGCGCTCGAACGTCTCGCAAGGTGGTTGAGAGCTGTGGTGCAAAGATTCGGCTGTAGGTCGAACAACTTGTATGTGATCATTCGACGATCTAATTTGCTAACGATTAGCTTCAGAGCGGACCACAATCTGGTCGTGTCACCGGGTTCGATAGCCTGCTGCACTCTCTCCTGCAGGAAATCTTTGATAGCCCAGTCAAATTCGATATCCTTGACAACCCTGTCAAGCCGTCTCCAGATAGAACTCGCCCAAGCTAGCCGCACCTGATTGGTATCAAAAAGAAATCTTATGGCAGCTGGTAGGATTTCCCGCATCTTAAGCGGTTTTCGTGACTGTATTGTCTTGAAAGGACTGTCGAAATGTTGCCTGAGGAGACCTTCATCTCGTAGAAAGGCTTCGCAGACTAGTGCCTCATAAAGAGCATGTAAATCCTTGGGTGTTAACGATGAAGTTACTTTCTTTGGTCCCGGTAGACTTTGGAGCGTTTGATCGGCAGAATCTAGACCTCGAGTAATACGCTGGACGTCTCGTCGATTGATGATGGAAAAGAAATTTTTGATATCCTCTTCCTCGTACTCTTCTCGTAGCGTAGCCAAGAAGTCTACCTTTGCAATGTAGTACTCCCGAATGCATATGTCGCACCTTGCCAGCGCCGCGTCGACCGTGTCCCAGATATATTTCTGGTACTGCTCACTTTCGGTGCCGTCGTAAGCTAGTAGTTGGAGAGAGGATATGAATTTCTTTCGGCGAATCTTTATTTCTTGATATCTGGCCCGTTTTTCCGGATCAAGTGTCTCTCCTCCTTCGGCCTCACAGTCGTGCTCGTCCTCATACCGCTCGAAGTCGTCTTCTGATTGGCGAGGGCAGAGGAGATGAAGTCCATCAGGGAGTTGTTGGAGTTCTCTGTTAGCCAGGAAGAGTCAGCATCAAGCCACCTAAGCAATTGTTTGTTCCTCATGAAAGCCTTACTGCAGGGACGTTATGAATTCCGCCATGACTGCGATCCGTGAAGGATTTGGTTGGGAAGGTAGATCGAGTCGAAGTCAGAGGGGTGAAGATGATGTTGCATAGCGGACTGGTGTTCCATTTAGAGGAGGGTCAAGGTTTTTGAATGAGATTGCGAGACCGAGGGATCATGTTTGTTTGGTGGTGAGGTATTGTGTATTATTGAAACAAGTCTGAGCCTTTAGTATGCCATTCTGCTTGCCCATGTCGCTCGTAGGATTGTTTCTCCGCAGCCAAATGACCCGCGTGGCGCGTTGAGCGGTAATATGCAGTCGCGTAGTTAAGTTAAGCCACACTATTCAATATCCGTAGCCTAATGCCTAACTATTTACGGGGGTACTTTAGGTACTTAGGTGCCTACGTATTTGATGGAATGCGTCACCGTAGTCGTTCTACTCTCCCGCTTCATCGGAAACACTTTACCAGGCGAAAAGATATCAATACTAACGAATGAGCACATTCGAATCGCGTAGTGAGGCCAAAGAAAATGAAGCTGTTGAATATCAAGTGAAGGGCCACAAAGCAAACGGCAATGCTGTATTACCATCACACCTTCCGAGAGAAAGGAAGCTTTAGCTTGACATATCGATTGGGATTCCCTCACTTCTTCTACTCAAGTCCGACATTCCACCTTTTGTGGTAGATAGATTTAAACTATATACAGATGAGGGAGCCGCTATCAAATAGTCCAATCGCTCGAACCTGGACGTCCGGTCCCATCCAGCCAAGCAAGCAAGACGCCATAATAATCATAAATCTAGGGAAAGGCCATGAAATCATGAGGCGAGGTAAACACGCAAGACATAGTTCGGTCGCTACCGACGCTCTTCCGCAATGTCTTCCGTCCTTCGCGTGTTGTAGCCTGTCAGTGGTTGAGAGTAATTCGACGCCGAATAGCCTGACTCCATTCTCGTCAACATTGCGGCACTTGTAAAGTCCCGGCTTTGTTCAAAGCTCGGTCTGAGTTTGTCAAACGACTGTCGCTGCCTCTCAAACGAGGAGCGAACTCGCTCCAATGAGGGCCTTCTGGCACGAAGCTTTTCTGGAGTTTGTGAATCACCACCGTATCTCGATAAATCGAACGAGGGCCTGGTCCTATCTGTCCCGTCGCTTCCCGTCTGACTGTGAGGGTGTCGAGTTGGTGCCTCAGAAGGTGGGTAGACAATAGGTCGCTGAGACTCAGCCATGCTTGGATATCGATTGTGGCCGTGATTTCTGTCTGCCTCATTGGAGCCATCTTCTGGCCGCTCGGACGATGTTGCAGATACATCAACAATTTTGGGAGGGACGTATGCATCGTAGTCATCGAGGTAGTCGAATTTACCTTGCCGCACCTGTTCTCTGACGACATCGATATCATAGGGCCTGAAATTCTTCTGGAAGAACTTCACGGAGAATCGAGGAAGCAAGCAGAGTGTCAGGGTCAATAGTGATAATGCCCAGAATGTCAGAGAACCATATACCTCCGCACCCGATTTGTACCATTGGAAGGATGCTTCGAAAGATGAATAGATGCCGGTCCAAGCAAAGATCAGAAGAGAGCTGATCACGGTGACCAAAACCATAATCCAGTCCCATTTGTAGGTATTCAAGAGGATGTATGAGTTGATCACCACAATTGCTGAGCAGGCGACAAAGACGCCCATCCGGCTACGGTCGGCAATCCCTCGTCCATTTTCAGTTTCAAATGTGGCCGGCTGGAAGAGCAGATATGCCATGAAGTAGCAGATAGCGGACTGATACAGTCCATCGGCCATATACAACCTAAAGCCAAATTAGCATGGAACATCTCGCAGTAGAGGTCAAAATCTTGTACCAGAATTTCGTTTGTGTCCATTCCTTCCTTTCCATGCCACGTCTATACAGCTGAGGCACTGCCAAGGAGACCTTATCGCTGACGTCTTGATCCAGAATACCCATAAGACCAACGGGCACTGATGTGAAGACCAAGTTGACCAATAGAATGTAGGTATAATCGAACAGATAGGTGATATCAAAGTTGTTATAGATCTGATACCAGAAGAGAGCGAAGGTCCACACCAAGTTCTATCCATTGTCAGTGGCTTGGACATGTTAGTAGCCGGACGACATACCTTGTAGAAGAAATTGGCAATCGATTCTGCCAGTCGTCGATAAGACCAGCGACCGTGAACCAAAACGAGTCTCTGCAGATATCGGAATTGGCCGATGGCATAATCGGATGACATGACAGCTTGACGTCCTTCTTCACCAGCGATACCAACCCCAACATCGGCTTCTTGAATCATAGCAACGTCGTTGGCACCATCACCGATGGATAAAGCCATGATGTCCAAGCCGCTCCGGACGAGTTGGACTACAGCTGCTTTCTGCGCAGGGCTGACTCGGCAGCAGAGCACTGATTTGCACTGTTTGCACAACAGCAGGAAACGCTGCCTCAATTCGTCTTGAAGAACCAGCTTGAGTGACTCGCCATCAATGATCAGGGCATGAGTTGGTGGTGGAGGTTCGTGAACGGTTCGAGCAACAGCCAATTCTTCGTCAGACCCGGTCAGCCCGAAAGTCTTAAGGTGTTGATCCAGAAGGTTGGCAGCATCCTCTGCAGTTCCCTCAGGAATATCAAACAAGATCAAGTCCATTTCGTTTGAAAGTAGGTTGCACGAAAAGCCTATGTTGATGGCAGTCTCGACTTTGTCGCCCGTCAGCACCCATAATTTGATACCTGCTTGCCCGAGAAGAGCAATAGTGTCAGGGACGCCATCTTGAAGACGATCTTCAATGGCGGTTCCTCCGATGAGTGAGAGCTCTCTTTCGATACGGTCTGAGACTTCCTCAAGACGATCTTCTCGATCGGTCAGTGCCTGGGCAGCGAAGTCGTGGTCTTTATTCCACTCTTGGTAAAAGTCTTCATCCAGATCTCTCTCGGCCACACAGAGTGTTCGGAGACCCTCACGAGCAAACATTTCTAGATTTTCGGCGGTCAATTTGCGGAGTTCTTGTTGTTCGCCTTTCTTCAGTCGGGAGTAGATCATGCTGTCGGCCCCCTTGCAGAATAGCTTGATTTTTCCATCCGGCATTCGAACTATGGCACTCATTCGCTTCCGGGTAGAGTTGAACTCAAGGGTGTTTAAGATACGGTATGTTCGGTCCTCTCCCAAGACGTTGACGTGAAGATCGTCTTTCGTACGCCCGAGTACGGTAAATCCCATGTCGCGCGCAGTGGCAACTAGGGCCGCCTCGTCCGGAGACTGTGCCTTGAACTCAATCCTGGGCGGGTCACCGGGGGTTGTTTCTGTAATGACAGTGTGACAGAGTGCCAAAGCAATCATGAAGTGCTCGCAAGTTCGAGCTTGTTCTTCACCGGATTGCCCATTCAGATCCGTAACAAAATTAGGCGCAATGAACGTCAGGTCGTCGTCATGAAGATAGGGGTTGTCGTAGGTCTTTCGCAGCTGTCTTAGAGTCTCCGTCCGAGCATCTGCAATCTCTTGATTGACACGAGCCGCCTCAGCCTCGACATCAACACCTTGTCTACGCCGCATACCTGCTTCGGCTTCAGTGTATGCTTCGCCATATGGTCGTCCGTTGATGGTGCACTTTTTGAATTCCATGACATTTTGAGTCAATGTTCCGGTCTTGTCCGAGAAGATGTACTCAATCTGACCAAGATCGTCGGAGATATTCCAGCTCTTTGGTGTGCATGGGTAATCAAGTCTCTCGTAGTACATGGAGACATCGGACCAAATGAAAAAGGCCTGGCACGACCGGACAATCTCCAAAGTGATGTACAACGAAATAGGCACCAAGTTTTGGAACAAGATCACAGCCGACCAGAAAGTGACAAAGCCATCCAGAGGGGGACTGCCACCGATCGAACCAAATTCGAAGAAGTCCAAGGAATTGTCACCCTCGGCCCAGTTGACACCCTGCACAATACCCGAGACAAGACACATGAAAAACAGGATGATGAAATTGTAGATGACATTCCAGTTTAGCTCACGAGCCAATCGGGCGCGTTTGCTGGGTGTCATGCCGGAATTCAGCATAATTTTTGTCTCTTGGCCTGTGAACACGACAATACCTAGGGCCCATTCAGTGTTTTTCAGACTGCAGCCTCGGAGAAGCAGGTTGTTGATACTGATCGGTTCTGCCATCTCGCGTGGAGGAGCGTCCGGGTTTCGAGGGTCGAATTGCTGCCATTTAGCAACAGCGCTGTACGAGTATAGATTGGCGTGAGGCCCTTCACTATCAATGATGAAGTCCGCGTACTCGCAATCCTTTGCATGTTTCACCTTCCGACCTGCCTGGAGAGCCTGGCGAACTTTCAGGTTTGTTTCACCGTCCAAATTTTTGGTCTCGACATAGCAGGCGCCATCGGGATCGGACGTAGATAGGACGACAATGTCGGCTGGAACTTGTTCGTCGTTGTAGATACGAATGAAATCTCCAACCTGGACGTTCTTCCAGCAATCCTTCTTGAATCGGGCACGATCAGGGACTTCTTTATATGGATTGATGATGCTGCCATAATCTTTTGCAGGCAAGATGTTGCTCTTACGCTTTGTAGGCTCTCGGACACGAAGAGCTGATGGAGCATTATCCCCCCGGGCCTGGGTCTCTTCCGCGGTTTCGTAGGAGAATGCGCTGGTTGGGGGTTCTGATGTTTGACCATTGTGCGACAGACTTGCACGATATCCGGGTGAAGGGACGGGTGTCATGGCGATATCATCTCCCTGACTGTGGGTGGAATGGAAGGATGTTCTCTCGGAATATATCGATGTTCGGATGGTCGGTCTTGTGCCCGTTGATGGTCTGCCTTCTGCGGCGGAACCATCCAGATCTTTTTCTGAACGCTTCTGCTTCTTCGATCTGAGCCCTTTCATCCAACGATAGGCTGAGACAACAGATCTGGTGCACGATTTCTTGAACCGCCTCCATAGGGAGACTTCATCCTCAGATGTATTGACATTACTCCAGTCCACTAAGCGATATACCGGGGAGTTGTTCAGCTCGTTGTCGAGCACAGTTCTCCCAAAATCTTCAACCGCATCCTTTATCGAAGTCACTACCAGAATGAAGATCAAAGGAACCGATCCAAGACCGGGATTGGAAGCGCCGAAGATTGAGAAAATCTAGCAAGATTGATCAGTTGGAGTCTCTTGTCAGGCAGCACCACCGGACTTACACTGAGGATAATGATGAACAAGAAGTATACGTTGGCGATGTTGTGAAATTGAAACCACAAATTTTTCGGCACAAAACTAAGAGGGGTGTACTTCGCCGTCCTGATTTTATTTCTTGCGTATTGAGCCTTTATGTGTCCCTCTTCTGTTAACGCTTCTGGCGGAAGGCTTTGGTTAACATAAATGGTGCGAGGCTGCGACTTCTCCTCTTGTTGTTCCTGTCCCATTGGACTGTCGCTCGTGATCTGGCCATGGTTCTCCTGGCCAGGGGGTTTCTCTTCATAAGTTGACAGGGTCACTCTAGGAACCCTGGCGAGTAAAGAACGCCTTTTGCTCACACCACTCTGTCCTGGTTTGCGCGTCGTTGCCCAGCGCATTCTCTTGACCGGCTTGGAGACATCTGGTTGACTTGTTTCGTCCTCCCCCGACGTGAAATGTATTCGCGCCATGATGCCAAAAGTCTATGTCGGTGCGTGACTGAACGCGATCGCGAGGTGTCGGCCACCAGGTGGGTGCCGCCGGCGTGCAGATGTAACTGATCACACCTCTTTCTAGCTATTCCGATGCTCAGGCACAACTTGCGTGAGACCGAGAAAAAGGTTTCGCAGTACCGTGAGGCTGGAGGGGGGATCGTTCGGAAGAGTCGGCTCACGTCAGCAATGAGGTAGAAGGCGCATAGCTGCGTGGTCGGCGACGAGAGAGCGACGACGAAGGTGAATGAGGACACTGAGGCTCTGTCAAGATAAGAATTGAAGAACAATCGTCTGTTAGAAGGCTGGGTTTCTTCGCCGCAGACGGAGGATTACTGGGAGGGTACTCGGAGGGTTCGTTATCCACTGGCCGTGAGAAATAAAAGGGTTCTCGGGCCCCGGACCTTCGCACGGCTAGCGGCAGACACCCAATGCACGGGGCGATGGACTCAGCAAACACACTCTGTAGTGAGTATGTGCGTATTGAGATGCGAGATTCAGATTCGACTATGACCTCGCTCGTGTTCAAAGTAGATCATAGATAGGCAGAATACGTGTCTAAGAAAAAAAAGGAAGACCTCTGATTGAGATCAGCAAGATTACTACAGCACTTCTCAGCCCGAGCGCAGGGGCGTGTCGTTTCGAAAAAGCATAGGCCTTATTGCGAGGGGACCAACCACGACGAGCCGAAGCTGAGGCGTGCACTGCTTAACGGTACGCGCCAAGGGGCTGGCTGATGGCACCTTGCTTACTACAGTGCACTTGTTCCGTCAACAAGTAGGGGGGACCTCAGTTTTGGGTACTGGAATGAATTATTGTGCAGGCTCACCAATTTTCGCCTCTTTCGCCTACGTTCCGTTGTGCTGCGCCCCAGGCCGGAATACTCTCTCAAAGGCCATTTCCAGACACAGTCCGTGTAAGTGTATGCGTCAGAGGCATAGAAGATTTGTCTGGCTGGAACCGTCAAGCCAGATCATCTCGTCCGGCTCGGAGGAGGGCTTACCAAGCAAAGTCTCCCATCATCATTACTCTTTGGATGCGAGGCTGGTGGCTTTTAGCCCATTAGGCATGCTTGGAACAGCTTCAATTGGCTGCTTGGTGCCACGAGCCAAGGGCTAGCCAGGCTCCTCAAAGGCTCGAACGCTATCTGGGGGGGTAGAGACACGGATTTAAGCATTCACTACCCGGAAGGCTGAGGGAAAAACTTAGCCTAGCCGGACAAGCCCTAAAAATGCATTGAACCGTTGTTAGAACATACTGTAATAGACAAGAACAGGCAGATAATAATTAGATGGTCCTTCTCTGAAACCCCTGAAAGGCATCATCCGGGACTGTCAAGTTCTTAGTCTACTTCTGCACAGAATGTGAAGATGCCAGGTCAAAACTTCGCGCGAGTCATCCTTGAACCGCCCTCCTTTAGAGGCCTCGCACCCGTGCACCGTTTAGGGGTAACGGGTCTGTGGCTGAGTCATATTTGTGCATTGGGGTTGCATAAATCCTGGTTTCAATCAAACAATGCTTACCATTGGACTCGTGATAGTAATTTTCTCTCCTCGTACTCATAATGGCCCTGGAACAAGTGTAAAGGTGTTATCGGCGACTCGAGTCTCAAGATAAATCGATGCTGACTGAAATTCTGAGCGGAGTGCATCCATTGCCCTGGACTCTGAAACGCGCAAGAATCGCGTCTGTTCTTCGGCATTTTCGTTTCCCCGACCGCTTTGACCTCCGCGTCTGAGGATTCCGAACACGAGGAGATCTGACACCGGCCTCGGCCGCAACTGTCGCGGTGGCTTTTATGTGGCGGTGTTGGCGAGAGCACAGGCCGTGGTCTAAACCTGCCTGAAAGTCATAGTAACACCAAGGCGATTATCTTGATACCCGAGGACTCCGTAGTCGCAGGCGGGTTGAAAATGCGTAATGCACGAGCTGCAGCAACTGACCTCGAGAAGGGGTGGTGATCAACTTCTGGCTCCCCTTTGGTGCTGCGCAAGTCTCTACTGCCCCGTAATCTTTGTCCAAGCTCGAAGCCGCGACAATGACGGTGTCGTTGATTAGCTTCAGTCTCTTCGACTCCGAGTCGCGAAGAATGTGCAGGCATGTTCAAGGGACGCGTTCTGGGATGATGACCGTTGATAGTTGTATTGTGACACGGAATGTCCTATCTAGCGCATCCAACAATCAGATTGGCCTCTAAAGGTAGCTTCATTTCGGCGAGGGGAACTGCAATAGGACTCCAAGAACGCTCGCTTAGAGAGTGAGGGCGTTGCAACGATGCTAGGATCAGAACGGCCATTTCCCGTTAAGCAGGATGTGATCACTATCCGTCGAGCAGGACCGCCGCTCCCAGTACAATAAAAATGACAGATAGCGAAGGAGTTTCGCCCAAAAGATTTGCCCGTGGGGAGCATTGCGCTCGACGTGCAGGGTGAGGCTGGCCGAAGCATCAACTTCAGCCAACGACAAAGCGTCATGGCTAGGAGTAGTTTATGATGGATTAGTGTGCGACTTCACCAAGTTCTGTTCAGTGGCCTTTGGGAACAAAGCATGGCAAATAAGTGAACACACAAACATGAATTAGTAGAGTCTGGAAATCCCTCCATGGTATTATGTATTGTTTTCAGAACATTGAAATTTTCAGTTGCGAGTTTCAAGTCTCACTATAGCGATACATCAGCAGCCGTGCTCCTCGGGGTTCGCGCAGATGTCAGATAGGTACAATAATACCTCCGTACTCCGTATAGACATGTGTTAGAAATTCGCGACCGTTACCTATTCTACAAGCGAATACGGAATATGTACGAGTACGAGGAGAAACGGGATGATCTGCAGCATCAATATTAGCCTTGTGGAGGTTCCAGGGGCGGTGGACAGACCGCCAGGCGCCGCCAAAACACATCATGCCAACTCTTTTTACCAGACGGCAAGGAACAAACCCTGCGCCTTCAGATTGCCGTAGTTATTTTCGGCCTCCTGTACACCATTGGCGAGGAGACGCCTGATGAGCCCCGGGTCCTCCGGATCAGAGTATCTCGCTTCTTCGCTAGTGACCTGAAGTGGATGCGGAGCGTAGGAGATCCGAATCAAAACACTCGGCATAAGGACCTTTGTCGCGTGCAGGGTTCTTAGGATCCTGCAACAAGTTTCTGCACGAGCCCTACATACGACTTGTTGGGGTTCAACGCTGAACGACGTACCAGCTAGAATGACAATGTCTATACATCCGAGGCACGGTAGGACAGTGGCACCACAGCATGCACGAGTACTTGCTCGGTACAATTGGGAATCCAGACCAAATACACAAGTTACCGGGCATGCAGTGCTCCGGCAGATGCCTCGTTTCCCACGCTCCAAGCAACGACTTTGATTGACTGCTCCACCTGAGACGTACCACAGTATCATCAAAACCATCATCGATTCGCCCGTTGTTGTGACTGACCAATTAGGCCATCATTCGATGTCATTAGCGGCCACGGCGACAAGCCAGAGCAGACTCTGAAATCTCCGTCATTGACGCCGAACCTAAGGGGTCCTTTCAAGTTCTTCAGGCCAAGTACCACTCCAGACCATGTCTTTGGATCACTTCACTCTCCCTCGTGCTCGTACAGGGTCACTCTTGCGGACTAGCAGCACAACCATGACGATGTGGTCGGACGTGAAACGTCAATCTAGAAAACTAAGATCTTCCAAGTCTGAAAATAGCGTCATGCAAGTCTCAGATGCTTTTGGGCCAGAGGCGAGCGTCGGAGTTGTTTAGCACGACCTCATCTTGTTGTTGTTGGCCGACTTGGGCCAGTTGAGATGTTATCCGAAGAGCGCAACATACAGTACTTGCGCAGTCAGTATGTAGTGCCCTTGAGGGATTCGCGGTATGTGCTCCGTAATGACTACCTAGGTACTACTCCGTACCATGCCTTGGTTACCCAGGTACAGTACGGAGTAGTACCTAGGTAGATAGCACGTGGTAGGCCTGGCTGGGTTGAACAACTGCGCGCAACCAACCGAACCAGTGTTCTTCACGCTTGTACCTGGCCCGGCGTACGGACACGGGAAGTCGATCATGGACATCCCTTTCTTTTGCCATTCAAAGGCTGGATCAGCAAAAAGGGTCGCATCCTTGTACTGTAGATGGCTCATTAAGGAGGTATTGTAAGACCGAGTGCGCATACGGAACACTCGTTGCTGTGTGGTCTTGCTCCAAAACCGGGGTGCCTAGCAAATCCCATGCCTGTGAGTTGCAAATCTGACTACTCCGTACTCCGTACAAGAAAAATAATATGAAAAACCATCAGTTGCTCGATTAGCCGATATCAAGCCGCGTACATCATTCACTAGTACATGCTCGGGAGAGTAAAAATGGATCGGTCTTGTTCTTAACGAGTTAGTTGTGGATATTACCTCTGGCGAGGGTAGGACTCGTGGCGGCGTTGTCGAGGAACTAGTTGATGCTTGAAAACCAAAACTTGTACTCTCGCTGCGAGTCTTCTCGTACTGTACAGTATTGTACCTTATCTGGAACTCCGCATCATGTCTCTTGACAGGTTCCTCAGCTTGGACGGTAGCGCCAGACAAGTCTTACAACCGGGAGCTAGCCGCCAACCTATCAAAACAATACCTTCGTCGGCAAACGGACATTGTCAAGTGCTCTGGTTCCACTTCACATCAATGTCGATTTTACAAGTTTATATTTTTGCAGGTTCACTCGGTTGTTATGTGTCGGCCTTGGAATTTGTAGGTGGGAATCCAGTCATTTCTGGAAAACCTTCAAAGCAAGGTTCTTTGGTTTCTTTTTGCGCACTGTGCCACCGTGTCGGATATCGGGATGTTCAGCTTGAAGGGTGCATCCAGAGTGGATACCGCTTGGACACACAGATCATCCATGGTCCTATCCCGGAGCAGGGGACAGTTCAGGGACGAAGTGAAGCAAAAAAAAATCATAAGAATCAATCAATGGCTGTGAAATTTCCCGAACTTTACAAAACTCCGAAATGAATGAAGAGCAGTAGTTGTGGAAGCAAGGGCCATACTATGATGTTGTGAGAGACGAGATTGAACAGCCTCATACAAATTGAAGCATTAAATCTATACATACACAAAAATTCCAGTGTGTGCGAGTGGTGACGCGAAGGATACGTACTCGTACACATTCTAAGGTACGGAGCAGGTATTCAATTACCAGATTTATACATACCTTATGGACATCCGGTTGTTTTGTCCGACGGCCTGTATGTAAGCTGCAAGTAAAATAGGTTATCTTGAGCCCTTGACCGTTGACACTACCTGTACTCCGTACTGTAGGCATTCGGATCCATTGTTTGACGGTGCAGCAACCCAAATAGGAGCAGCGGAGAGTGGTTGAGGGCTCAACAGGCACAGATTCCGGGCACAAAGGGGGGCCTCGTTAAACTGGTGCCTGAGAGAATGTGTCGTAGTGCCCGTGGGCCGCCCGCTACTGGCGCTGGTGCTGGCGAACGAAGGGAGTCCACACCTAAGGACAGCCCCCCCTCCCCCCAAAAACTCAACTCGCTGCTAGTACTCTTCGTCCTGGGATTTCATCCTATCCCTCGTCTCGTTTCGAATGGCGCATCACCATCGTCGCGCCGCCTGCCACGCCTCTCTCACTTCCATCTCGAGCGTCCTCCCTTTCATCACCGCAGCCACTGCACCATCACCATCGTTCCTCTTCACCTACGTGTCATACTGTACTACCATCTCACTTCGCCCTCATCACGCTCGTTATTAGCCCTTATCAACCACTTTAGCACTCTGTGCTGCTTTACATGGATTCGATTTTGTAGCCAGCTTCTTTTCTATCGACCCTCGTCTTATTGCACTGCGAGAATCTCCGGGTCCGCCGAGCACTCCCTCCTCCCGCTCCTGCCTCATCTTGGGCTTTTTCGACCTCGACTCTTCTCACTCAACAACATCCAGTCTTTCGTTTCGATTCGATGTCGACCACCATCTGTTAATATTCCCTTCTTGTTCTACCCCCAGTCACAGCTTGCCAGGCGTCAGGTCCTCCTCGGAAACTGCGGTTGTTTTGTTTGGGAAGGAGAAAAGGATAATTTCAACAGCTGCATTGCGGCGACCACATACATCTACCGGACGTGCCTTCTTCCGGCCGTCTCTTTCAATAACTGGACCAGGTGCTAGTTTCTTAACATCATGGCGCCTGCTCCTCCACGTCTGAGGATCCTTTCAGGTGAGCATTAATCGACTTCTCCTGCAGACAACCTACCATCGCGGTTCCTGTTTACCACCCTTAACTCACCCGAGTCACGCGAGATGAATCGAGAACTAAGGCATTGCTGTGTAGTGGGTGGGAATGCTGTTTCTGCTTTTCTATCCTGGCGGTTGCAAGCTACGAATGCCTGCGACGTAACACTGGTCTGGAAGGCCAATTATCAAAGCGTTGCTCAATATGGCGTCTCTTTCAAGTGAGCAGACCTTCAAAGGTGCGTGAATGCGCCACTAACCTTAGCTACAGGTCTCAAATGTTTGGCAACGAACGATTCAAACCTCGATACGGTATGTGAAACCGGCTTTCTTCTATCGTCTTCAACTGATGGCCAGCAGTGGTTCAAACACCTGAAGACGCAGCAGGCCAGCAGACAGCCTTCGACTATGTCATCCTTTGTGTCAAAGCCCTTCCCGATGTGTACAATCTCGCAGATATAATCCAGTCCGTCGTCACTCCTCAGCACACCTGCATTCTCGTCAATACAACCAATACTCTTGGGGTGGAAAGACAATTAGAGGAGCGATTTCCCACGAATGTCGTCCTCTCCCTCGTCTCGGGTGCAGACTTGGTACAGCTAGGTTCCAGCGAGTTCGAACATAGAGGGTCTACAGAGATCTGGGTTGGCCCATCCAGCCAAAATTCAGCCATTCCGGAGGCGATCCAGCGGGATATGTCGGAAGCACTGGCAATGACTCTGAATACGGCGCAGGTTGACTGCAAGGTATCTTCAAATATCAAGCAACAACAGTATGAAAGAATGGTTGGGTAAGTGGAAGTCATGTTCAGGCACGAATATGTCGCTGATTGTTGCTCAGGCCTATCGCATTTCACCCTGCAAGTGTTCTTTTCGAGACATCGAACCTTGCGGAGCTTTTGCAAATGCCAGGAGTTCACGAATTAATTTCAGACGTTATTGAAGAGCTACTTTCAGTAGCAAGTGCGCAAAATTGTATCTTTCCTACCGATTTTAAAGAAACCACGATTTCCAGCATGATCAACTCGAGTCAAGAACCTAGCACGATGTATCAGGATTTCTCGGCCCGGCGCCCGATGGAGGTCGAGACGTACCTAGGAGCCCCAGTCCAACTTGCACAAGCTGCTGGTGTTAAGGTACCGCGAATACAGACACTCTATGCACTGTTGCGCCATCTCAATACGGTCAATAAGGACCGCCCGGTCAACGCCATGGCTTCTACGGCACCTCTGCAGTCTCCCGTGACTGCAGTACAGCCACCCCCGCGGACCATCTCGCTGTCAAGTCCTCCGCCCCCCCGACCACCGAACGGCTCGTTCGGCGGTCCTCCACGCATCGCGCGTGGGCCGCCTCCCATGGGCCCTCCTGTGAGGCGCGGCCCACCTCCGACGAACGGATTCAGAGGACCTCCAAATAGCTTCCCTCACCGGCCTGGCCCGATGCAAAGACGGCCGTCATACGACGAGAACAACTTGGACGAATTCAGCCATGTCGTCTTGTATGACGAAATGGCTAATAATGGAGATGGCCCACCAGAAGGTTATGCTGAGAATGGTGGTGGGCCGTCGTTAAGAGAACGTGAGCTCATGTTGAGGGAGCGCGAGCTGCAGATGAAGCAGCATGAAATGGCTATGAGAAGAGGTGCTGGTGGAAATGGCCGCAGAACTTCGCAAAATCGTCATCAGGACTTCGACGATGACGATGACGACGACGATTACTTTGATCCCATGCTAGCTCGCGGTCCCCCACCGCCTTCAATTGACCCCGACAACTTCGATATGATGAGCGTAACATCAAGGCGAACCAAAAGGGCACCTAGTCAAAGTCAACTGCGCAAGGATGCATTTGTCAATGGAGCCGCCATGCGCCCAGGGTCCTATGGCCGGCCGAACATGGGAAGACATCGGACAAGTGCGTCTATTTTGTCTGACATGCCTGTCCTCGGGGCGAATATTTTGGATAACCCTATGATGGGGTTCTCCTCCAATCGTTATGGCAATGTCGATCGCAAAGAAATGGCTGATGAGTCCCGGGCGAACTCTCTGACCGCAAGCCGCCTTCAAGAAATCGGCATGATTAGTGGTCCTGGCATGAATGGAGGCCCATATCCTGGTCCACCTAGTAGGCGGACAAGCCGTTCACCTGGAAACCCATTTGGACCACCTGGTCGAATGCCCGGTGGTCGACCTTCACCACCGAATGATCCGTACATGCAACCAGGGGGTTCTCGAAATGGAAGGCCTTCCCCTCCTGGCGGCATGCCAGCCCCAATGCCAAGGTATCCCCCGGGCCAAAGCAGTATGGTTCCTCAGCAAGTTGAACAAACCGGCATCAACAAACCATTCCCACCACCTAAAGGGCCCGTAAAGAGTTTGACTGGAAGCGCCAGCGCCAGTGCGGGCAGCGGCGACAGCGGAAGCGCAAACATTGAATCCGAACCATCCGCCCACAGCAGTACCAGCAGTTTCGCGCAAAGGCAGATGCTCGGCGCTCACTAACATCTGCCAAATGCATCTAATTGAACAAACAATTGTCGTTCCCACGCTGGCTTTCGTGGACATTTCTTGACCTCAGGTCTGCGTTGTGCAAGTATTACGTATATGTCTCGTCGTCACAACTGCTTTGCATACACCTTTAATGATCAGCTTTTCGAATTTCACGACCTGGAAGGTACAGATGGGACTTTTCAAAAACGCCAAAAGCATTGAGACGAGTTTGGGGTACATGGTTGACTGGACACAAACATTGGAGCATTCGGTTTGCTTCTCGAGTAAATACGGCATCGCAGTAGGGAGCGATTGGAGGGCCTTTTTCCATTGCACACGAGATGGTACCTATTATATGGTTGGCCTCGGGTTTCTTGTCGACTTTGAATTGAATAGGGAAGAGGCGGTGCAAATGGCTCTTCTCTTCACACGTCTTGGTATTGGCTACCCATTAAAGAGACCTCTTATATCACACACTTGACGGGCATACAAAATTTTCAGGCACACACACGATAGGACTTTATGAAATAATTTTCTGCAAGATTTTTGCATGGCGGCCGGAAAGTTCGGAGGAAAGACCTGGGTAACAAGAAGGATAAGGAGCCTAACTGACTCTTGTCGATCGGAGTCTCTAAGGAAATGCAAGCAAGGATTTGAAAACGCATCTTGAAACCTGTATACAAACTGCGTGTGTCCGTTCTCGAATGTACTTACTTAGGTAGGTTATGATAAGCCCAGCGAGTTGTGAACAAATACCCAAGATCAAAGGTCTCAATTCATCTGGGAGCGCGTAGCATTCTCTATTCGACGTATGAATCTCATTATCATGGAGATCGAGCTGGCACAGAGTGGGTTGGTTTGCTCCGTACTAATAAAGGGCTTGAGATTAAAATGATTGGCCGACGAGGCTGAACATGCATAATTCGTCAGCCTCGCCGCTATTCACGTGATGGTGCGGGCATGTTTACATGACATTTCGCGTTATACTAGGTACTCCTCTTCCGCACTCTGGTACTGCGTAGACTCGTTGACCTGGTCACATCAACCTCCTGAATTCCTTGTCTCTGCCAGCACAAGGGCCATTCGTTTCATGGTATACGTGGCACAATTGTGTAATCTTCCAAGAGCCGAAAAGCTCCAAGAAAGATGGACAGGAACAACACTGCGTCCAAGCAGTCCCTCTCTCGCCCTTCGTCAGTGACCTCGATGAACACGACCTCGACCAACAAGAACCGCCAGTACGCCCATCTGCACGCTCAGCTGGCCCAGCTCAACGCGCACCTTGCGGACACGGAGAATCTGGTAAGGATGACGGCCGTTCAGGCGCAAGATATGCGGTTCCTCGGCGGTTACGTGGGTGCTTTGTTCATGGGCAGCGCGAAAGTGCTAGGGGAAGAAAGTGTACAGGGACGAGGGAAGTAAAGATGAGTGGAATTGATATGCACAGTTCGACGGATGCCAGGTCTTGTCTTGGGACTGGCTACGTATGACATATGCATCAATATGAGACCCGGCGCAACGCTGTGAAGAGATATCTACTCGAGATGAGACGACAGTATCTCCTTTCATATCGCGGCATGTAATCATCGTGTACACACTGCAGGACGCACGCTCTCAACCAGAGAAACTGTCCACTGCACCCTCACTCCACCACGGATATTCGTGGCATTAACGAGCCAACGATTCAGGCTCAATACTCATCAGTACCACCTTGCCAGCAGAACGAGCAGCGACTATCACTGGCAACTCAAACCATCAATCGAGCAGAAGCGTCTCGGCTTCATGCATCGGCTTCCGGTACCACAACCAACATACATGCACGCACTACCTCAATCAAACGTCACGATAATTTTACCTTTTGCTCTTTGGCTCAACCCTCTCTCATATGCCTATCACAATCGATCAGTTTTCGTCAAGATTGGAGGCCAGCGCCACACACGGGCAAAAGGCATCGCCAGCAACGTACCTTGGTTACATCCTGGAATTTCCACACGCTGTCAACCAATGACTTCACCTGCCCAGCCTCGACCATGTCACAAACTCTTTGCATGTCCTTTTTTAACGGTGTGGCTGAATAAAAAAGACACTTTCGAGGTGTCCCTCCTAAGAAAACGGGCAGGAAGCGGTTCAGCTGAACAAGCAATATTTCAGAAATCAAGCCGAACAGAGAGGCGCTCTCTAGTGCCTTCATGTTTCCTAAGATGACAAACGTCCCAGACTTGGTGAGGTAGTTCGGCGAGGAAGTGAACATTTCCTTGGGATTGCCTGCGACGTCAAGAATGGCGTTGAACGGTGCCGAGGAGTGGTGCTTGTTGAGATATTCGTGCAGGGGATTGTGCACTCTGTAGTCTATTGTCTGAGTGGGTGTTAGTTCGCCGGTACCTACTCAGCCCCTATCAAGCAACGCCTACCTCATCTGCCCCTAAACTCTTCACCAATTCCGCGTTTTGGGCAGAACACGTCGACACCACTATTCCCGACTCTCCGACAAGAACTCGCGCAAGTTGAACGCACATGTTTCCTAACCCACCACTTCCTCCTGTCACGAGGACCTTGTCGCCTCTCTTCACTCCTGCAAGTTCGAGTGCTTGTATGGCTGTACATCCCGTGGCGGGTAGCCCTGAAGCCTCGATCATCGAGATTGATTTGGGCTTGCGAATGAGCATATTCACAGGACTGACGAGATATGATTGCATGGCGCCGTTGTATTTGGAGAGTGGGCTGCTGCGCACGCCGATGACTTCGTCACCTATTCGTAGATCATTCGAGTCATCCGAGGATGGTGTTCCCATGGCGACAATTGTTCCGGCGAAATTGATCTCGGGAATCCATGGTTTGCTGGTTAGATGCGGGATTGATCTGATGATGAGAGAGATGCCAGCGTCTGTAGACACGGCGGACACTTTGATGAGAGCTTCACCGGGGACGAGAGATGACGGGGTTGGTGTTGGGAAATCGTGTGTGATGGTCAGGACGTCGAGGGGGTCGCCCCTACGGGTGAATGTCAGGGCAGAATGTGTAGTGGGAATTTGAATATCTGGTGCCATGGTTGAGAGTCGATAAGTCGAGCTTCTATACCGTGTAAATTGGGTATTTCACTATAGCGGGTAATGGCTGGTTTTACATATTGAGGTCAAGATTCGCGTTGCATGCGTGTTGTGTTATTCATTGTCACCAACCTGACCACGGAGCAAAACGTCGGACGAACCGAGAGTAGCAACCATCAGTGAGAGAGAGATATGTTCGGACCAGGCAGCAGTCAATTCGAGGCTGGAACAATGGCGCCTCTTCCTACCAAGATGGGGCGCTAGTTTCAATAGAATCAACCACCTGCATTGTTGTGGCGGTCGAAGCGTTCGTCCGAATGCCATTGTCTGGTGAACATCGGGCAGTCGTTGCCAAACCACGGATACTACCGAGACGACGTACTTCTATTTGATGAGGACAAAATATAGCATTACTAGAACACCTCTATTTTGTGAGACACATCTGTTCAAACAACAAACTTCCAACGCGGTACGGAGTAGTACATGAGTAGAAACACCAAGATGAGGCTACAAAGACATTGGCAACACCAGATGAGTAGCACGAAAAATCACTTCCTCCCGGTTATTGACTGGCATCCCACACTGTCATTGTTTACAGCTGTTATTACCCTGACATCAAGCAGCACCATCGTGAAACTGTGTTACTAGCCTGGTAGCCACAGCTTTCAGCCCCCAAAAATGCATGACAACATGCACGGAGAGCTGCTGGGTCTTCAATTCGAGGGGGGAAAAGTCAGCCTCACTAGCCCGATTTTCGCTTCGCTGGCTGGAACAAACCACCCCTGGTCTCGAACTCGCCTGTTTTCCGACACGAGGCTGGGCAGCTGAAATCTGTCAAACCCCCTTCCACCATTGCGCCTGATCTATCTGTGTCTTCAAACCGGTCATTCAGCGTCTGCTCGGCTCATCAACATGCGCAAGTACGGCTCGCGACAAAATGGCCACAGCAACGGTAGAAGCGCGCCCGTTGCGCATCAAGCTCACCAAAGCCGTAACGCAGAAAAAGGACGCAGATCTAGCCAGGCTGTTACAAGATGAAGACTCTAGCCGGCGCAATGACGAGAATGATCTCCGCGCGCTCTTGACCAAAGCCATCAACATCGGGTACGAGAATGGCGTCAAATTGCTCCTCGATGCCGGTGCAAAAGTCGACATCATTGGGAATCATGGCCCGCTCCAAAGCGCCATCGCAAACACCAACGACAAGACTAGAAATGCAATCATCACACTTCTCCTCAATCGGGGCTGCGAGCTCGAAGCCAAGGACGCAACTGGAAGGACACCGCTGATGACTGCTTGTCTACGCGGCCAACACGATGTCATACTCACCTTGCTCGCGCGTGGAGCCGATCCCAATCTCGAGGATATGACCGGCAAAAATTGCTTGCAAATCATGGCATCCGAGTCGAAGCGAAAAACGGAATGGAGTCCAGAGGCCTTGTCTGCGCTGTTGCCAAAATTCAAAGACCTCAACAAACGGGATAGTGAAGGTCGTGAAGGTCGAACACCTCTCTTGTGGGCGGCCGCGCGAAATCAGCTGACACTCGTCGATGCCTTGCTGAAGCTGGGCAAAGGTATGGTCGACATCAATCAGAGCAACGACCAAGGCCACTCGGCGCTCCATCTCGCAGCAAGGCATGATGAGCCTGAGATGATCAAGCTGCTCGTATTCATGGGCGCTAAAATTGAAGCCAGAAGTGACGGTGATTGGACTCCGTTGCTGATGGCTGCGAAGGAAGGGAACGAGAGAGCTATAGATGCTTTGCTGACTTCCAACGCCAATGTCAATGCCCGGACCTCCTCTGGGATGACTTCTCTGCACTGGGCAGCGGATAGCGGTAGATTGACCGCGCTGAACAGGCTTCTTAGAGAGCGAGATGCGCTTAAGAACAGCAAGGACAGTTTCGACAGTACGCCCCTTATCCGTGCTGCCCAGAATGGACATTGGGATATTGTCGACGCGCTGCGTCCGTATGTGCTGGAGGGTCCGACCAATCGTATCGCAAGAAAGGCCTGCGAGCGCTTTCGTGCCGCCGTGGTGAATTTCTTCGAGGACAAGGATGCGCGGGGGAACATCAAGTACAAAAACAAGGTCAACAAGCAGACTGTCTGGCAGATCGTTTACGCTCGAGACCAAAAAGATCCAGAAAAACCTGCTATCCCTATAGCTCTTGACCAGATCGAGGGCAAAAAACCCTCGTTTCGCTGGGTCCACCTCCCTGCAAACAATATCTCTTGGCTCGAGGCTCTCCTCACAAGATACTACCTAGAAAGCGACATGGGGGATGTGACGGCGCTGAAGAGTCTTCTTCGCTTGCTAGGAAGACAGCAACACCGTGGCTCAGAAATCCACTCACGCTTCATGCGTCCATCCTGCAAGCGCATATGGATTCCGCCCAGGCAAACATCCGAACAGACGCAAGCTACACCCCAGAGATCGTCACACCTGAACAATCGTAAAGTAACACCGTCGACGCCACCTCCGCCACCATCAGCTCGGTCGACAGCACCGGTGGCCGCTGCACAAAGCCAACAGGAGGACGACATGATGGTCATGTTCATGCCATATCTTCATTGGGAAACCGACCGAAACCGCACTTCGCTGACTCAATCGTTACGTGCACCTGCCGGGAATACAGACTCTCTAGATGATTCGGAACTCTCAAGGATCGCGAAAGACATCTTGCTCATCCACGGCTACGTTGCAGGTTCGACGGATCTGCATCCACGTCGCACGTTGGACCAGTTCAAACACCACAGCACCAAGACAGACCATCAGGATGCCGACCAGGTCGTGTATCGATACTGCAAGAAACGCAGCAAAGAGCTCAAAGTCTTTATGGTTGATCAATTATGGATGATTAGCATCGGCAACCTGCTGATCTCGTGTTTTCCAGAACGCTGGAAACAACCACACCGCGACCCTCTCAATTTGTTTGAAGGAGTCGTTGAAGACATAAATTCTTCAACGCGTCCACCGGTCCGAAACGTCTTCGAACTCGCGACTGTCATCACCGAAAGGTGCACAGGTCTCTTTGACCGGCAACAGTGGGACAATGACGAATTGCTCTTCGCCGAAATGTTTGAACTGAGCATTGGCCGCCTGACGAGGAAGGAGACGAAGCTATTCCGACGATTCAAAGAAGCTTCGTCCCACTGGCTTCGGTCCCACGAGGGTGGAAACGTCCTGTACGACTCTCGATTGGGCCTTCTCGACCAAGATGACTACCAATCTTCCGACTGGTCATCAGATGAACTGCATGACCACCACCACCATCGTCATCATGGTAATGCTCATCACGCCCACGGTACCGTTGCGGACAGCGACACCACCTCCCATGGGCGCCAACAGAGGTCTGATTCTTTCGACAACGATCTTCTGAACATCGACAGAGAAGCGGCATTACTCGTAGAGTGCAAAGATGTCGAAGACGAACTGGACATACTGACCAGCGTGCTCCACCAGCAGCAACAAGTCTTGAACGACTTTGATGCCACTTTGCGGACCACGAAGAGACTCCAACACCGCCTCGATCTGTACAACAAAGTCAATGAGCAACGACGGCTAGTGGATCTTGATATCCTGGATCTGGGACGGATGGCGCGGCAAGCCAAAAGCGTCAACGATAACCTCACCCAGGTGTTGGATCTCAAGCAAAAGCACGCCAATGCTGTGGAGGCGAGATTTCAACGCAAGCAGGCCGAAGAGTCCGTCCGACAGGGCCAGACGATCATGGTATTCACTATTGTGACGATTGTGTTCCTACCGCTGAGTTTCCTGGCCAGCTTCTTCACCATCAATATCGTCGAGTTCCCTCGACCGGCCGGCGCCCAGCAAGGTGAGCTCCATCTCGGATGGGTCGTCAAGTGGATTCTAGGCATCGGGTTCGCGCTGAGTGTGCCCCTGATCGGGCTAGCGTTTGTGGTTGGGGACGTGCGGGCATTGTGGGTGAATTGGAAATTCGACAGGTACCGCAAGCGCAAGCAGAAGGAAGAGATGATGATGCGCATGGGCATGGGCATAGCGAGCGTCTATGGAGATGAGAAGACAGACCCAAACCGCTTCGAGAGAAGGAGTGGAGTGTCTCGGCTCACAGGGTTTTTGAGACGACGCAACATTCCACGGCCGCGGCGAGGAGAGACCATTCATTCAGGTCTTCCAGTCTCGAAGACAGGTCTGCCTGATGACTTTTGTGCACCTACCAAAGGGAGCTATGTTGAAGGAGGGCACGGGCATCGTCAAGCTTACGAAGCGACTCGGACTTCCCATCTCGGACAACGTTATTATCAACATCCGCGACCACACCAGCCGGATGTCGTATCTGGTCTGGGCCTGCACCAGCAAGGTCGACAAGCCATGTCGTCGATGGAGTCGAACAGGCATGTAGGAAACCGGTATCCCAGACGGTTGGGCCGTGTCGGCACCGAGACGACAGAGCGTTCCGCTGCCACTGAAGATCTTGAGATTGGGGCCGGATTCGGAATTTGACTCTATCTCTCAGTGTGTCATTGATAGCACAGAGGTGAAAAATGGTGAGGCTCAAAAGTCTGTATAATATAATGTTACCATTGTCAACGTCACCCTGTATATACATAAAAGGTTGAAATCTAAGTAGTTCCCCCATCATGGGATTGGTCAGTGTGACACCGTTGATGACTAATATTCACATGGAAGATTCTTGACTTCATCTCGCCTCCCTCCAGGCACGAGTAAAAATCCTTTCGACCTGACGATATCTTGACGCTTTCGATCATTGTATCAGACGGATGAATTCGATCATCGACGATGGCAGAAGATGCACCAAAACCATTGACGGCGTTGCCGTTCCCACCGGTGACGGCGTCACACATTCTGCACTGCTCATATCATTCATGGCACCCTCGCTTCCGATCTCTCACGCCGAAGGCGCGGCTCGTACCGCTCACACAGCCTTTCCTGGAGTACCTGAGGGCCGATGGGATCATCCTGCCTCCCGAAAACTCCCCCAACGACCAAGACAGCGGGTTTCAAGATGAGGACGACGAAGAAGATCCCTCGGAATCGTGGTCCGACGTCCACGAGCGAGTTCGCTCCACGATTGCCGAACTGGGGGGCAAAGTCGTGCCGAAGCTGAACTGGTCCGCTCCGAAGGACGCGACCTGGATCGCACCCACCAACGACCTGGAATGTCGGACGCCCAACGACGTCTACCTCCTCCTCAAGTCCAGCGACTTCGTCACCCACGACCTCGAGCATGCCTTTGACGGCTGCGTGGACCAGGCCGACGTGCCTTACCACCTTGTCCTTCGGAAATCGTTCAACCTCAACCCGTCGTTGGAGTTTAGGTGCTTTGTGCGGAACCGCAAACTCATCGCCGTCAGCCAGCGCGAGATGAACCACTTTGAGTTTCTCTTCGAGCTGCGGAGCACGTTCAAGAGCCAGATCCAGGACTTTCTCGACTGTCTCGCCGACTTCCCGGACGACAACTTCGTCTTTGACGTCTACATCCCTCCCCCGCACGAACGAGTCTGGCTGGTCGACATCAACCCTTGGGCCCCCCGGACTGATCCGTTGTTGTTCTCTTGGCTGGAGATCCTGTCCATTCCGGAACCCGAACCGGACACCGTTTTCGACCCAGAGTTTCGTCTCGTGCAGCGTGACGACCCCGAGGCGTACCAGTTCGCGGCGACCAAGTACAGCGCGCACAAGCTACCCAAAGAAGTCGTGGACGCGAGCATGGCGCCCGGTGACATGACGAAGATGATGGAGGAGTGGAAGAAGATTATGGAAAAGCAAGTCGAGCAAGACTCGGACGATGAGCAGGAGAGCTGAAGCTAGAAGGTACCATGATACTTGTCAGCCTTGATGACACGGTGATTTGCCATGGCCGATCGAATTCAGCATCAGCAGCACCAGGACATCACTCGAGCGAATATGGCGCAAAGTGCACGGGACTGTAAGCGCAGAATTACACGCCGATTGAAAAGTCTACCCAGGATCAATCAAAGGAAAAAAACAGACGATTGGTCAAAGTCACAATTGATCGAGGGCATTCCACACGGTGATGCTAGAGACGCCTTGATCGACCTCGGACGAAAGCCCCGCGCTGACGAGAAGACCTTGAGTGGTTCTCCCTGGATCTGATTTTTCAAGGCCGGAACGTCGGGCAATCAATGGTGTGGATAAGAACCTGATTGGGCGAGTTTTGAATGCGAGTCTCTCTAGGGTGTGCCAATGGGCGCAGAAACACGATCAGTGGATGGGAAGCTGATTGGGCGGGTTCGGAGAGAGAGTGTTGTGGCTAGGTTCTTTTGTGGTCGCAGATATACGGACTATGAAAGAGACCATCCTATCGTAGAAAACCAAGGCGCCTCGGACCCGATGTGTATGTAGCCTTGTGAGTGACTCACCCTGGCTCAGCGCCCATCTTTGAAACCAGAGGGTGCAAGGATTAGGCGGGTTGATACGAGCCATGTAGCACAAGGAGCGTCGATTTCCGTCTTGTGCACGACGTGGGCTGCTCTACTCAGTATGGGTACGAGCATTCGAGTCCGCTGCGTCCAGTAGACAAAGTCCACGACATACAAAGAGACTGGATACGAAGGAACGGGGTTGGATTTGTGTGACCCTCGCCCTAATCTCGCTACTTGACATCAGCCACTCGCAAAAGACACACATGCTCCGACGGTTGGAGATGGATACTTCCCTAGAGAGATAAGCGATATATCTGTGTTTCAAGTCACGCGCCATGGTCCCTCTCCTCAAAAGGACATTTGGTTCGTATTGTGAGGCTCCGGGGAACATTTGGCCCCTCTGTATCACGTGGACGGCCACGGGATGGTCATTGATGGCGGACCCCGCCATGGACGGAATCCAGCGACACTACGACTTGAGAACATTTTGGTTCTCGAAAGACATCACGCGCCGCCCTTTTCACCACGGACATCAAGTGTCGCTTTGGGTTCGCCCCGTTCCCCCCGATGCCCGTGTGTTACACAAACCAACCTCAGAGGATGTCATGCCGTCTCTCGAGTCGTGGCTTGTCAATGGCAGGCCAATGTTGATGTTGATCGACTCGAGGTACTGCGACGGATGTACTAGCCCACCCCCCGCCTCTCTCCTCGTCGACGCATTTCCCATGCCGCACATCATCCGACTGCAATCGAGCCTCCCGCCTTTTATGACGAAGCCTGGGTAGACAATCGCTGTTCCAGAGTCTCCGGGACCACCTCCTCCCTGGCCCCCCTGCTACCTTGCCCCCGCTACGTTGCCTGTGATGCCCAAAGTCGTATGGGCCAGGCAACCTTTTTGTTCCCTTTTTGCTCCACCGTCGAAGCGTCCTCCCGGGTATTTCTGCTCTACGGGCCGCTCTTGCGCGGAAACTTCCAGCCAGTCGGCGCGCTACACCACTTCTGAAGGTGAGCAGCTTTCCAAATGGCCCTACAAGCGTCGGGGCTCATCATCTTCCTTTCGCGTGCATGCCTGCTTGCCCTGGTGAGAAATAGTCTGGCCATTGACGAGAAAGTGCTCACTTGTGCTCAGGAGCCATAGCGAGTCCTGGATGCTCCGCTGCCACTGCTGCTCCGGGTGCCTTGCATTGGCGCGGGCAAGGATAGACGCACTGGCACCTGGGAGGAAGCGCTAAAAAAGAGCAACTCGCCAAATGTAGAGCGACATACAAAGCGCAAAAGTTGTTAGCTTGTTTCGAAAGTGACACAGACTTTTGCGTTGGCTTTCTGCGACACACAAGTCGTTCACCGTCTTTGGGTACAAAAGGTCCAAGGTATCTTGGGTCCGCCCGTCGGTTTTTTGGTTCCTCACCACCACCTCTACCCGACCCTGATCTCAACATCGACTCCTGCTTGGCCGCCGTCCGAGCACGAAATTTTCCCAACCAGCCAATATCCGAGATACACAATTACCAGAGTGAAGTCATATATGGCAATGTAGGTCAATTGTCCACTTGCGTCTGCAAGCATAAGCCACTGACTCTGTCCAGCACGAAACCCAGGCGGGAAGAAGCGCCCCCCCTTCCAACAGGAGCTATGCCCTCCAAGTCCAACAGGGGAACCGCCGCCAAAAGCAAGAGAAAGGCGGTCTTCATATGGTCTTGTGTCAGAGCCTCGACCTCATTCTGTGACGGAATTCGCATGACTGACAGTTTTACAGTGCAAAGATGGGAAAAGTGCCCTCAACATCAAGGTCGAGAGCTGCCCTAAATGTGGGCATGCCCGCTGTAACAACTGCAAGCTGCAGAAGATTACGCAGTAGAGCTGGCAGGATGGCATGCATAGAATGAATGGAGCACCAGACTTGGCATAGCCTGCCTGGGATAGCATTGGGTGGGGGTCCTGTTAGAAATCATCCTTACGGTGGAGGGAATCAATTTGTTTTGCATTTCTGCGCGTTGGAATACATGATGGTATTGGTATGCAAAGCGGAACAGTTTGAAGGAGGTGTTCACCCAAGATCCAAAGGGCAGAGCATCGTCGATACGAGACAACTCGGAGGCAGGATCAACGTGCGTGGATGAGAAGGCGAATGAAGCGATTGATGTTTTTGGAGCAGCTGTTGCCATCCAGACTGCTGCTGTCCGCTGCGACACCAGTTCTCGTACTCCGTACTCTGTACCGCGTACGAACGCCTTCTTGAGTCACGTGATGCTAGTGGTTGGGAAGCCGATATCGCGGGTTGCTTTGTTTCGGCGTCGGTCAACAAAGGATCAGGAGATTTCAGGATTGCGGGATACCTCTGTATTATTATGATATTTCCTTGTAGAAGCCAGAACTATCTCGGACGCATCCGGTAGTATGGGTTCCAGTTGGAATTAAATGATTGCTAGGAGATTTCGCAGCGTAGATATGGACAGAGAGTCATGGATTGTAATCGTGTCTGCGATTGGGTCGAGGTGGGAAGCTCCATCGGGTCAAGCTCCCCCTCTACGCCCGCCTGCGCCCCGATAAAAATCTTGCACCCAATCCTCATTCCTGTGACTCTTTTCCACTCCACACTGCTGCTTCTCAGTTGAAAAGAAAGAATTTTGTGCTCAACGCCTGCCAACTAGTCCTCTCACGCCCTTCAAAGGACCCAGACAGATTCATGACTCTAGACACTGCTGCCATCTAGAATCCGGGTATCGCGTTCATGTGCTTCCCAAGCATCTTCACCTCTCAAGTGAGTCCCGTTGTGCCCCTCGACGAGCCCACTGATAAGCTCCTCGAACCCTGGCGTGACAACGGCAAACACGTCAACCACGGTATCTGTGGGAAGCTCTGCTAACACTACTTTGCTCATAGGATTACATCAGTGGTACTTACGACCCTCCGTCCCAACATTTGATGTTGCCGTCTCTCTGACTGTCATGATAGATCATTTGTGGAAGGCTCAAGCCAACTAGCGGTCAAGAAAAGAACAAGGGAAAAACACAGTCATAATTCTTCCTTACAACCATGTTTTCTCGACTATTGAAACCATCGGGCCTCGTGCCCAAGACGAGCAGTATCATCTCAAGCTCCTCTGCCCTGCGAGCCCGATCTCTCGCAACCGTGTCGAACAATACGCCTCGACAGCAAGACCTTCCTCTGCACAAGCAGTACAAGCACACCGCCCCTGCACACGAACGAGCCACATTCACCATCCGAAACGGTCCCATCTTCCACGGCACGTCGTTTGGTGCTCGAAGCAACGTTTCAGGAGAAGCCGTCTTCACGACTTCGCTCGTGGGATATCCTGAGTCATTGACCGACCCTTCCTACCGAGGACAGATTTTGGTGTTTACACAGCCCTTGATCGGCAACTATGGCGTGCCATCAAACGTCCGAGACGAGCATGGCCTCCTGAAATACTTTGAGAGCCCCAACATCCAGGCCGTCGGTGTCGTCGTTGCGGACGTGGCTGAAAAATATTCCCATTGGACTGCCGTGGAGAGCTTGAGTGAATGGTGTGCCAGGGAAGGTGTCCCGGCCATTACCGGGGTGGATACTCGTGCTATCGTGACGTACCTACGAGAGCAAGGTTCCAGCCTGGCCAGAATCACCATCGGCGAGGAGTACGATCAGGATCAGGATGAGGCTTTCGTCGACCCTGAACAGATCAACCTTGTCCGAAAAGTCAGCACAAAGGCACCATTCCACGTCAGTGCTCCCAACCCAAATGCACACATCGCCGTGCTAGACTGCGGTGTCAAGGAAAACATCCTTCGCAGCCTGGTCAGCCGAGGAGCCAGTGTCACCTGCTTCCCTTTCGACTATCCCATCCACAAGGTTGCTCACCACTTTGATGGTGTCTTCATCTCCAACGGTCCAGGTGATCCGACCCATTGTCAGGACACTGTCTACCATCTTCGAAAGTTGATGGAGACTTCGCAATTGCCCATCTTTGGTATCTGCCTTGGTCATCAACTCCTAGCTTTGGCTGCTGGTGCCAGGACCATCAAGCTCAAGTATGGTAACCGAGCACACAACATTCCGGCTCTGGATCTCACAACTGGCAAATGCCATATTACCAGCCAGAACCACGGTTATGCCGTCGATGCATCGACCCTGCCCAAGGGCTGGAAGCCATATTTCACAAACTTGAACGACAACTCGAATGAAGGTTAGTTGTGTGACTCGTATTATCTGTTCGGCTTGTGCTAATACTCTCTAGGTTTGATCCACGAGTCTCGACCCATCTTCTCTACTCAATTCCATCCTGAGGCCAAGGGCGGTCCTCTTGATTCGTCGTATCTCTTCGACATGTACTTGGACAATGTGCAAAAGTACAAGCAGGGTGAAGCTGCTTTCCAACCCACTCGTGACAGCAAACCAAGTCCCCTTTTGGTTGATTTGCTGGCCAAGGAACGTGTGGGTGTTGACCTCACTCAGGGTATTCGAAACATGATGGCATCGACCAGTCAAGAGCCTGAACGAGTTTATGCTGCAGGTGCTGCATGATGAATGAGGATGGCAAATGATGGACCTTTGGTGTTGTAGGTGACGAGCTTTTGTTTTTAGGGTTATCAGCAATCTTTAAATGATGGTTTGATAGTTTCGTTTTTGGAAGTCAATACATTATTGAGCAATGAACTTGTTCTTGTTTTGTGACTTTGTGATTCTTTTCGACCATCATTCCCTGTTGGTGCGGTGGTTTCGAGGTGTAGAGAAGGAGTAGTGACTCCGGAGTACTCTGGACAAGTCTTTTTCCATGACTCGTCCCCCTTTCGATGCCCAGACATGATCGTACGTCCAGCTTAGTAAAGTATCTAGCGGGGGTTTGATTAAACGATAATGGGTTACATCGTTCTTCGTATAAAGGTATTTCAGGCATCCCAACTTTTCTAATCCGGGTGTAGATGACGTAGAGCAGTCCACAGGCACAGATGATGACAGTGTTGTCCTTGCGAAATAAGATGGAGAGAGACTTCAAAGGGTTGGGTAGGAGCCGCTTGTGTTCTGTGACACCTTCAGAGCCCCTCTAGAGACACATTAAAAAGGAGATAGACAGTCACAGATACTTTAGAGGTCTTATGAAGCCATTACAGACAATATTACGAGCGGTCTCTGGCAGAAACACGAGCATGAGAAGCAAGCATGACCCGGAGGCCATGGCGAGGAACCAGAATATCCGAGCCCAACCGGCAGCGTAGGTCAAAACTCCTCCAAAGATGGGACCGATGCTCGGCGCGCATGTGATGCTTTTGTCAGTGTGTTAGTTTCGTGATCGTAACAAATCACTCGATCCAATGAGAAGCTGAAAGCCTACGCAAATGAGACTGCACTGGCAAAGGTCCCTCTCTCTGCGGGAGACGCAACATCGGTAAGAACGCCATGTGCGATTGAGAACGTACCTTGAGGGAGCGTCAGCAGAGAATCAAAGATGGTACTCAATAGAGGACAATCGAGACTGCAGACCGGAGTTTGTTGCTGCCTGCAGTATCCTCAGCCCCAAAAGTGCCTGATACGTTTTGACCAAGGCGATAGCGATGTCGGCGACGATGTAGAGGGTCAGTGCTATCAGATAGACAAGACGTCAGCCCAAGACGTCCGCAGCGTCTCCAGCCAAGGTCTGTGCTATCGTCGCAACGGCCAAGTAGGATGTCACCGCTCGGTTGACCTTTTTGACCGAGACGGACAATGTCTCAGATTTCGTGTGCAGCGCAGGGTAGTATATGAAGCTGCTGAGCGTCGAAAACCAAGCCGCATAAGAGACCATGGCGACAATGCCCCATTTCTCGACTGTCGTGAAGACCGAGGAGCGGGCGACTACTTCGACAATGGGATCGTCGCTCCGTTTTTCGGATGACATCGTGTGAAGAGACTAGATCCCTGCATTTGAATCTACACTTCGACTAGCACAGCTTGTGACAATTGCCAGGGAAGAGGCGTAACAATAGCGCGGTGGAACTCTGAGAGCGCTCAAGGTTCGCTCTGGAAGCAGAAAATAGTGAGAGTATACGCAAAAGCGCGAGCGGCTGCTGCATATCCTCTCAACTAGATGTAATAGAGAGGATAAAGCCAGTAAGGCGAGGCTGAGGATATCTTGGAAGTCGATGAACACTGACGCTGCTTAGTCATGGCGAGGTACCTCCTTGTTATTATGTAATCCATCTACATTCCAGCCTTGTCCTTGATCCTTGTCAGCATCAATACCCGATGACACACGACACATTCACCATTTACCCATTCCGTCTTTTTACAAGGTTAGAATTCTGCCAAATGAAACTCTTCTGACACAGCTGGACTTGTGCTCTCACAGGAGTTGTTTGTGGTGTGTACACTCCTCGGCTGGGGACCATGAGATAACAAACCACCATGGAAGAAGCGGTTACTTTCACCACTGGCGAGACTTCGACGCCGCCTGACCTTCGGATCATCCACTACAATGATGGTACGAATACACGATTTTCAGACCAATCTTGTCTCTCAGAGACAAAGACACTGACGGATGCTGTGACAGTATATCATCTGGACTCGTCCTCGGCCGAGCCGGTAGGCGGTGTCGCCCGTTTTCAGACTCTGTGCAACTATTATCGCAATGATGGCCGATTCAAAGGACAGCCGAAACTCATCACTTTGTTCTCTGGAGATGCATTCAATCCGAGCTTGGAGAGTAGCGTCACTAAAGGTGGGTGGCAGCCATATTTGCGGCTCTCGGCGCAGTTCATGGCTTGCGAGTCAGCTGCTGTCTCCAATATGTCTGACACGCTATTATAGGCAGTCATATGGTCCCTGTTCTTAACATGATAGGCACGGATGCCGCCTGTGTCGGGGTATGATGTCCAAACCTGAAGCGGATGAGTGGTACAATTTCGCTGACGGACGGGATGTTAGAACCACGATCTCGATTTTGGAGTCAAGCAGTTTCGGAGTCTCGCTTCACGATGCACATTTCCTTGGCTTTTGGCAAATGTTCTTGGTATGGACAAATATTACCATTTTTGCTGGCAAATGTATAATTGCTAACCCGAGCTTGTAGATCCTCAGCTTGGAGAAGATGTCCCCCTTGGAAACGCAAAGAAGACAGTCATCCTTACAGCCTCGAATGGCATCAAGATCGGCCTTATCGGCCTCGTCGAACGGGAGTGGTTGGATACTATCAACTCATTACCACCGAACCTCATCTACAAATCTGTCTCGGCAACAGCGGAAGAACTCGTCCCAGGTCTACGAGAGCAAGGTGCTGAGATCATCATTGCTCTCACACATCAGCGAGAACCTAACGACAATAAGCTAGCTGAGAAGACACCAGATGGGCTGATTGATCTTGTCCTAGGCGGCCATGATCACTATTACTCACATACGTTGATCAACAGCACACATGTGTTACGATCTGGAACCGACTTCAAACAACTAAGCTATATTGAAGCACGGCGGCGGTCTGGGGAGAAAAGGAAATGGGATTTCCATATCGTCAGACGGGACATCATCTCAAGGGTGCCTGAAGATCCGGAGATGTTGCAAATCACCGCGAAGCTGACGGAATCGTTGAAAGGTAAACTTGAAAAACCTCTTGGATATACAGTGGCACCACTAGACGCGAGGTTCACCACGGTTAGACTCAAAGAGTCAAATCTGGGTAACTTTGTATGCGATCTGATGCGGTTACATTACGACGGCGATTGCTGCCTCATGGCTGCAGGCACGATTCGGGGAGATCAGGTGTATCCTCCAGGAATGCTGAAATTGAAGGACATATTAAACTGGTATGGCCGGTGTTAGACGTCGAAAGATGGATTCACAACTAACATATTGTGATAGCTTCCCATTTGAAGACCCGTGTATTGTCATACGTGTCACGGGTGAAGCACTACTAGCGGCTCTAGAGAACTCGGTGTGCGCGTATCCCGCGCTCGAAGGCCGCTTCCCTCAGGTGTCGAATATTACTTTCGAATTTGACCCTTCCCTGCCTCCCCAACACCGGATCAAGTGGAGTAAGGTCGGCGGAGAATCTATCGATCTTGAGAAGAAGTATGTTCTCGTTACGAGAGGGTATATGGGACGAGGCAAGGATGGGTTCGACTCGTTGCTCGTTCAGTCCGAAGGAGGCCAGGCAGAAGAGATTGTGTCGGAAGAGAACGGTATCCTGATCAGCATGTTGCTTCGGCAGTATTTCATGTCACTCAAGACTCTGGGCAAGTGGAAACACTGGGGCAAGAGCCTGAATAGGCATTGGAAGGGGATCCATGATGATCTGCATGAGACACACCCAGTTCTCACGTCGTCGGCGACCTCTAGAGAGAAGGTGCCTTCTAAACGCAAACGGGCAGATACTGTTGAGGTCTCTACGACGCCGCTCGACCATTCAGAGGACGAGGGCGGTCGCCATGAGATCGTGGACATACCAAGTAAATGGAGCGATGATGAAATAAGGATCATCAGACAGGTCATGCGCAAATGGCGACGACTTGCCGGGCTCAAGGGACATTCCAAGTGCTGTGATAACATGAGTGAGGAAGAGTTCCAGGTTGACTGGACCAAGGTGAGCTTTGATAACTCCGATTGAGTTGTACAGACGTCCTCGATTGTGCTAACATGGTGGTCCAGGCCATTGCACCCAGATTGGAAGGGAGGATCCAGATGACGAGGTCAGCCAAAGAAGGACATGGTCAAGACTGAAGACGTCGACGAAGTTGCAAACTCAGCCTTGTGCCTCACATGACCAAGCCTTATCTGGCACCAGACACCTCGTGCGACTCGCATCACGTACTCGCAGCAATCTGTTGGTCATTGGACGGGAAAACAGCTTTCAGCTTACGAGTGTTGGTAGGACTAGATCTCGTTCCTGCATAGTGCGGACATACTCCGCGTTGAGCCGACAGGGACCGTATTAGATGTGGGATGCCACGGAAGTGCTTCGTCGGGGATTTGCCCTGGTGTCATTTGCGTAATCCAATCAGAGACACGGCATTTGCAAAACGTTTTGGTGTGCCAGATCCCGTACTGATGCTCGGTAGGCAACAAAAAGGTATCCACAGAGTTTCAAGATTTGGTAGAAACAGACAGAGAAACAGAGAAGAATCATTTCAAGCACGCTTAGGGGTTTGCTTCGATCATACGACTATGGGACTTGTCATTCACCGAAAATCGCGGTGCTGATGGACGAAAAGGGTAGAATTGAGCGAGGGGAGAAAATGTGCGTAAATAATCCGGGCGATGAGATTGGCTCCGAGGCATCACCGGTGTCGGTAGTTTAGCGTCTGTGGTGCTCTTGGGTGTTTGGTGGGGGGCGGGAGCCATTGGGCTTACTACGCCTAAATGTAGCTCCGAGGGGCCTTGAGTAGCCTTAGGAGCCCTCACAGGTGCGAGTCTAGTTCTCTGGTCCAGGGCTTCTTCGGCTGCTGCTGACCCCATATTTCGCTTTCCAGCCAAAGAAAGAGAATCGAAAGAATCCTTCTTCTTACAAACACTTCTTCACACACCTCTTCACCCACATTCCCTCCTCTTGTTTTGCTCTACCCATTCCCCCCCATCGTTCTGACAGTTCTTCTGTCAACACTGCGCCCGTCATGGAAGCCCTACTACACCAGTCCAAGGGCGTCTGTCCTTTCTTGAAGAAAACCTCGCCTGCGACTCTCCGCTCTCTCTCCACCTCGAGCCGCCAGTCGCCAGGTGGTGGCACCATCACCAACCTGCAATTCATTGCTCGACGATGCCCTGTCATGAACAAGGCTCTGGCGGTCCAGAGTGCTCGTCTTGGTCAACGCAACTATGGCAAGGTCGCCACCGGCACTGGTGTCGTCAAGTCGTTGTTGGAGAAGAAATTGCACACCTCGGCTGAGAAAAAGGCCAGTGTTGACACCAACATGATCCGTCCGGCTCAGCACGGTATGAACTTTCCAGCTGCCTCCTGTCTCCTGTCTCCTGATGCTAATAATCTTTCAGCACCTCCCCCACAAAAGGCGCAATCGTTCGTCAAGAAGCCAGACACCTACGCCGGCCCCAGGCCCAATGCCCCACCAGCTCCGCGCTTCGACTATGATGCTTTCTACAACCATGAACTCGAGAAGAAGCACAAGGACAAGTCGTATCGCTACTTCAACAACATCAATCGCCTTGCGAAGGAATTCCCACGAGCCCACATGGCCGGCCCGGAAGAGCGGGTGACGGTCTGGTGCTCCAATGACTACCTCGGTATGGGTCGCAACAAGCATGTCCTGAAGACCATGCACGAAACTCTGGACATGTATGGAGCTGGTGCCGGAGGAACTAGAAACATTTCCGGCCACAATCAGCATGCTGTGGCCCTGGAAAAGACATTGGCCGATCTTCATGGCAAGGACGGAGCTCTGGTCTTCTCGTCCTGCTACGTCGCCAACGACGCTACGTTGGCGACCCTGGGCAGCAAATTGCCCGACTGTGTCATCCTCAGTGATAGCATGAACCATGCATCAATGATCCAAGGTATTCGTCACTCGGGTGCCAAAAAGATGGTCTTTAAACATAATGACCTCGTCGACCTTGAAGCCAAACTGGCTACTCTCCCACCCGAACAACCCAAAATCATCGCCTTTGAATCTGTCTACAGCATGTGCGGCTCAGTCGCACCTATCGAGGCCATCTGTGACTTGGCCGACAAGTACGGCGCTATTACCTTCTTGGATGAAGTCCATGCTGTTGGCATGTACGGGCCGAGAGGTGCTGGTGTGGCCGAGCACCTTGACTATGAAGTCTACGCAAACCCTACCCGAACCAAGGAATCTCAGAAGGGCAGTGTCATGGACAGAATCGACATTATCACTGGTACACTGGGTAAAGCGTATGGTTGTGTTGGTGGCTACATCGCTGGCTCCGCTGCTCTCGTTGATGCTATCCGATCCCTTGCACCTGGCTTCATCTTCACCACCAGTCTCCCACCTGCAACCATGGCCGGAGCTCGTACAGCGATTGAATATCAGGCAAGGTACCAAGGTGATCGTCGCCTTCAACAATTGCACACCCGAGCATTGAAGGACGAGTTGACCGGCCGTGGAATTCCTGTCATTCCCAACCCTTCGCACATTGTTCCTGTCCTGGTCGGTGACGCAGAAACTGCCAAGCAAGCTTCTGACATGCTCCTGTCTGACTACGGCATCTACGTCCAATCAATCAACTACCCGACCGTCCCTCGTGGCGAGGAGAGACTCCGTATCACTCCTACCCCAGGCCACACTGACGGCCTCCGGGCTGAACTCGTCGATGCGCTGGAGAACGTCTGGGAGCGCCTCAACATCAAGCGTGTCGCGGATTGGGAAGCTCAAGGAGGCTTTGTCGGTGTGGGTGTCAAGGACGCCGAGCCCGTTCAGCCTCTCTGGACCGATACCCAGCTCGCGCATGCGGCCCAAGTCGCTGAACCCGAGGTTGCCGACGAAGCGACCGAGGAGCGCGTCATGCCCATCGCGGCGGCTGCGGCTTGAGCTTTTCTTCCATACCTAGGTGTCCATCGAAAATGTGAGAATGGAAGTCACAAGTGCTCGTCGCACTCAGTCAGCGTATGAGATGGAAAGCCCACTGTAAGGGTGAGCTGCTGGGGAGATGAAAGATTTACATATTCCTTGCCTTTTTGTTTCTTTCTTTTTGAAAACGAAACAAAAGGACAAATGTCCGGCTCGTCAGCCTTTATATATATACCTACGCACACCCACATATATATTTTTCCCCTCGAGGTTTTCTTTCCCGCTTCAGGTCGCGAACTGTTGCGGACAAGACAGCAATGAGAAGACAATATATATCGCCAAGTACAGAAAAACCTTTGTGCATCGGCTATTTATCATTCTACCTATGTTGATTCATTCTTCGCCAGTGTAGTGTAAAGTGTAGAAGAGATCGCTGTGTCTCCAGAGTTTGTTGTCCTACCGGCCGACATTCCACCGTCTACAGTTTGTTTCGTCTGTCTCTCTGTACCTCAGGTACTAGAGGTAGTCATTACAGTTTGACTGGAGTTCCTTTCTTTTTGTCCAGTACCTGACAAAAGGGTCGCGAGATTTTAAAAGTACTCGGTAGTACACTCGGTGACTAGGTATGTTCTTGCATTTTCCGACATGACAACGACAGCGCTGTTTGACCGACGAGAGATTTACACCCGGTTCTGTTTCAACCTCAATCTCTCTACCTCCTCATCTCCTACTTGGTCTTCCTGCACTGATCTTTGGAAACTCGACAGGGAACCTCAACTTGGCGAACCGTGGCTTCTTCACACCACCGGCACCATCCTCGTCCGTCGCCTTCTTGCCCTTGCCCACCTTTTCCCAACCGTACTTGGTGAGTTCGTTGTCCGTCAACGTCTCCATGCGGCACCCCAGCTCGCGGTAGTATTTGCCGACTTCGGCCGGTTGAAGGGCCAGGTCGAGACCAATGTCGCTCGGCTCGGTGACGAGGACGTTGACGTCTGCGCCCGGCGTCCACTTTGGCGGCGGGATGTGCAGGGTCAAGGCGAGTATGGTGGTGGTGAGCAGCGTGCGTGCGTGTGCCGTCGGCAGCGAGTTCGGGAAGAAGGCATGTAGAAGCTTCGAGAGAAAGGCCGAACCCAGGTGCGTGTCGGAAATGGTGGACTCTGGCCACTTCTCCGGTTGTGGGATCGTCCGGCGCGGAGGGAGGCGGGATACGTAGACGTACAGTTCGAGGAGGATGGTGATGTAGTGCAAAAGCTGGAGCGGGAGGAGCGTGTGTTCGTTTTGCTGGTCGATGTGCAAAGCCGTCAAGGGTTTCACCCGGTGAGCCACGTATCGGAACCGCGAGTTGATTTCTTTCGAGGCCGAAATACGGTCGATCCATGGTTGGATGCGCATCTGGGACAGGGTTGTGTGAGCCGGGCCCGGATGCACAAGCACGGACAGAGGGTAGACATCCTTGATCTCGTCCGTGGTGAGGTCGGCGGGCGGGAGAGGTTTGTTAGACCGGTCCGCCGCCGCCGATAACACGGGGGCGTCTTCTTCTTTGATGGACGAGAGGATGGCGGTCGAGAGAGGGTCGTCGTCTTCTGCTCTCGCAAGGAGTCGGTTTTCGGCCATCGACGCCACGGCCTTTCGCGACTTCTTGGTACCGAAGGCTTCGGTCAACGCGGCCCGAGAGGAAGACGCCGGTTGGGAAAGTTGGGCTTCTGCGTCGGACGTGTCTGCGGATTCGTCGGGTGCGGCCTGGCGGACGCTGCTTCGCACGGTCATTTTCTTCGCCGGGATCACGCTCAGTTTGTTACTCGAGGGGTCAAAGACAGCGATGTAGTGCTTGGTGTGTTTGTCGGCGACAGAGGTCGTCTTGCTTTCGGTTGCGAGGTGGTCGATTGTCGGGTGCGACGAGGAGTGAAGGAGGAGCGACGATCGTCCGGAGCCCTTCTTGGAGTAGGCGTCAAAGTTGAGGTCAGAAGGGAGGAATACGCCAGGCGAGTGTGCTATGATCAAGTCAGCCAGTGCGACGGGCTTGGGACACGTAGGTAGACATGGTTGGTGTGAGGTCGTTGTCGACATACCTACGACTGGTTGGGCATCGTCAGCGCCGGAAACATGCTTGACTTTGACCGTGTTGGTCTGGGCCTTTTTGGCTGGCCTCTCTCCATCTTGAGCAGATGCTTTGCGCTTCTTCTCCTTGACGGCCATCCTAGGCTGGTTTTGTGTCTGTATGGCGACTGAAAGGTAGTGATAGGAGATCAAACGATGCGTACAATTTGCAGGTTGTCGTCGAGTTCTCCGACTGCGAATTCGAAAACTTTTTAGTGGAACCCGCCAAAGAGCGTCGAGAGAACCCCACCCCACAAGACGTCACAACAAGACCGTACGATCAAGCTGTCGACGAGAGACCACGAGCCGAACAGCTGGAGCTCGGAGATTCCTACGACGTGAGGCAGTAGTACAGTAACCACGAATTGCTACAAGCGGAAGCACGAGAATGCACAAGCAAGAAGAAAATTGATCAAATCTTTGCTGCATTGACATATGAAGCAGAGTGCAACGCCGACTGGACGACATTGGGAACACTCGCTAGCTATTTCAAAGAACTGATCTTTAAGGGTGAGCCAGAGTCTTCGACATGTTGTGTGTTAATTGCCTGAAGTGTTTCTCCGTTCCGAATCCTCCATTGTCATGTCCGAGACATCATAAGCAATCCATCAGAAAGCTCCATGAGGTTTGACCATCCTCCACTCCTCTTACACAAGCATCCCACACGTGAGATGCCCAAACGGTAAGGCCGTTTCTTCATGAGACCATAGTTCCTCCATAGCGATTGATGACACGCCGCCGAAGTGAACATTGGTCGAGGTTGCGTAGCCGTAAATTACTGTCGAGTCCAGGTACTAGCTCGACAGCGAAGAATCATTGACATTGGTCGAGAGGGAGGGTGTGATGGAGCAGTTGACGCGATTACTTGCTGTGGGAGAGGTCAATTGACTGATCACAAGCTACTACACCAAAGTGGTAGAACATACCTGCGGGCTCTCGTCTTGCGCCTCTTACGCTTAAGGCGACGGACTCGCTTCTTTCTCCATTTCGCTCTCATCTTCGGTCAAATTCGACTGTGGTGGGTTAGCATATGTCCATTGCATTCGACAAGAGCGACCAAAGAAAGTCTTGGGCCTCAAGGCATACGTACAGAATAGTCTCGAGGATGAGTTGCTTGTGAGAGAGATTGGGAAGGAAAGCGTAGAAGCAATTTAGAGGTCGCTATGAACGTCTGTGTCCTTGGCGCCTTGGCATGTTTGTGGGTGACCGAACTCGGAGACCAGTCACGTGGGCGATGCGGTCATAACCCGTCGAGGTTGGAGCGTACTCGTACTCCGTACTTGCTTCCTTAACACCAACACCTCTCTGCCTTCCATGCAATGATGCCACTCTACCTAGATGTACATTGTTAGGAATCCGAATGGTCTCAACTAATTAACTCTGGCTGCTTCATGTGCCGCGATCGCTTGCCAATTGTGATTCTTCCTCATTGAACGTGTTCTCTTCGCGGTGTCATTACTCTGGTCAGTTGTGTTTATCTTCAATCATGGGCTTCTTCCCCTGTTCTGGCGTACATCGTTTGAGCAGCAATTTGTGTTCTTCCTCGAAACCTCAGCTTGCAGGTACACTCGTTCATAAAGATCATACAGGTCAGGTACTTGCTCGTCCGTATCCCTTTCTTCTGTATGTGTGACCGGTATAAGATACTAGCCTTGACAGGAAAGGAAATATTCGCAAATGAAGAAATCATCATCGGCCGTGATAGAAATCGATGCCAGTACATCATTGAAGACCCCTACATCTCGAAACGTCATATCAGAGTTTACACTGTCGTCTACGAGAATGACGATCTCGATGGTACCGAATCTCTCGTCTATGTAGAGGATCTTTCACAAAACGGCACTTATTGGAATGGCTCAACGATTGGTAGAGGGAATGGGGGCTACTTGTTGAGCGACGGAGACGTGTTGAGACTCAGTCGCCTCACAACTTTTACTTTCCACACAGTGGCAAACAGCTCATTCAACCCCAACTTTGACTTTACGCGGGAGAGGGAGATGGAAGTACGGTCCTTTCATTTTGTTCCCGCCTTCACTATTGCTAACAGGAATAGAAATTTCGGAGGGACTATGTCATAACAGACAGATTGCTCGGTGCTGGGACATTTGGCAGAGTCTTCATGGCCATCGAACAGCATGCACGAGCTCAAGTTGCCTGCAAAGTTGTCGAGTTACGAAAGATTGGAAGGGGTCGTTCGAGGTATGGACCCCCTGAGCGTCCGGTGCCCGCGGAAGACGTCGACATTTTGGTTCAACAACAGAAAATCAAGGCTTGGGGCGAGCAGAAACGAGAGAACCATCTCGAGGAGAAGTTAAAGCTGTACTTTCGAGAGATCGAGATATTAGCCTCGATCAGCCACGTTAGTAGGCAAAAACATTGTCTATTGCAAGCTAACTTAGAGGTGCAGCCGAACATCATTGGTGTCGAGAAGGTCTATGTGACACAAAACACAATGTATGGAACTTTATTTAGTATCTCATCTCTTCAAAGCTGACTGCCGACTTATCAAGATACATGATGCAAACCCTTATCACAGCCGGCGACCTATTTTCCTATATCGATTGCAAGAATGGACGACTGCTCGAAGTCGAAGCAGCGGTCATAATACGCCAGATCCTCATTGCTTTGGCCTTTCTGCACAAAAACAATATCGTCCATAGGGACATCAAACCGGAAAACATCCTTATGACGAGCTTAGCTACCGGCAGCCGAGTGGTTCTGACCGACTTTGGAGCAGCCCGACGCATAGCCAATCCACGATCTCGTATGCAGACGGCACTGGGTACCCGCGAATATGCTGCTCCGTATGCTTGACAGCTTCGTAAGGAGATTCTTCGCTAATATCTTGATAGCGAACAGTCACACCAAGAGAATCGACCTGGAAGAGCTGGATACACCAGGGCCGTAGACATGTGGTCTGTCGGTTGCGTTACAGTCGTTCTTCTTACGGGTGGAATGGCTTTCTGCGATCCTGTCACAAATTCGTACTCCGAATCCCTCGCGAGAGAATGTAACCTAGACTCTTTGCAGGAAACCCCAGAATGGCAAAACATCAGAGAACGACCGAAGGACTTCATCAGCAAATTGCTTGTACTCGATGAAGCATCAAGACCGTCGGCTGAAGAAGCCTTGAAGCACCCATGGTTTTCCAATGACCTACATCGAGATGATTTCGAACATCTGTATCAAAGAACGATCAAACATTGGCACCCACGCACACCAAAGTTACCATTGGTCGATTTCAAAGAAGGTGGCGTTTGTTATAAATACATGACAACCTCATCAGACCAGCGCGACTTAAGCAAAAAGTGGCTTTAGAAAAGCCAGAAGCCAGTCGAACCACCGTACAAGCCATTTCCAAGACAGATGCATCTTGCGCTTTGGGCCCAAGGGGATCCCAAAGGCAGATTGAGACAAGAAGTTATTGATGCTGTCGAGAGTTGGGGTATTCGCTCGCCCCGAATCGCCCAAGAGCTTTTGAAGCAATCCTACCAGAAAGAGGCTACGAAGACATCAAGTTACTGGGATCGCCGTGGCCAAGACACAAACACCATGAGAGATAAGAGAGTGAAATTACCCACAAGGACACTCAAGGCACCTGCCCAAGAGCTGCAAAGCGAAATCAAAGTCAAGCCAATGGAAGTTTCTGATGACAAGGCATTTGAAGAACCACTTACCCCAAAGCCTCCAAGAGTACTCAAAAGACGAGCGAGTTCCGCACCCCCAATGGCATGCAATGGGTTTGAGGAGACAAAATACACTAACAGCGCTACGGACGACAGCATGGATCCTAGAGACGATGCAAAGTTCGACAGCTGGGACGGTGCTCAACATGAAGCGTCTTCCATGGCAGCTGGATACGAAGTGTCCTCACGGGCAGGCGACGCAAGTACCAGTTCTTCTATTCATAATTATAGCGACATGCATCGAGGAATAGGTCTCAGACCTCTAAATAATTCAAACCGACTCAGGAGGAGGACTGGAACATTACCCAGCAATCAACGGAAGAAGCAGCAGCATCGGGGGTCTATCTTTGACTTGGTCGAGGACGACGTCAACACTAAGACTCGGCAGGAGAAGATTGCTACATCAATAGACCGACCCAAACCACCAGTCACGAACAATTTCAGCCCACGAAACCTATACCTTCCACGATAAGTAGTTGGAGGTTGACGACAGACAGCAAAATGAGGTCAACCAGAGCCCGGAGCATTAATATGTAGACAGATCTTTTGTTACAGTCATGCTAGCCATGAAATGTTTTGGGACCTGGGCCAGAAGAAGCAAGATAGATGGATTGATCAATATTGTTTGTTGTTTTCAACGTTAACGGCAAAAGTAGAGGGGAAAAAAGAGATAGATGTTGAACGACCGAGGCAATCAGGCCATTTTGTTGGCATCCTGTATGGGCACCTTCACTCCCGTTCCTTCACTCCCATCATCCAGACTCTTTTTGTCCTTTTCTTTTTCGTTAAGGATTGCCGCACCCAGAGGCAAACCTTTATCTTCGGCCTCGACGGCACTCATGACACCGGTTTGGGGGCCGGTGAAGTTTTTCCTCCCGTCAAAGACCCAAGTCACGACGCTGATCAGACCGATGATTCCGAAGGCGGCACTGCAATAGTTCATGTTGTCGGCCGTGACGGGGCCCGCCTGGGGGAAGTTGAAGTCGATGCCGGCAAAGACCAAGAACACCAACCCGACGGCGTTGACCAGGGGGCTCCACTTGCCCAGGGTGTAGGCGCCCGGGATGGTCTTTTCGTGGCCGGTGAAGTAACTCCACAGGCGGACGAAAAGCGGCATGGCGTAACTGACGTAGAAGCCGAAGGTGGCGATGGAGATGACGGTGCTGAAGCCTTCGTAGCTGGCAAAGTAGATGCTGTTGAGTCCCATCTGGATCGCGCAGCACAGGAGGATGCTGTAGACGGGGACCTGGGATTTCCTGTCGACCCTGGCAAAGACGCCGGAGAAGGGCAGGCCGTGGTCGCGCGCGAAGGCCCACAGGGCCCGGGAGCCCTCGGCCATGAGGCTGTTGGCGCAGATCAGGACGATGACGGTGACGAGGCTGGCGAGCGCCGTGGCCCCGCTGGTGCTGCCGGTCGAGTCGTGGAAGATCTGGATCAGGGGTACGCCGGTGCTGGTGTTGGCCGTGGCCTCGAGGTCGCCGATGCAGAAAAAGGCCGAGATCAAAAAGACGAAACCGGTAAAGGCGCCGAGGAAGACGGAGAGGATGATGGCCTGCGGGGCCTCTTTGGCCGGGTTGAGCATTTCTTCGGTCATGCTGAGGATGGATTTGACGTGTTAGTAACCTCGTGTGAACAGCAAGGAAAGGTGATGATGATAAGAGGGGGGGAGGGAAAGGGAGAGGGGTAGTGTAGTAGGTGGTAACTTACTGCGCAGGAGCATCATAACAACACATTCCAAACAAGGTCTGCAAAAGACCAATCATGACGCCCATCCCCGCCGAAGAGAACCCCGTCTGGTTCTGAAAGTCCTTGAACACGAAGCTGGCGGATTGTTTGTGGTCGTTGCAGGCCAGGATGGTGATGATGACGACGAAAAAGGACACGACGTTCCAGATGACGGCGAAGGTGGAGATTTGGTTCAGGTAGCGAGACAGGAAGATGTTGACGGTCGCGGCGGTCAGAGCCATGAGGTAAGTCACGAGGACGCAGTGCCACCTTTGGATCTCGTAGTCGGGGTAATTGAGGTTCGCCATCCCCAGGAGAAAGTTGGATCCGATCTGTAGTATTACGAGGGCCCAGTGTCAGCGGGAGTAAGCACAGTTTGAAAAAGGAGACCAGAGAGAGAGAGAGAAGACTGACAAAGTTATTGACCGCTCCCATGGCGACGATACCGGTACACATGAACCATCCCGTCACCCACGCTGCTCCTCGAGCGTACTTGGGAGGGGCCAGGATGGCCACCCAACTGTATTGTCCACCTGCCGTGGGGTATGCCTGTGTATGGTTGTGGTTGTGTCAGCGGCGATTCTATTCCTCATAGAGTACGAAACAGATATGACGCTGGAGAAGTCATGGGCAAGATAAGAAGGGTACTCACTGAACACATTTCTGCAAAGGAGTACGCCACCGTCAAAGACAACAGACATATACCCAGCCACGACCACACCATGACCGGAGGACCACCGGACACGATACCGAGGATCAAAGTTCCGCCCAGGGCGGTCCAGCACGTCACGATGGAAAAGCTGAAGCCCACCATTCCGAGTAGAGAAAAGGATCGTTTGAGCTCTGTGTAGGAAGGGCAAAAAAAATGTCAGTGTGATGGTTTGAAGACGGTCAAAGTGGGCAGACAAGGATGGGGGAAGAAAATCTTTGGGTCGAATTTGGTGTTAAGAATTCGAGGGAAGTTCATTTCATACCTTGTTCATAACCAAGTTTGGCGAGTTGAGCTTCATTTCCCAGGTTCGGGTCAAAAACTTGACTTTCTTTCCCACCATGGACGATGGACGACAATCGGCGCGCGGCCATGTTGTTGGTTGGTTGGTTGTTTGGTAGGTAGGGTATCGAGTCGACGTCCAATCGAGTAGAAGAATTACAAGTGGTTGGCCCGAGAGACTGTTGAAGTGATCACAAGGCGGAGGAGGAGGAGGAGGAGGAGGAGGAGGAGGAAGAGGAGGAAGAGGAGGAAGGGCGTGTCGCCAGGTCGGAGGGGAAGAATGGGGGAAAGGTAGAAGTTAGAAGTCGAAGGAAAGGATGACACAGACAGTTAGATAGTAAATAGTTGGTATTCACCAAAAAAAAAGAGGAAATGTACACACTCTCAAAATAGTTTGTGAACAGGGAACTCGGTTGGATTAAATACTTACAGTGTACGGAGTATATACATACATATTATATATGTATATACCGAGTACAAACCTTCTTGGTGACCCGTAACGAGAGACGGAATCAAAAGGGCGAGATCCTATTGGAATCTCTTATCTTTGGGACAAGGGCGAGGAAGGACGATGGTGACGACGATGTCGGGCCATGTGCGAAGTGGAAACGATGAATGCGAGTGGGTTTGACCGCTCAACTGCACCTCTTTACTCCGTGTACTCCGTTACGAGGTACAAGAGATTCGTTATCGGTGATTCACGATTTGATGGGAGCGGAGTAAGTTTGGGTGGCGTAGGCAAGTCACCGTCCGTCCCTTTCGTAGCGGTTGCTGCCATCCATCGCTTGGGTTGTTTGGGGATGAAATTTCAGTCCACGGAGGGTACGGAGTAGTAGGGTAGTAAAAAGGAGATGAGCGACATACAAGAGTTCGAAAAAAAGGAAGACGAAGGAGTAGAGCGTCTTCGACCATCTCTTTTCTTTTATGGAGAATCAATAAAGGCTCAAGACGGGATGGCTGGACGGTGCCATGGGTCTCCTTTCTTTTTTTAAAGGTCTCAAGACGTTGATCTTCCACGCCGTCGATGCTTGTTACTTTTCTGGAGTGTCCAATCAACCCAATTCACCAGGAAATGATCTCTCTCTGTCTCTCTCGTCTGGTATTGAGAGCATGATGATGATGATGATGATGACGACGAGTCCGTCTGTTGGAGGACAGGAGTTTCTTCTCATGCATGTGTCTCATCAACACCGCCCAGTGCAAGGCTGGAGGTCTTCACACCAAGCAACAACGTCTCATTTCACATCCGCTGTATCTAGTTGATGTGGATTGCTGTGGATTTCGACCGAGACCCACGGACCTGGGAACCCAGAACGGAGATTCCCACTCCTTACATATTAGACTTATCAGTGTGGAAGACTCATACTGTACCTTGGTGGTTATCAATCTATTCATCTCCTTTTAGACATGATTTTATTAATTTCAATCGTCGTCGGGTTCTGTTACTCGTAGTTGTACATCTAGACGACAACCTCTTCTCGAGTCATGAGCTAATCAAAGATTCCATTACCACTCACAACCTTATAAAAGTGTGTAGAGAGAGAGAGAGAGAGAGAGAACCTTTACTTCCTTTGTAATAATCCAGATATCAATACTCTGTATCGTAACCTCCATCAAAGACATTTTCCTCCCTTTTAATATCCAATCATTTCACTGACTCACACCATATACCACATCACACACATACACACACAAACACACACAAACATAACCTCACAGAGTTACCTTAAAGGTAGGTAATCAAACATAGCTATATCCTGCCTCTCTCACTTCCTGCCGGCGGTGGCCATCTCATACCTCTCCCCGTACGCGTCCACCCACGCCTGGACCACGTCGCCCGCCGGGCCGGGCGCGATCATCTCCCTGCCCTCCCTCCAGCCGGTTTCCACCTCGTCCATGAACTCGTCCACGCTCATGGCCCTCTTGTTCTTGGCCCTGGTGTTGTCCCCGGGGTCGGTTCGTTCGCGGTGCAGGTCGGTCGTCACCGTCGGCGGGGCGATCTCCACGACCCTCAACCACCTCCCCCTCCGGCTGCCCCGGTACTGCGTCCTCAGGTTCATGGTGAAGAAGTGGACCCACGCCTTGGTCCCGTTGTACACCGGGTTGATGACGCTGCTGGGCAGGAAACCCAGCACGCTCGACACGTTCATGATGACCCCGCCGTCCCGCCGGTCCAGCAGGTGAGGCAGGAACCTCAGCGTCAGGTGCATCACCCCGCGGATGTTGGTGTCGATCTCCTGGTCGGCCTTTTCCAGGTCGAACCCGTACTCCTGCGCGCCGTCCTCCCCGACCCCGGGGAACTGGAACGGCCGCTGCACGCCCGCGTTGTTCACCAAACAATTGACCTCGGGGTGCGCCGCGAGGATGCGCTCCGAAATGTCCACGACCGCGTCCGAGTTGCCCGTGTCGAGCACGTAGTACGCCGTCGCACCGATCTCCGACGCCGTCCTCTCGAGTTTGGACTCGGTGCGGCCGACGATGATGACGCCCTTGCCGTGCCGGAGCAGCCGTTCCGCCATGGCCCGACCGATCCCACCGGCGCCGCCCGTGATGACGGCCGTGTCGATGAGGTCCAGTGTCGATTGACTCACGGTTCGTGTATGTGACATTTTGGGATCCCGATTCTGATGTTTGATTTTTTGACCTTTGATTTCTTTCGTCTCGTGGTCCCTATTCCGTATGAGTTGCTTGACTCCCGCACGCAAAGTCGTTCCAGGCGATATGTACGAGTCGACTGATTGTCACCTAAATAGCTGATTTACTTGTTCCTCGTATTTGTTTCCTCAGTGACAAAGACACAGCACACATATGGCTCAAAAATCAGATCCAAGACGGGCCGTGGGATGCGGGCAGGCAAAGCCTCTCAATTACACCCTCATGCCAATCACGAGAAACGAGAAACAAAAATCAAGACAATACAATGCAAAACGTGGTGTTGAGAGATCATAAGACAGGCTGGATGCCCAATCCGGAGATATCAGGTGACACTTTTGACTGTATATGTAGCTGATGACGTAATCGCCTCCATTCCTCAAGTCACCCAACGAGAGGATCACAAGTTGGACTTTACTCCGTACACACCATTCAGTATAGAGTACATCAAGAATTGATCCACCTGTATCTAAGAAAAAGGTTGAATGATGTATTGGACGCGCGTCTGTCTATTACTTCAATCCTCCGAGGATCAAAGTCTTCTTTTGTACATCAAAACAAAAACCACTCATCAAATCACAATCACAACATTTGATACCAGCCTCGATACTGCCAGCCAACCGTCCCTGTTCTCCCTAATGCAATGCCTCAATGCTTTTTTTGTGTTCTGAGGAGGGCAATAAAAGACATCGTCGAAGCCAATAACCCATAATGATACACAAGCAAAAAAAAAATAAAAGTTGCCAATCGACCCACTCACTATCCTCAGTGGACTCATCCCATGGAGATTAAACCACATGTTCGTTTGTTCGAAGTCATTCCTTCAGACAGCTGGACTGAGATTCTTCGCTGTCTTCCATCACATACCACCGCCCATGCCCAAATCACCTTCAGCATCGATAATAGCCAGACGTTGTTTGGCCGTTTTGGCCTTCTTGCTGATTCCTTTTCCACCTCGAGATCCTAAACCCTTCTTGGGTCCTGGCGTCTCAGCACTGCTGACTGGCGTAGCTGCCCCCGAGGGCTTGGCTGAAGCATCATCAAAATGTCCTTCACCTGTGAAATAGTCAGTGGATGATTCATGGGGACCAGAACCATATGCAAACTCACCTTCGTGATACATATCATCGAGACTCATCTCGGCCTTACGTCTGCGGGCGGCAGCAGCGGCCTGAGCCTTCTTGCTCTTCTTCTTAGTGTCCTCTTCTGGTTTCTCGGCATTTTCTTTCTCCTTTTGTTCGATAAGGGCAGCCTGGTCGTCGTCGGCGAGCCACATGGCAATATCCTTGGTTCTGTTCTCACGGCGATCGCGGGTATTGAAGTCAACGCCTGCACCATCACCACCAGTGATGACGACACGTTGGACTTCTTCCTTCTGCATGGCGCGTTTACGAATACGCTCTTCGATCGTGCCGCGCGTGATGAGACGATATACCGTGACCTGCTTGGTTTGACCCAGTCGGTGGGCTCGATCCATGGCTTGTGAGTCAATGGTGGGATTCCAGTCAGAGTCGTAGAAGATAACGGTATCAGCAGAGGTCAAGTTGATACCTAAGCCACCAGCACGAGTAGACAGCAGGAAGATGAAGATTTCCGGTCTGGTCTGGAAATCATGTACCGTGTCGCGACGATCCTCCAATTTCGTGCTACCATCCAGTCGACAATATTTGTAGTTCCGGTAGGTAAGGTATTCTTCCATTAGATCAATCATGCGCGTCATCTGGAAGTAAAGCAGCACACGATGACCACCATTCTTGAGCTCGCGAAGCAGTGCATCCAGCTTGGCGAGTTTGCCAGAGTCCGTGACGAACCGACGCATGGATGGAATCGAAATGTGAGTGTATCGGCCCTTCTGTGATTGTGGTTTCGGCATCATGCCCGATAGTGGGAAATTCTCGGGAGCCACATCTTGCTGAAGCAACCTGGCTTCCACGTTCTCTTCCAATGGGTACAAAGTGCTTCTCACACCCATGTTGAACATGGTCAACTGTCGTTCAGAGATGGAAGATTGATCGAAAGCGCTGACCTCAATCGGTGGAGCCAATGCTGCAGGAATTGCAGCCGGCTCCAAAACAGAGTAGCCATCATCTTCCAATGACCGTCTCGAGATGTTGCACAGCTGCGCAAGATTGGAATTGGGATCGAGCTCTGCAAGTGGCTGCCGAGGGCTGTTCTCCATGATATTCAACATCGCGTGCGGAGGTGGCTGTGTTTCTTGATCATCAAAGATGGGTAGCGCACGCTTGGATTTCTTCTCAAGTCTGAGAGCACGCTCAAGAACACCGTGATCTGCCGCATGGACTGCCTCACTGGGAGACGTATCCACGAAACGTAGAAACGAGAAAGCCCCATCATTTTCTGCAGACTTCTTCATGTACTCTGGAGTCCATATCCTCATGAGACCACCGACACCATTAGTCTTGAACCCAGCCCGACAGAACCCGGCCCGAGCGTTGTCAGGTCCTGCAATGTCTAGTCTGCCGACATCATTGCATAGAACCCGTGGCAGGTCGTACTGGATCGGATTTCGCACGGAATAGGCGAGCTGGACAAAGAAGCCTTCTCGAAGGAAGGATGCAGTCTCGGCAAAGGTGGACATGGAGTATGGAGATGTCGTGTCCGCTCGTTCGAACAGATCGGGATGATTACAGACTTTCCGGAACTGCATCACCAAGTTCATCAAAGTCGCAGTATCTTGATCATCTCCAAGTGTTGCTTTCTCAATAAGATCCATGATGCTGATCTTGCTTCGAAGATTGGCGTAGTATGCTCGTTGTCTGTATGTGAGCTCACAGAAGACGTCCTTCTCGACCTTGTCACCAAGTTCTTTCTGGACGTGAGCCTTGACACGACGCAACATGAATGGCTTGAGAATCATGTGGAGTCGCTTCAGCTGATCTTGATTGAGTTTGGTGTTACTCTGCGCATGGCTTTCTATGTCTTTAGAAAACCAATCGCTGAATTCGTCATGAGAATCGAAAAGTGTTGGCATGATGAAATGGAGCAACGCCCATAGTTCCTGCATATTGTTTTGGATAGGAGTACCGGTTAGAAGCAGACGGTTTCGACACTGGAATCCAAGCAAAGTCTTCCAACGCGAACTGCTAGAGGATTTGATGGCCTGGGCCTCGTCGAGGATCATGTACTGCCATCGGATCTTCTGGAAGTACTGAGCATCTTGAACGACGAGCTGGTAGGAGGTTACCAGAACATGAAATTCGGAGTCTTTCGTGTAGGTGACGTGCTTCCGGTCCCAGAACTTTCGCAGAACCTTTCGATCCTTTGCATTGCCCCAGTACGGTAGAACCTTGATGGCTGGCACGAATCTTGTGATTTCCTGCTGCCAATTGTGCAGAGTCGAAGCAGGGGCAATCACGAGGAAAGGGCCCCAAACATTGTGTTGCTCTGCCAGGTAGCCCATGACCGAGATAGACTGTACTGTCTTGCCGAGACCCATTTCGTCTGCAAGAATGCCGTTGATACCCTGCTCGTAAAGGTTGACCAACCAGTTCAGACCCTTCAACTGGTATTCTTTGAGCTGAGCCTGCAGCATCTTCGGCTGAGAGACCTGGACGTCTCCTGCCATGGTAGGGTTCGTGAAGTTCATGTCGCTAGAATCGAAAGCAGCCATGGGATCATCTCCATTGAAGTTCCGGGCTTTATCTTGAGCATCTTGTAGAGCGCTGGCAGCATTTGCCATTGCGGCTCTCTTGAGATTCGACTCGTCCTCAGCATCGAAATCAAGGTCCTCAAAATTGGTCATCTTGTGGTTGCCATGTTCGTGCGACAGGGCCATATCATCCATGGTGCGATTCTCCTTCGCATCAGAGGTACCCGCTTTCTCTCCCGAGCCGGAGATACTAGGATCATTGGTAGACGATTCAATCTCGTCCGTCTTGATCTTGCGCGAAATGAAATGCGAATAGATCTCGGTCTGCGAGATAAGGAAGTTGAGCTTCCGTTTCTGTCGATTCGCTTCGCGGTCTGCTTCGGCCTTCTTTGCATCTTCGATCTCTTTTCTCTCGGCCATCCGTCGAAGGTCACGCTCTTCTCGTTCGTTACGCTTCCAGAAGGACATCATCTCACGCATAACGCGTTTGGCTCGAGCTTGAGTGTCCTTCATGCTCTTGTTGGTACGCTCTTGCCATTTACGTGCCTGCTTGCTCGCCAGAATCGCGGTCTTGCGCATATTTTCTTGTTTGGTACCAAGCGACACCTGCTTGAGACGGTATACCTTGGGAATGTCTTTTCTGGCAAGGTCACGCCATATCTGCTCGTAGATTTGATTGTAACCCTTGGAGTCGTAGTTGATACCTTGCTGTGCGGCGGCGGCAGCAGCGGCAGCCTCTTCTTCTTCTTCCTTCTCCTTCTCCTTCTGCTTCTCTTTCTCCTTCTCCTTTTCTTTCTCCTTCTTTTTCTTTTCTTTGTCCTTGTCTTTGGACTTCTTGCCTTTTGTGGGAGCAACAGGAGTGTCGTCCTTAGGAGCAACGGCCACATCTTTATCGGTATCTTGCTGCATGGCAAGATATGCCGCCTCTGCGGCATCCTTCTCGGCTTGCTTCTTCTCCTTGGATTTCTTAAGTCGCGCAGACGGGGCCCCTGGCTCCTTCTTGGCTCTCTTTTTGGGAGGAGCTTCGCTAGGCTCCGGAGAACCGATCTGGAACGAGGACGTAACACCACCTTCATAATTGGGAGCAGGTGCTGAGACCTCGAGGTCTTCCGGTGGAGGTCCACCTTCGAGGAGTTCAGCAGTCTGTCGGATCCGAGCCTGCGATCTCTCAACTTGTTTAAGGTATTTCTGTGCTTCTTCTTGGTCTTCTGCATTTCGAGCGCGTTCTTCAAGTTCCTCAAGTTTCTCTCTCTCGTTTCGGATCTGTTGCTCGCGACGTCGCTTTCTTTGCATATCCTTCTTGCGTTCCTTTTCGGTGGCGATGTCTTTGTCTGCGATCTCTTTGGCAGCGATAGGTTCGACCTGTGCACGGAAACGTTGAGCGGCATCGATGGCATGGGACTCAAAAGTTTTGATGAATGAATCGACGAGGTAATCTCGCCGACGCTGTCAAGTCCAGGTTAGCGAATGGATCGCACTTTTTCACATTAACGTTTGACTTACCTTTCGCTTTCGTAACTCTGCCTCGCTGATTTCTGCCGCACGTTTCTTGCCTCGCTGTTTGTAGCGCTCTTTGAGCTCGTAGAATTCTACTTCATCTGCATCACTCATCGGTCCTTCATCAATCATGTTCATGGCTTTCAAGATCTTGTCGGCTTCGATCTCGGTCAAGGCCTTTCGTGGCTTGGAAGGCGCGACACGTTTTTTGGACACCGCTAATGGTTCTGGCTTTCTCTTTTCTCTAACGTCACCATTTGTCAGTGTCTTTGGGGTTTCCACCTCTTGCTGTTTGATGGCCAACGGCTTCTCAGGAGTGTGTTTTGTCGGTGTTGCAGGCCTCGGCGGTGGCGTTGATGGCCGTGGAGGTATCGTCTCAACAGGCTTCGGAGGTGGCTCATTGTTCGATGGTCCCAATATGCTAGCAAAAGACATCGGGTTGCTGGCTCGATCAGGCTTCTGCGGTCATTAGGTTAGTAAATTTTCGTGTTGCTTGAGCCAAATCAAACTTACGTCTTTCGACTGAGGACGCGACTCAGCGGAATAGTTCTCGGCGAATCTACCATTGCTCAGGCTCTGAGGTTCTCGCAAAGGTGATTGCTGCAAAGCCGAACCCGGAGGGTGACCGTGTGGAGGTGCATCAAATGGCGAGGCCATGCCAGGAGGCGGAGGTATAAGGCGGCCCGAGTATGTCCTCTGTAGGGGATACGGGGGACTTGAGGTCAAACCTTGCGGATATTGAGGAGGACCGTTGCCGACTGGGACGGGCGGAGGTGGAAGTCCATTCGGCGCAGGCAAGGGTGATGCTAATGCTGGTGGGCGACCATGATGCTGACTTTGCGCAAGAGATGCAGGTTGAAATGGTGGAGGAGTTTGCAAAAGGTGTTGTGGTGGAGGTATTTGAAAAGGTTCATGGCCAAAGAAAGGGCGATTTGGGTGAGTTGGTGAGTATGGTGGATACTGGTTCGACTGCGTTGGCGAACGAGCCGTGAATGGCGTCGATCCAGACATTGTCGCGATGAATCTGAGGTGAAATTCTCACGACTCTGTCTTCGGCCGCAGCCTGGTGTGATTTTTCAGTACGTATTTGAGTACCTCAGGCGTACAGTCTTTATCTATTGGCCTTTTCCGAAGTCTCCATTGCCCGGTCGAAACGTGTCAAGTAGTTTTCCAATACAGCGCACCCGACGGCGACGGTCGTGGTGGGTTGTGTCTGTTTGTGATTTTGAGGCTTTCAATTTCGTGTCTTCGCGCTCCCGCAAAAGCCGGGCGGGTTAACGGGTGAAGTCGTGTCACAGAATCTCAATCGTTCAAGGGGTTTGCGACATTATTTGACGAGGGCAACGATGTCGTGTTGTCGCGCAACAGTGGTAGAGGGGATGATGGTGTCGGGATGGGTCGATGATGAGAAAAGTCAGAGGTGGATGAAAGGGAGTGGTGGTGATGTAGGTAAAAATGGAATCATCGTTGGTCACCGAAGGGTGCAATCACAAAGCCCAAGCTTGTCTGCCGCAGACTGCTGCAATCATCTTCACAAAAGCGAGGCAGTGGAAGTGTCACGTGATTCGTTCCATTTCTATACAACTTTTCTACAGACGCGTATCTGGTGTTGGTGGAAGAGGCGGCGAGAGGGTGCCCGTTGACAAGATTTTCTTCAATTCCTTCAATGCGTAGTCCTTCACTCTTGCTTGTTTCATGGTGAGCCCGGTGTGAACAAAATCCCATGACCGGATTGAAGCGAAGCGTGACAGACAGGAAAAAGCCTCCACCATGGCCTCTTTCTGACTGTCATTGCCCTGCACCGCGCCCGCAAGTAAGTCAAATCGGCAGCACCTTTGTCTTTAGCCCCGCCAAGCATGCGCCATACCAAATTGGTCTAACCACCACTTCGAGAACTTGAGTTGTTACTTGTAGTCCGTACTGCGAGACTCTCAGCTACGCGTAAAGAGAGTCCCTGCAATAACTTCCGAGTGTCCCTTAAAGCTGTCGTATCAGCCCGAACAGTTACATTCCCCATTGCATTGTCATCTTTTGATACCCGTACAATAGCCACACCTGCAAAATACATAATTCCATACGGAGAATCTCTGTGACATCTCAACTTGGGCCTACAGTCCCCATGGCGCCCAAGAACAAAGACTCTGGCAAGGGTGGAAGTAAAGGCAAGGGAAAAGAAGATGCATCAGGTGGTGCAGGCGGCAAACTGAAATCTGCGCAGTCAATCAACGTGAGGCATATTCTAGTGGGTCTCCCTTGTTCGAAACAAGATGATGAAATTTATTCCCATCTACTACTTCTACTCGTATAAGATCTCTCTAATGTGCATGTATCTTCTAGTGTGAGAAACACTCCAAGAAAGAAGAAGCACTGGCGAAACTTCGAGCGGGTGCAAAATTCGATGACGTGGCGAGGGAATTTTCAGAAGACAAAGCTCGACAAGGTAGGGAGGCTATCTCATCGCCTCACCGGCCCCCGGTAAAGCCGCCCCCAAAGGCTGACTTGCATCTCTTATCCGAGACCAGGTGGTGCTTTAGGCTGGAAACCTCGCGGCAGGTGAGTTGGTTTCCATTGCTGATCCTTGACATCGTGATGTTGACTGGATCAGTTTACATGGTGATTTCGAAAAGGTCGCTTACGAGCTTGAGCCCAGCACCACAGCCAATCCAAAGTGTAAGTTCCTTATCATTGTCCCGTACAAAAGAATGTCCGTTGTGGGATATCTACCAGTGTACAAAGAAAAAGCCTGGTTTTTGCCAAAAAGGAGCGGCCCAACACATTTACTCTCTGGGAAGATAACAAGAAATCCGTCGTCCTGTTCGCCGTCCAAACACTTAAAACGACCGTTACCTGGCGTCACTAATTTATCGCTCGGACAGTTGCCGAGGTGAAAACTAGCCATGGCTATCATATCATAATGGTAGAGGGCAGAAAGTAGACCAAAACATGAGTAAGCCGGACATCAGTGAATGAGTGGACTGGCCATGCTCACATCGGCCAACACATCCAAGGCGATATGATCGAGATGATGCTTTCTCTTTCGGGGAGATGTGTTGACAGGCAACACCATGACATCAATCAGAGGGATCTTCTTTGCTGTGTTGTCCGGCGGAAGGAGCACAGGCCTGATGAGCTCGGGGTTAGACTCTGCATAACCGGGTGGACTAGGTCGATCTTGTGGAGGTGTGATCCGAGCAGCAACATGATGCTGAAAAACAGTCTGTGTTGGATCCGAGACTGTCTTTTGATGCAGTCTTTCAGCAAGATCAAGGTTCAAGAAGCCGCTTGATCTTGGTTCATCGTTTGGCGGTGACAGACGTCCATTGATATTAAAGGGTGCAGATCGTGGTATTTCCACGAGATTGAGAATTCCACTGGAACGAGGTTCTTCTGCTTCAGTAGAGCCCGATGTAGCACCACTAGGTGACAAGGCGCGTGAAGAAGGGGTGTGGACGGATCGTTCATCGATGCCAGATGAGACTCGTCTGGTTGCAATAGTATCAGGCGAAGCATGTTCACTTGCTGCTGGGGATTGTTCTTCTGGACCACTGATGCGAGCCACTCGTCTTCTCTTTGATCGGAGACCTTCTAATTCCTCCACGCGTTTCGCAATCGACAAGGTAGCATCGTCGATGGCGACAACACGACCTTGAAGTCGGACTTGTTCGTCGTAAGTACCTTCCACTCGGTCCTCGAGGTCAGCTGTCTTTCTGCGCATCTCCTTCTCGCTTTGATAGAAGGGCGCCAGTGCCTCACGCAAGATACGAATTTCCCTTTCCCACATCTGGCGTTCCCTCGTCAACGCATTCTCCCGGTTTGTTCGTTCATTCTGGATGGTTTCCTCCAAGCGTCTGACTTTTTCTCCAAATTTTTCAAGGATAGCATAAGTTTCCGTGGCGTGTCTTTCGTGGACATGATAGCAGGCTTGATGACCGCATTCACATATATTTCCAGGGGCGTTTCGATTGTGATGAAAGGATTGACAAGAGCATGGTTGGTTCTGAGCCGATGGGTGGAGCAAGATGTATCGGCACCCGCCAGTTGGTAGCGGGCGGACGGACTCAGACGTCAACCGGAGAGGGCGATGCTCGTGGGCGAGAGGTGGAGGAAGCGGCGACGCGTTTGAGCCAAACATCGAGGCCGTGATAGAAAGTGTGTTGTTGGTGTTGTACTCCGTAGTATTTCGACAAAGGAACTTTCCTCACACCGAAATGTATATTCTTCTGTCAGCGATCATGTATGTATCCGCAGGGAGCGGCCAAGTAGGGAATGTACTCCCCTCCCTCTGTGGGAGGGTGATGGCAACCGTTTCAGTATTTCCTTTGTCCACGAAAAATAGTATGCTCGAGGCTGTATTTCAGCTGTACGCACGGGCACATGTCAGAAATTCGTTATCGCGAGCAAGACAAGATGCGGTGAGAGCACCAAAGAAGGCGAGGACATACGCAATTTGGTTGGGACAAAGTACTACCACGGTGCAAAGCTCTTTCTCAAAGAACTCCAGCTGAACGTGTACCACAAGTAGGTGCTCATTGTAGGCAATTGACGGACAGCAAGGGAGATGGAAGGGAAGGCGAAAGCCTCGAGGAAGATTGCAGAATCCCTCTGCAGATGACACGGCGATTAGGGAGTGCGTGTATTTTATCAGTGATGGCGTGTTGGTTGGTGATGGACAGGTAAATCAAGTCGTTATCTTGGGGAAGATACGGATATGTGGTCGGCTCAATAAAGAGGGACGGCGAGCAGCAGCGCCGGCAGGTCAGAGAGTCACAGGAGACATGTGCCTGCGAGATCAACGGCAAATGGACCTCGATACGGAGCGCGAGGCCGAATCAAAAGGAATAGGACAATCGGGGGAAGGGGGATTGCATGTAGAAGTGACATGGATCGGGATCAATTTAGGCAGCGTTAGTTTCCAACGATGCCCGAACCCATTCTGAAAGCTGGTGGGCACAGGCTGGGAGGATTGATAAGAAGAACTGGGGCGTCTGCTAGGCGGTTGGATGAGCACAGGAGGCTGTCTGTCTGCGGAACGGAAGAACGTGGGATCCCGCCGAAATGGTTGGAGTCCTGGAGCTACGAGGAGGCGTACGTACGGGGAGTATGGGTATCAATCACCACTGTCCACCCCACTGATCGGTGATGCCATGGGTTCTTTGTGTGTCTACTATACTCCGTACGAGTACAGTAGTGGTAGCTCTATGCAAGGTGAGCACCAAGCGCCAGGAATTCTTTCTCTCTGGGAGTACTCCTCCATCTCTCGCTTTCATGTACAGTAGTCGGCCGAAGGCAAGATACGAGTACAAGAATCCACACAAAAACATCCGAACCGGGGTAGGAGGGCCCGTCAGGGGGGTGGAAGAATAACAGCACGTCCCAGCAATCACCCTACATCCCAAGTGGGCAATTCGCAGCAGTACCATCCCTCAGGGAAACAATCCTAAGAGAAGCGACTAATGAAAACCAACGCAGGAAGCACGGAACAACGCCTTCTGCCGCCCAGCCTCAAATTGTGCCAGCACCATCATCTTCATCATCCTCACATTCCGTCGTCAATCACTTCATACGCGTGCCATTCTCAGTGCCGGATGGAGTCGTTAATTGGCCGTTGCGGCTACGTTATCAAGGTAACACACAAAAACGATAACATCATCCCCCCGGAAGGTGTACGAATACAGTACGGTAGGGAGAAATAACAGGGAATCCATCGAGTTCGGAGGGATCACCGCGCACGAGTGTATCACCAACCCGGTATCTATCACTTCCCGGAATCCTTCCCTGATCAACCTTGCAACCTTCTGTCGTACACATCTTTGCTTTTTTCTTTTCGACCGTGCCTAGGGGAGCTGACCCCTGTCTGCGCGCGTACATTAGGAGACACCGGCCTAGAACTTGCAGCACCAGCCATGGGGGGATTTTGGTTGTGTGCGCGACGAGTCCCCACGGCATCCACCATCGCCACCACCCACCACCACGGTGCGCCTACTGCCGTGTCTATAGGCTACCACGGCATATTCCACCATGGCCCCCCCGACAATGACCTCAATTGCTGGATCGGTCATAGGCCAGTCACCCATGTGTCAAATGTTGGGCTATGGGACGGCACGAACGGTCGGGTGACTTTTTTTTCCCCTCCCACTGATCTGGGCAGACCAGGACCCAGGGAGAATAACGATGCCCTTTGCCTTGCATCTCGTTGTGCTTTGTGACATTACGGAATAGAGTGGGATCTCTGTCATCCCAAAGACCCTGACCGTGACACCACCCCTTCAAACTACCGTATTTGTCATGTCGCAGTCAACAGGCACTCTCACTCGCCAGCGTGGTTTCAACAACTCGTGATGGAAACGAACTCCCTCTTTCCCTTCCTCCCACACACTATCTCCAATTCCAAGTATGCTTCATGTTGCCAATGAGACTACCCAAGGTAGGTGGTTACTCATACATGTAGGTCCGGAGTTCACGTGCACCTATGCCCATATTCTTTACTCTCCCTGCACCTGCGCCTTGCCTAGAGACAAGTATTTGTTGAGGCCGACTCAGTCTGTTTTCGGCGCCCGGAACATTGCTAGCATAATCATAAGCCTACCCCCAACTTGATGAAATTTAAGCCTAATGGTTTACTCGAAGGATGTTTAGCAAGAAAATCAATCCTTATGAAACCGACAAAGTGATCAAGTACAAATAATCACATCCTACAGTCGTGCCCTCTTGCTGCCGCTTGCGTTTCCAAGGGATACTATCGTACCTCTTATTTATATGAAGTAGAGGTTACATACAGTACCTAGGTAGTGAGACTGACGACCCTTCAGCCTCGTCCCGTTGGAAACCTTGTTTCTCTCAGCCTTGCAAATACCCCGCTTACCAGTTAACTCTCTTGCGTGCGTGTCGCAGCCGGTAAATCCGAGACAGATGGACAGAGAGAGAGAGTCGGTCGACACCTCATTCCCGTCTTTTATTGCCTCGCAGGCACACCATCATTCTAGTTTTTAATTCCTTTCATCGTCCATACCTACCATACGGTGGTTTTGGGTTTTTTTTTGCTCCCCGACACTACTGTATTTCTTCTACAAGTTGATGAGCTCATTTGAGTCAAAGTTTTGACCGTCTCCTCCACCCCCAAGAAACATGTCAAACCAAGAATACAAGCCTCCGGACGGTCCGCCGCCCATCTCGTCACCTCCGCCGGTCCACCGCGATGCCGGTCCGTACAATGAAGAGCGAGGGATGATCCCGGCCCAGAACTACGGCCCACCTCAGGGTTACGACTACGGCGGTTACAATGACACGAGAGGGTACTACGGGCCTCCCCAGCAGGGCTGGAACCAGCAAGGAGGTTGGCAACAACCGGGTCCCCAGCAAGCGCCGTACGGGGGTTACTACGGACCGCCGCAGCAAGGCATGTACTACGGGCAAGGGCCGCCGGTGACATATGTCGACCAACGATCGAGTCCGGGTGCCGACGGATGTTACGCCGCTCTTCTCGCGGCGTTGACATGCTGTTGTTGTCTGGAGTTGTTGTTCTGAACCTATCCTAGGTACCTTTCGCGAGGACCGGTGTACTGCGGTGACGTGACGATGCACCATGGCATGAAGTTTATGAGGTGCATGGTGTTTTTTTGGTCGGCGTGGGTCTTCATTGAGGGTGCTTTTCTCGGAAAGAGAGCAAAGGGGGGAAGGGCGGATCTAGCGACGGCGTTTTGGTTCTTCGGTTCTTAATCTGTGCATACGAAACATGGCTGGAACATTCGGAAGTGGTGTTTGTCAGCGGGAGAACAAGAAAATTAACAAGACCATTCCTTGACTACCCGGAGGGAATGAGGAAGAGCTGGTGAGGAGAGAGTATCGTTAACAAGTCCACCCTAGGTATCAGGCATCTCGCCCTTGTCCTATGTTACATTTTCCCTTCACTTGACTTGATCTCACGTTCCTTCACTTCCTGTGGATTAGCCTGCTCTGATTACCCAACAAGAAGGAAACCCGTCTTGATCATGGCATAAAGTGGACGGAAGTGGACGGCATGTCTGCATGACTTGAAGGGAACAAAGCCAAGCGATATTTCAGTCATCGTAGTATTGATCAGAGGGCAGTGCAATCAATAGAGTATCATTGACAAAGTTATCTTTTCGTACCCAGCTAGGCAGCTTCTCTTCGCGTAAGAGCTCCTCAGTCCAGCTGTACCTGCGAACCACCTTCAAGACAATCGTTGTTTGAAATTCGCCGAATAATGTCAATAGCGTACAGCTCTCTTGAGGCAGATCCATCATCATGAGGTCTGCATGGGAATTGGAAGATATTCATATCGTTGTTACCGTGACATTCATTTCTTCGCCATCATGACTGCATCCGGATAGATCTTTTGTACTTCAGCAGTCATCTTCGGAACAGGTTTGGCATCTCTTCCTGCAAACAATCCAATGGCTGTAGCGAGAGCTGCTCGAGACTCTTTACCCACAGGCGTCCAGTGACCACTTCTTGGTAGGATGGTCACTTCGCTGTCCTTGGCAAGATAATCTCCTAAGCCATCCAAACAAATGGTTCTGCTGCACGCCTGGTCTTTCTCGCCCCAGATCACATACGCCGGTGCATTCAACTTTCCCTTGATATGGTCAACAAATAAGGTGTGGTTTGAGATTGAAGAACGGCGTCTGCTGCCAGGAGAGCTCGACTCCGACGCCGAGGTCTCCAGAGCATACAAGTCTGCAATAGTTTCGAGAGATTTGGTCCACGGCCTTGTTGCAACTCCATCACGGTAAACACCGGTCATATTCCAGAATGCCTCTGCTGAGGACTTGGCTCTCAGCAGCACAGTCGGACCATAGCTACCTCCATCGTGGGTCGCAGTTTTGCATTCTTCAGGACCAGGGCCAAGGGTAGAGGCGAGAGCTTCTTGAGGTCGGTACTCATCTGAGCGCTTATCGTATCCTATCTTGTTGGCTCCTCTCAGAAATGAATAGTTTCCACCGGTGCCCAAGCTTCGGACGAAGACTGGAGACAGATTGAAGGCGAATATGTAGGCCATCAACAATGTTTGCCACAGCAGTGGCTTCAGCGTATTGATGGACTTGGACAGGCAGCCGAAGTGTTGCTTGGGTGACTGTTTGAACTGCTTGAAGATCTTGGAGGCCGAGTTGATTATGCGGTCCTTGTTTGCAAGAGCAAGTTCGACCTAAATCCAAGGCCATCAGTAACAACAAACAGATATCAGATATAGGGTTATTCACATGTGGAGCGTTGGTCAGTATGAAACGATCAGCCAGGCAGGGAGCATCTGTAGCGAGGCGAAAGCCAAGTACACAACCCCAGTCATGCCCTACTATGAACGTGTTCGTCACCTCTGTTTCCTCGGCTGGAATATATCGGTCTCGCATGGCAACAATGAATTCAGTCAGAGCTTCTAGTACTTCAGTGTCATAGACCTTGAAGCTGTCACTCCCTCCGAAGCCAGGCAAGTCAACACAGACCAAGGTAGCCTCATTTTTTGGTATAGCCGGCTCTTGCAATAGATGCCTCCACATCATTGAACTGTCAGGAAACCCATGTACGAAGACGATCAGGTTGCCCGTCGTCGCTCCGGCTCGATTGGAGAGGTAGTGTAGTTTGAGGCCATTGCGCAGGGAATAGAAGTAGTGCTTGAAACCTGGCAAAGGTTCCTTTGTCAAGTTCCAGAACCGATCTCGTTCTGCAGGATACTCATTAAAATATGGTCATAATGCAGGCTCTTCAAACGTACCAATAGCGTATTGTAGATTGTCTTGCTCGGTGTTCTTTTTGAAGAATGCCCCGCTCCTAATGGACAAACTCGTGTAGAGAAAATAGCTGAAGACGCCGAAGAGGTAGAATGAAGCCCGTTTCAAAAGCTGCTGGAAAGTATTGGAGGCCATGGCAGCGGTTATGACGGCGCAAGTCAGGTCATCTAGTACAGGTCTTTGTGTCCCTATATGCCCTTTGCCAGTTGAAGTTGTTCACGCAGAGAAGGTAAAAAGGGCTGTCCGAGGAAATAAACCAACCCCTCTGAGACGGAGTCGACGATTGCACAATCACATGTAGTCACACAATGCAGAGAAAGAGGTGAAGGTGGGAAGGTGCAATTCGCGGTCACGAGCAGGAACAAACAGCAGGCATTCACCACATCAACGTTAATTCAATAAACAGAGCAAGTGTAGCGTGTCCGTATGAGGAATTCGTCATACTAGGCACCTGGGTGCACGAGACAGCACGGAAAGGATCTTCTTTAGAGATCGACTCATGTGTCGCCCTCAAGCGTGTTGCAACTGGCGCAGGGACCTGAAAAAGGGTTTACAAGTTTTGAAGTAGGCGGACAGAAAGTCGTCTCAATGGAGAAGCGATCTTAGCTTGGGCTCCTCCACAACCCTTCGAACCCTTGCCTGTGCTTATCCCGTCCTATCCTCTTGCTCCATCTCCAACACGGACTCCCCTTCTCAACACGTTGGCACGGCTATCATTGCTTTTCATAGGAGTGGCTCAACGGTGAGCAACTATTGATACGTCCGGTCGCTGAACGGAAGGATCTCGCCTGGCTACGATATACACTCAACTTTATGCAGCAACGTCATCGGCTGTCAACGAAACAATCTTTGAGGTCTTGTGACATTCTTGATCAGATCCCCCCTTGGGTCTGCCAGAAACTATTGATGCCCCGAGGTGCGAAGGCGGATGCTGGTTTCAGCCGATCATCAACGAGCAAATCAATAAGCTACGATGTCGTGTGAGACTTTGGCCTACGAGTTCAAGGTGGAAGTCAAATGCCGAGCTGCAATTGACCGGCGGACCTGAAGCTCTTACTTGCATATCGTAGCAGGATTCGAGTTTCGCTCTGGTGCTTCTCCTACGAGAGGAGCCTCGAATTCCCCTGTCCTCCTCCTCAAACGAGATTCTTGATCCTACTCGTAATAAGGACAGTGCGAACTGAGAATTTGAATTTGAATTGAGTTGCTAGAACGTGGCCGTTGTCCCCAAGCGAGAATCCGTTTTTATCGTTGGAGTTCTATGTCGATCTATGGCTTATATGGTCAATACCTCGGATTGATCATGTTAGCGTCCGAAAATATACTCGAGTGACGGGCCAACTATCAATCACATCCAGGAGAGTTTCTGCCAAATGCTCTCCAAAAGTGCGGGCTAAGATGATGGCGGACTGCATTACTGGTCATCTCAGTGTCATACAGTCAACGGCGTTCTTTTCGATCGCACTCAAAACAATCCAAGAACATATTGCCCCATTGGTTCTTCCTAATTTCAACTAGATACAATCTAAGGGGAACTCTGTGGACGGTGATGCCCTGGTTGAGACCTTGGCGGCGGGCACTGATGAGTCCGCAATTGAGCAGGAAAGCAGTGAATAAGACACAGATTTTTGCTTCTGCTATTCATGGAGATCTGTACTTGCTACGGGAGTTGACTTTCCATCTTTGACTCGAATTGAGAGATTTAAAGTGCTTCTTACGCCCCTGGCTCCCTCATATAATCCGTCATATCGGCACCAGTGAGCTCGCCAATGGTTCGTCCATTCCCCAGGTAGCTAAAGCGATTACGTTTAGAGTAGACCATGTCATAGTCCTCGAAACGTGGGGTCTGCAACGCCTCATTAAAATGCCATGTCGAACCTATCCAAGGACCGATGACCGGTCCATTAATCGTGCCGTTCTTGTACCTGCAACAATGAATGTAAGCCCTCTTACTCGCTGTCTGACGTCTCATAGAGGGAGGCATATATACCAGCTTCTGCATCCTCCGCTCCACACCATTGCGTCCATTAGTGAATCTCGATGCTCCAAAAATTCATCAACCACTTCCTCTTTGACCTCCATAGAGGCAACATTTTCCGTCTGCATTTTCCGGACGCAGGCAAATGCATAATTGATTTCCGTCTCTAGTCCAGATATGAGTGAACCATTGGCGATCGGGCTATTTGGTCCGCCCAGGACTGGGACGTTAGCAGTCTACAAAGGAGGACCTTACGATGCTCTCGCTTACTGAAGTAGTTTGGAAACCCTGGAGCGGCTACTGAAAAGTAGTGGCGAGGCTGCTCTTTCCAGGATTCCGCCAGATCTCGTCCTCGGCGACCGATAACTGGGAATGCTGGCCGATGTGAACAATCAAATCCGGTGGCACAAACGATTGCGTCGAAACCATGTTCTGTCCCATCTGCGGCGCGAATTCCACTTGGTGTGATTTCGTCGATTCCTGTGCAGACCACCTGAACGTTGGGCTGGATGAGTGATTCGAGGTACCCGTTTCCTGGAGTGAACCTGTACTAAGTTGGCTTTGGTTTCCCCAAAGCAGGACTGTTGGTGCAGGTGGTTTTCACGGCTTACCTTCGACATCCCACAGGGAACTTGGGGATCAACTTTTCGCAGAGTTCTTCATTATAACCCAGTCTTTCCCTCATCAGATTAGCAAACTTGACGACTGACTGTTTTTGGAGCTCGGAGCCTTTATAGTATAACGAGAAGCTCGAGCTCCCCGTGTTCTGCACCAGCTTCCGATACTCGAGGAAGTACTTCTTGTCCTTGTTGAACCTTTCAATCTCCTCCGGAGAAAACTTCGTATCGCGCCCGTCTTTGGCAAGGCTTTCACTGAACTCCGGCGTTATCCATGTTGGCGAACGGATGAAGTTGGTTAACTTCTTGACCACTTTGCACGTACAGTTAGTTGGTTGGTAAGGATTTTCCAAACAAATGGTCCAAGTGAATTCGTCGTACCTGGTTGCAAGCTTGGGGCTATCTGTATGGCCGACGAACCTGCTCCGATGACTGCTACCGACTTTCCTTCAAAGTTGTACTCTTTGTCCCAGTGGGCTGAATGTAACAATTTCCCTTCAAACCTGGAGAGACCTTGGATATCTGGCCACTGCCACTTGCTATGTGATTCTTCAGCAATTGGTTTACTTTGAGAGAAATTCGAGCAGCTGCCATGTTACTTACTTCAAAATGCCCGTGGCGCTCAACAAGACATCACATTGGTCTTCAAAGATTGTCTGGGTGGTCGAATCCTCGATCTTGAGCAACCATTGGCTTTTCTGTTCCGACCAACGCGCTTCGGTCACTCTGTGAGACAGTCTGATGTACTTCATACAATTCCACTTCACGGCGCAACCTTTGAAGTATTCGAAAATCTCCTCTGCCGATACATAACTGTCGGAATTGGGGGCGGCTTAATGATTCTATTTACTCCAAAACTGTAGACAGATTCACTTACAATCTGGACCAATTTGGATTTCCTTCCCACGAATAAGTATAGCCGTGTGCTGGAATGTCGCAGGCACAGCCGGGATATCGGTTTTCAAGCCAAGTTCCTCCAACGTCGGCATTTTTCTCGTAGATCACGAAGTCGACATTCTCTAGATGTTGCTGGTATTGATATGCTGCACCAATCCCTGCGAGCCCGGCCCCGATACAGATCAGCCGTTTCCTCTGGGGTTGGTGAATCGGCTCCTGTGCAAACCGATAACGATTAATCGAGCCCATTGTGGATATATATATTCGTCCCTTCTCTAGCTCGTTGGCACTGATGAATTTTGAACATTCAAACAGCACCCAGTGGACTATTCAAGATTGTTTAGAGTATACAGTTTTGAGCACCTTCTAAGTAGAAACTAGCCACTGGGCTTAATTTCCCCGGTCCAGTTCCAAAACAGGTCCAGACTTTCGGTAGCGTTCCCGCACACCTTCACAGACAGCCTGCGCGAGGGAAATGATCCCGACTTCACAACTTGTGATACCTTGGCCGGGAAGGTTTCAAAAGGTTTGGGGCTACGGCTTCAAAGTATTACATGAGGTATGTGGCAGGGAACGATCCCGAGTAGATATTCCTATTTTCCGAAAGTGTATTCTTACAAGGGCACTAGTTCCAATTCTTAGGCATATTCATAAAGACGAAACTACAAACATCGACGCCCTCATTCAAAAGGGCCTTTACCATAAAACGCATCCATAAGACGGGGGTCGTTATGTAAGTCAACCCTGCACCCATGGCGTCTCCTCAACACCAGAGTGCAAGAGCTATAGTGACAGGAGGAGGCTCAGGTAGTCATCACCTTCCCACCAACATCTCTGTTCAACCACGGATAGCTCATCATCTGAAACAGGTATAAGTCTTGCGGTAGCAAAGGCATTGCATGCACAAGGTGTATCTCTGCTGATTCTTGACCTCGTCCTCCATCGCGAGGCGGAAGAGTGGTTTGGGGCAATACGAGAAACGGGTGGCCCGGCTGCAATTTTTCGCAAAACTGATGTCACTTCCTGGGAGGAGCTTGAGAGGGCTTTCGACTTTTTTGCACAGCAGTTCGGTGGTGCTCCGGAGATCGTGGTGGCCGGAGCAGGTATCTACGAGGCATCGTCTACCGGCTTTTGGGACGAGAAAGACATCGCTTCTAGATACAAACTTTTTGATGTCAACCTCCTTCATCCCATCAAGCTGACCAGAATTGCCATTCGAAGATTGCAAGGTGCAAAATCGCGCGGCACCATTCTTCACATTTCCAGTATAACCGCCCAGAAACCCTCCGCGGTCCTTCCGCTGTACTCAGTCTCAAAAGCTGCCTTGAGTCAGTTTGTACGATGCATGGCGCCGTTGGAGTCGATGTGCGGCATTCGAGTTGTTGGTGTGGCTCCAGGGTGAGTAAGAGAACGCTCCCACGACCATGTCTGAGTAAAGATCTTTGATCAGAGGCTGATTGGAAATCGTGTCGCTGGTTGTTGACAGGGTTGTTGACACGCCGTTGTTCCGCGATCATCCAAGTGCCCTGGAGCACATTGATCTGGAAATGGACTTTGTTCTACCACCTGACGAAGTTGTTCAGGCGATGTTGGCTCTACTAAATGACAAGAAGTACCCTTCAGGGACCGTACTGGAAGTTGGAGATGTGGGTTGTTGGCGTGAGGTGCATCTTTTGAATGATCCGGGTCCGCAAGGCAGATCTACCCTCCCTCGTTCAAAAGCTCAGGCTGCTTTGAAATTGGTCGAAGGTGCTCTGGAGCTGGATGCACAAAATCCTGAAAGATTTTCTAAGCTCTAACATTCTATAACTGTCAAGAAGTTTGTATTCAACAAAGCTTAAGCAAACCAGGCAACGTATTTAGTTATGTGCTCATCTATGTACCACGGCCTCCGTCTGAGTATCAGTGTAGAATCTAGAACAATCTGGGAAAGACAGTCGTGATGCTATCTTAGAATATCACAGTCCAAAAGTATAGTTCCCTTTCGGAACAATCACTT